TAAAGGGTCACGAAACAACAAAACACATTTTTTGAGCTGTTGACAGTCGTATATGAGTCCCACACTGCTAAAAACACTATTAGGACACCTATATTTCACTAAAAAGTGTAAATTGGTTGTTTTTGCGTTATTTTAAGCAAATTCGTACTTCCGTTTGAAACAAATTTTTGAAGCTGCGACACGGTCAAGACATAATAGTGTTGTATTCCAGCGTGCAGACAGGACGTCTGTGCCAGAGTGTGTCTTATTATGTCTTAGTGTGCTGCATTAATGCATGAGTAAGGCTTGGTTCAAACCAATCAGCGCGCTCTATTGTGCAACTTCATTAATATTCATTAGTGTCACAGTGTTTAGACGACAGAGACGCCACGTTGTGTTGGCAAAACAAGCGTGAAGTGTTGCTTTTATAGTTTGCTGCAGTTAAGTTTTGTTTTCATTTTCTCTCTGTGAGAGCTCATCTGGAGTCACGTGTGGATTAACAGTGTACGCGACGCTCAACAACAATAACTTACGTGTCTAAGGAGGATTATTGTTTACCTGAGAGCTGTTCTCATCCTGCTGAAAAACACCCTGCTGAAACGAGGGGGTTTCATGGCCCTTTAAAAGGTGCGTCTGTGCATGAAACATGCGCGTTTAGAAGCCTCTATGTGAGTTTGTGAGAAACTAGAGTAAAGATCGCTCGCTTGACAGCTCTGTTGATGCCGCTAGCAGCTGGGTTTCTTTCTTGATTTATTTACGTGATAATACAAAACATGAATACAACAGAAAGACAGAAAACTTTACAAATGACGTGTCCACTTTTGTAGGCTCAACACAATAGTGTCATATCTTGATAAAATAGCCTAAGCTATATAAAACTCATTTAAAGAATTACAAATATCGGCTATGATAAAATCACATTAAATAAACCAATATAAAACAAAACAAAAGCTCTAACAATGTAGGTAGATAGAGTACATAAATTAAACCATTTAACAGCCATTTTAATCGTTCAGTTTATAAAGGCCTGTCTGAAAAAAGGTTTTAGATATTTTCTAAAAACAATAAACACTGGAGGAGTTTTGAAATGTAGTTATAAAGTATTGGATACAATAGTCCCTTTCACACAGTGATACCGGTAAATATCCGGAAAATTTACGGAACGACTTTACCGGTAAATTAAAAAAAAGTGCTGTTCACACAGGCAAGGACGTTACAGAATTTTTTCCGGAAAAGAGCATTCACACATCCATTCCAAAATACCGGTAAATTCTGACATCATTAACCAGAAATAAGCTCTAAACAGCTGCGCTTGTGTTTGTAAACATTTGACTACATCACAAACTCTGGATGGATCAGTGTTGTGAACAACTTCGATGAAAACATATAAAGAAACACTTTGGCATGTCGAGATGTTCATGATGTGTGTGTGTGTGTGTGTGTGTGTGTGTGTGTGTGTGTGTGTGTGTATGTGTGTGTGTGTGTGTGTGTGTGAGATGGCGCTCACTAGCTGATTCACGGGCATGCGCAAAGCTTGAAGGTAAACAAACAACGGCTTATTATAAGCATATTATCGATAATTATTTACACAGTTGGCATTAAGAATAAACGTATAAATGTTATCAGACTAACATCTAGCGACTAAATGTGTCTGGAAAAATATTTAAAGGCTTTTATTTTCATAAACCGCGAAAATGTGAATGCGTCTGAGTGTTCTGATTGGCTAAAGCAGGCGTCTCACGTCAGCACGTTCTAGACGTGCACGCGCTCTTTCCGGCAATCTTACTTCTGCATTCACAAAGCGAAGCATTCCGGCAAATTACCGGTAATGTTACAACTTCTCTTTTTTTTAACCGGTATTTTCAAAAAGGGCCTGTTCACACATGCAACCTTTCCGGAAAATTGTCTGCAATTTTCCGGAAAGGTCTGTATGTGTGAAAGGGGCTTATAATATTAACCAAATCGTGCTAACAGAGCATTTTGGGGTGAGTGAAACTACCTTTTTTCTGTCATCCAGTCCTGCGCAGAGCTGCTTTACAAACGGATTAGGAAAAACTGCAGGAAAAAATAGTCTTCAAACAAGTGTTTATAGTTTTATATGACGTGGTCAAATTTAAATTGAAATTTTAAATGTTGAGCTTTATTAGTGGATAGCTGCTGAAGGCAATGATACAAAGGCTATAGCCTATTTCATTACTTGCTCTTATGTCCTGAACAGGGCTTTACATTAACACCCGCCAACCCGCAAAATGCGGGTAGATGTTAGAAGACAGCCGCTCCCACTAGCCACTTTGGCTGGTTGGAAATATTTTTTACATTGTAGTTTTCTAAAAAGCAGGGTTCGACAATAAGGATTGCCCAAAATGTGATCTTAGAATCGAGAAGCAGCACGACTGACAAACATAACTTTGTTCGCGCGAGCAAAAGCAGGTGAATATCTTATGAGAGGATGATTACTTGCGCAAACAGCTGATGTGATAAGCGCGACTGTTAAAAGCGCGCGCTCCTGTTTACCTGCACGGAACAACCGTGTGTAGAGGAAGTGCAACTGGTGCGATGGTTCTCTTTAAAATGAAATAGACAAAATGCTCGTGCACCCACAGTCCTGCTGCTTTTAAGAGCTCAAGATTGAAAAAAATATATATATAAACTTACATCCTTTTGTAAGCAGCAGCATTCACTGCTTTTGTTTTAATTATTCTTTGAACAAATTAATAACAGGCCTAACATTAACTGTGTGCACATGATCATCCTTTTATTATCTATCACACACACTATGTTTTTACCTGCTTTCCTTTGTCTACAGTTATTTATACAGTTATATATAATTGTTGATCAATTTTCACTTTTTAGTTAGATATATATGTCCTAATATTGTTTTTAGCAGTGTGGGACACATATCCGACTGTCAAAAGCTCAAAAAATGGGTTTAGGTGTTTTAATGACCCTTTAACATGTCATTTGTTTGGTTTGGTTGTCTTCATTTTAATCGTTTCGTGATGATATAATGGTGTGCTTTATCTGTCTGATTCCCACTGAACTGGGCGGGTAGTGTCGGGTTTGATTCGGGGGACTTTCTGGGAACATTCTGAGTGACGCACTGTGAGTTATTAGCCCGACAGTGGAAACACGACATGATTTCGCCCTAACTTCTCAAGCTTCAAGGCTTTTGGCACGACCCGGCGCGATAAAAGCCCTATAGCTCACACTGGCCCGACAGTGCAAATGCGGCTATTGACTTCCATTGCGTTCATTTGTCCTACTATGGAAAGCAATGGTTACAGGTGTTTCTTCAAAATATCTTCTTTGGTGTTCAAGAGAAGAAAGAATCTCGAGTTTGGAACCACTCAAAAGTGAGAAATCACTAAGTAAATCTTCATTTTTGGGCTGAAATATCTTTCTAATAATAACCCAGGATAATCTGAAAGTCACTTACTTGAATTCTCCAGTGCAGAATTGCCTGAAAGACCAAAAAAGGACAACAATTTATTTGTCTTTTCTCAAAATCTATAATGTAATGCAAATAGTGAAAATAGCAGTTAAAAAAAAAAAAAATATATATATATATATATATATATATATATATATATATATATAAACACACATTTTTAAAAAAGGACATTTGCTTAATGACTGAAACAACACAATCCTTGTGAGTTTTTTAGGAACAACTTAAGTGTTTTAAGTTCAATCCACTTAAATAAAAATAAACAAAAAACTACTAGGTAAACTTAATTCCTTCATGTTGTCCCAACACAAATCAAACTTGTGTGGAACCTAGCATTTTTAAAAGTGTACACGCTCATTGATTTATGCCAGGGGTGTCAAACTCATTTTAGCTCAGGGGCCACATGGAGCAAAATCTGTTTACAAATGGGCCAGACTGGTAAAATCATGATATTTGTAATGCAAAAACAACGGGTGGGGTAAAGAGGGGCGCGGGTGAGGGTGGTTGGGTTGTTGTGCGACATATTTGAAGAGCGGTGGGAGGGGACTGCGCGGCAATGTATGTGAAGCTATGATGTGAATTAGACAGGTGGGAAGAGAGAGGGGTGCGCAACATATTTGAAGAGCAGGGGTGGGAGTTGGTTGAGACACGTGATTAGTTTGCGGGCATTCAGGAGTCTCCATGCGTATGCAGGAGATTCCCGGGACTGCCGAGAGACTTGGGATGTTTGCAGAACGATATCAGGGTGTCTCATACAGCACTTTAAGTGAAGTTGCATAGTTTATTTGACTTCTGATACCTGGCATCTTTTAGCTTTCAAAAGCGTCAATATCAGGAGTCACATCCTGAGTGGCAGCCAACTTCAGGATGTGATCAGAGAAAACAAAGATTTGTAATTCCAAACATTGTGGCTAATTTGTATGAATTCGTATGATCTCTACGAATTTTGTATGATTTGCTGATCCACCAATGACATTTGGGTTTAGGGGTGTGGTTGGGTGCCACGCCTCCTTTTTAAAAATGGTACATTTTCATGCGGCTAAACGAATTAGCCACTAAACTGACCAAACATAAAGTAGTTGTTTCCTTGTGAGATCACCTCAGTGTGGTATGACAGGGTATAGATTTTCTCTTGCTCTCTGAGAAGGCTGTCAAACTGACGGTTTGCTATTCCACCATGCAGTGGACACAATTAGAGCAGCAGTTTGTTTTATTGAAAAATTGCAGCTCATTTTTGTACTTTACAGAATCATCTCGCGGGCCGCTTAAAAACGTTTGCGAGCCGTCCGTTTGACACCCCTGATTTATGCAGTCTTACCGAAAATTTTCTGCAGTCTTTGGAACGATGTCAGCGAAAAGCTCTATCTTCATTCTGCCCACTTCCTAAAAACAAAAGTGAATCAATTAATTACAACAATCGTTGATAGCAAAAAAGTTGAAAGAGAGATGAATTCTATTATGTTTTATAAGCACACTTTATATAAACAGTCTTCCTTTGTACATGTCATGGGAGGGGGGAAGCCCCGTCCATTAGTGACTATCCCCCCCAGCCGTCCTCCATTAGAGTTTTGAATCTGACGTTATCCTGACACATTGGCGTTTAAAGCTCCAGCCTATTTTGAAAAGAGGGCTGGGGGTACAATCTCATTTGATTTGAAAGAAACTGAGGGTTTTATATATCTGGTAAAAAGCACCAAAAAAGAACTATGTATATGAGGCATTATCTATATACACTGTGAAAAAATTATTAGCTGACTTAAAATAAGTGAAGTAAACGTGTTGCGTTTTTAACGATTAGTTGACTTTACTCAAAAGGTGAGTAAACCTGCTGTGTTTTTAAACAATTAGTTGACTTTAAAAAAGTAAGTCAGTCTGCAGGGCTTTTAAACAATTTGTTAACTTTAAAGTGAGTAAACCTGCAGGATTTTAAAACGATTTGTTGACTTTCCTTAATGTGAGTAAACCTGCAGTGTTTTTAAACGATTAGTTCACTTTAAAAAGTGAGTAAACCAATTGCATTTTCGACAATTAGTTGACCTTACTTAAAAAAGTGAGTAAACCAGTTGCATTTTTAAACGATTAGTTGACTTTCCTTAAAGTGAGTAAACCTGCAGTGTTTTTGACGATTAGTTGACTTTACTTTAAAAAGTGAGTAAACCCATTTCGTTTTTAAACAATTAGTTGACCTAAAGTGAGTAAACTTGTAGCTTCTTTAAATGATTACTTGACTTTACTTAAAAAATGAGCAAACCTGTTGCGTTTTTAAGTAATTAGTTGACTTTATTTAAAAAGTGAGTAAACTTGCTGTGTTTTTGAACAAGTAGTTGACTTTAAAAAGTGAGTAAACATGTTGCATTTTCTGTGTTTTTAAACGATTTGTTGACACTACTTTAAAAACTAAGTAAACCTGCTGTTTTTGACGGTTAGTTGACTTTACTTTAGAAAGTGAGTAAACCCGTTTTGTTTTTAAACAATTAGTTGACCTAAAGTGAGTAAACCTGTAGCGTTTTTAAACAAGTAGTTGACTTTACTTAAAAAAGTGAGTAAACCTGCAGTGTTTTTGACGATTAGTTGACTTTACTTAAAAAAGTGAGTAAACCTGCAGTGTTTTTGACGATTAGTTGACTTTACTTTAAAAAGCGAGTAAAACAATTTTGTTTTTAAACAATTAGTTGACCTAAAGTGAGTAAACTTGCTGTGTTTTTGAACAAGATGTTGACCTTAAAAAGTGAGTAAACCAGTTGCATTTTTGACGATTAGTTGACTTTACTTAAAGTGAGTAAACCCATTTCGTTTTTAAACAATTAGTTGACCTAAAGTGAGTAAACCTGTAGCTTCTTTAAATAATTACTTGACTTTACTTTAAAAAATGAGCAAACCTGTTGCGTTTTTAAGCAATTAGTTGACTTTACTTTAAAAGTGAGTAAACTTGCTGTGTTTTTGAACAAGTAGTTGACTTTAAAAAGTGAGTAAACCTGTTGCATTTTCTGTGTTTTTAAACGATTTGTTGACACTACTTTAAAAACAAAGTAAACCTGCTGTTTTTGACGATTAGTTGACTTTACTTAAGAAAGTGAGTAAACCCGTTTCGTTTTTAAACAATTAGTTGACCTAAAGTGAGTAAACCTGCAGCGATTTTAAACAAGTAGTTGACTTTACTTAAAAAAGTGAGTAAACCTGCAGTGTTTTTGACGATTAGTTGACTTTACTTAAAAAAGTAAGTAAACCTGCAGTGTTTTTGACGATTAGTTGACTTTACTTAAAGCGAGTAAAACAATTTTGTTTTTAAACAATTAGTTGACCTAAAGTGAGTAAACTTGCTGTGTTTTGAACAAGTAGTTGACCTTAAAAAGTGAGTAAACCAGTTGCATTTTTGACGATTAGTTGACTTTACTTAAAAAAGTGAGTAAACCCATTTCGTTTTTAAACAATTAGTTGACCTAAAGTGAGTAAACCTGTAGCTTCTTTAAATAATTACTTGACTTTACTTTAAAAAATGAGCAAACCTGTTGCGTTTTTAAGCAATTAGTTGACTTTACTTTAAAAGTGAGTAAACTTGCTGTGTTTTTGAACAAGTAGTTGACTTTAAAAAGTGAGTAAACTTGTTGCACTTTCTGTGTTTTTAAACGATTTGTTGACACTACTTTAAAAACTAAGTAAACCTGCTGTTTTTGACGGTTAGTTGACTTTACTTTAGAAAGTGAGTAAACCCGTTTTGTTTTTAAACAATTAGTTTACCTAAAGTGAGTAAACCTGTAGCGATTTTAAACAAGTAGTTGACTTTACTTAAAGTGAGTAAACCTGCAGTGTTTTTGACGATTAGTTGACTTTATTTAAAAAAAGTGAGTAAACCTGCAGTGTTTTTGACGATTAGCTGACTTTACTTAAAAAAGTGAGTAAACCTGCAGTGTTTTTGACGACTAGTTGACTTTACTTTAAAAAGCGAGTAAAACAATTTTGTTTTTAAACAATTAGTTGACCTAAAGTGAGTAAACATGCTGTGTTTTTGAACAAGTAGTTGACCTTAAAAAGTGAGTAAACCCATTTTGTTTTTAAACAATTAGTTGACCTAAAGTGAGTAAACCTGTAGCTTCTTTAAATAATTACTTGACTTTACTTAAAAAATGAGCAAACCTGTTGCGTTTTTAAGCAATTAGTTGACTTTATTTAAAAAGTAAGTAAACTTGCTGTGTTTTTGAACAAGTAGTTGACTTTAAAAAGTGAGTAAACATGTTGCATTTTCTGTGTTTTTAAACGATTTGTTGACACTACTTTAAAAACTAAGTAAACCTGCTGTTTTTGACGGTTAGTTGACTTTACTTTAGAAAGTGAGTAAACCCGTTTTGTTTTTAAACAATTAGTTGACCTAAAGTGAGTAAACCTGTAGCGTTTTTAAACAAGTAGTTGACTTTACTTAAAAAAGCGAGTAAAACAATTTTGTTTTTAAACAATTAGTTGACCTAAAGTGAGTAAACATGCTGTGTTTTTGAACAAGTAGTTGACTCTAAAAAGTGAGTAAACCTGTTGCATTTCCGGTGTTTTTAAACGATTTCTTGACACTACTTTAAAAACTAAGTAAACCTGCTGTTTTTGACGATTAGTTGACTTCACTTAAGAAAGTGAGTAAACCTGTTGCATTTTTAAACAATTAGTTGACCTAAAGTGAGTAAACCTGTTGCGTTTTTAAACAACTAGTTGACCTAAAGTGACTAAACCTGTTGCGTTTTTAAACAATTACTTGACTTTACTTAAAAAAGTGAGTAAACTTGCTGTGTTTTTGAACAAGTAGTTGACTTCAAAAAGTGGTTAAACCTGTTGCATTTTCTGTGTTTTTAAATGATTTGTTAACACTACTTTAAAAAACGAAGTAAAGTTGCTGTGTTTTAAAACGATTAGTTGATTTTACTTAAAAAAGTGAGTGAACCGGTTACGTTTTAAAATGATTATTTTACTTAAAAAAGTGAGTAAACCTATTGCCTTTATTATTGTTATACTTATAGCAATAAAATTAAGTCAAAACAACTTACTGGAACAAGTTTTGTCCGGTTTACTCAATTTTTTAGGTCAACTTGTCACTTTTAAGGCAACATTTAAAGTAAAATCCATATTTACAGTGCATCAACGATTGGTTGTGAGCTTGCAGATTGAATGAATAAGTTGTGGTTGTTGTCCCACACAACAAATGAGGCTTGTGAGTTGCAAGCGGCCATTATCCCATGTGCGCTGTTCTCCAAGCCCTAAAAGAGCTGCTTGTTTAATCTGCTGTGTTAGTGCTGCAGTAATATATTCAGTGACAGTCGTGGAGATGTCGTTTCTGGATTTCATTATAAGTGTGTGGAATCAGCAGCAGTAACAGGTATGATTGAACACTAGCTTTTTAGTGATAGACATCAGTGGTAAATGGCTAAACAGATTTAATTCCAATAATTTAAATCACAAAGGCAAATAATTGCTTGTGCATTACATGTTTACTAATGTTAGCTGCTTAATAGAAATGTCAAGACACTTATACAGAAATATAAGCACTTGTACTAATATATATATATATATATATATATATATATATATATATATATATATATAATAATGATGATGATGGGTTTGTGGTTGCTGGTTGCCAGAATGTCATCCTGCATTTAGGGTCTAGATAGGTATCAGGTTTTTGAGAAAAGAGCAACTCTCCAATATTTGTATATTTTATTGACCTGGGATCTGTATCGTGAAACTGGTTGAGCTGGTTTAGCTGGTTAACCAAATTAGTTTCAATAGCACCAGCTCTGGGTTTGAGACCATGGAAGTGGTCTGTTGTTGTTTAGCTGTGTCCAATTTAACACACACACACACACATACACTGTAAAAATGTATTTGATCAATTAGTCAAGACATCATACTGTATGTTTTTAGTCTATTGTAACTTATTAAACTAAGATACTCATGTTTAAAATTCATTTCATGACTTATGCAAGCTGTTTTAAGACAGTTTAAGATAATATAAGTTGAAAGAAGCACTCATAAGGTAAATTTGATTCGGCTTAAAAATTTCAGGCAACCGGTATATAGTGCATATCGCACTTCCGGCATATCTAGACTTTCAACTAGGTGAACCTGAAAAATGCCTGAGCATCTCGTGTGCACTGTTAGCGCATCATTTGCGCATTGTGCAGGTTGCGCACCTCCATTGAAAACGAGAAACTTACACCCTAATGCTGTGTTCACACCAGACGTGGAACGAACGGATAAATAGTGCTATTCATGCGTAAATGGACGCGTGAACATTTGAGTTTACTCGCTTCATTCGCACATCAAAAAGCACTTCATTCATTCACTTCACAACAGACGCAGATTCACGTTATAGGCAGGGCTTCTGTCTGCCTGGTGACTGTAGCTTTGTTGCTTAATGGCGAACATGGATTTGATTGAGAAAATAACTGTGTCTAAGTCTATGTCTAGGCTTTATGAAGGCTGAAAAACAGCATTGATTCGTTTAGAGCCGTGTCTGAGTCCACTAGATCCTTTCAGAGGAGCACCCAGCTCTGTGAGTTCATAAACTCCTCCAGAAACTTAACCTAGATGATGGAAGCATTCAGCTGTGCTTCTGACTGAACCCAGCCCAGTTTGATTAACTGTTGTTGATGTGGGCAGGAGGACTTTCCTCCGGGACACCAACAACAGGTAATCACCCCCCCACAAGAGCAAGCTCCTGATTGGTTAACGTGGCGCGAATGTCCTCTGAAGATCAGATTTTCGAACTCAAGCGTTTTGCGGCATTCGTGCGTCAAGCAAGCAAAACGTTCATTTTGTGCCGCGCCATTCGCACAATTCACGTCATTCGCGCCATGCCATTCGCGTGTATCGCGCTGCAGGATCTCTATTCACGCCTTTGCATTACTGCCATTCCTTATTAACGCGTGCTCTGCAACCACATTTTAATAAAACTATAGTCTTCATACCGAAACTTCATATCAAACTTTTTTCTTTATCGTTATTGACAATGGTGTTCGGTCAATAAATACAAAAACTATCGCCCAGCCCTACACTTCATAAAAACAGTCGGTAGAAACATGTTGGTTAGCATTCTCCCTTTGTACATGTCAACAGTACAAAGAAGGGGAAAGCCCCGCCCATTAATAGGGATTGGTATCGTTAAGGTTTTAACAGTATTACTACTTTTATTAATTCCATTTATCAGTTCGGTACTTTAACGTTAATGCTTACTGGTTTCCAACAATATACAAATAAAAAATCAGTTTTTTTCAATAAAAGGAAAGAAACTCAAGCAGAATTTTCATTTTTTGGGTGAACTATCCCTTTAATATTGCCAATTGCAGTTATTTTAAGCAATATTAAAAATAGCTATATAATACACTGTGTTTGGAAAAACACACAGGTTATGTTAAAAAAACTAGACACGCGTGTTATGACAACACAATCTCATGGCAATTCGTAACTTTTTCATTTAATGGCAAATTTGTATGAATTCGTACAATCTCATTCGTTCAATTTATTACGACTTGCTCATCCCACAATGACGGTCGGGTTTAGGGGTGGGGTTTGGTGCCACGCCAACTTTTCAAAATCGTTCAAAAATTTCGGATCCCACAAGATATCAAATTCTAAATTAAATCACAACTAATAACACGATCAGCTAAAAACGTAAATGGTGAATTTATGAAATTTAAATTGGAGTCAGATTAAAATATGTATGAAGTCAAATGTAAATTTGGTCAACAAATTTTAATGAAGTAAAATAACTTTTCCAGAAGCGCCCGAAAAGGCATACACGCAGAATTCCTTCAACCACAAAACTGGACTCCGTCATTGGACCAGTGGGTGGAATCTTACAATATTATATTATATTATATTATATTATATTATATTATATTATATTATATTATATTATATTATATTATATTATATTATATTATGTTTCAATATATTTTATTACATTATATTATGCTATATTATATTATGCTGTATTAGGTAATATTATATTATACTATATTATATTATGTTATTTAAATTATATTACATTATGTTATATTACATTATATAATGCTATATTATGTTATATTATATTATGTTATATTAGGTTATATTTTATTATATTATATTATATTATGCTATATTATATTATATTATGCTATATTATATTATGCTATATTAGGTTATATTATATCATATTATATTATATTATATTATATTTTATTATATTATGCTATATTAGGTTATATTATATTATGCTATATTAGGTTATATTTTATTAATTTTATTATATTATATTATATTATATTATGCTATATTAGGTTATATTATATTATATTATATTATGCTATATTAGGTTATATTATATTATATTATATTATATTATGCTATATTAGGTTATATTATATTATATTATATCATGCTATATTATATTATATTATATTATGCTATATTAGGTTCTATATTATATTATATTATATTATATTATGCTATATTGGGTTATATTATATTATATTATGATATATTAGGTTATATTATATTATTTAATGCTGTATTAGGGTAAATTATTAAATGATAAGACATTAAATTATATTATATTATGCTATATTAAGTTATATTACACTATATTATATCATGCTATATTATGTCCTTCATATATTTAATTATAATAATATAGTGTAAAAAAATATAGAAAATGTAGAAAAAACACTGTTGTGCATTCGGTCTTCTTGCATATGCTGTACATGCGCGTATTTGTGTTTTACTTCTGCATGAACTGGCACTTGCTGGTTTGGTTTTTTGCTTTCATTTCTTTTATAGCAGTGTTAATATGCTAGCATTACATTTGGAGCGGCCCTGAAAATATACGGTATCGAACCGATGCGGTATCGGTGCATCCTTGGTTAAGATGTTAAAGAAAAAAAAAATTACACAAAAACATCATAACATGTCACAATCATAATATGCAACCAACCAAAACTGCTGTTGTCATTAAATAAATAGCCAAAATGCATCAAAAAGCTTATTCATTTTCACTCGCATTTTAACAACGTCATATTTTCTGCACACCCATGCAAAGGAGTAACTTGACCAAGCTTTTTTGTTCTTAATAGTATAGTTCGAGTTTAAAAGCAGCATCACATTTCCATATCATTTCAGCAGGATTTTTTTCAAGCATTTTAAGGAGCCATTGAGCCGAGTAGCCTAAAGCGGACACGCACACCACTCAGTTCTTGGAAAATAATGTACACCCCAGGTTTAATTCGCACTTGAACCACATCCCCACCTCTGAATCTTGCATGGCGCTTTTTAAAAATTCAACTGATCCTGCAATGAAACTCGATATGCTTCAGGAATAACAGCGATGTAGCATGCAGTGTATAAATATATATATATCTCCTTTTTAATTCTATCCTTAAAATTCCCAGCTTCCCACCCTTATAAGACAGCAAACACAAAGACACTGGATCATTCTTAAGCAATTACCTAAACAAACAGTGGCTAGCATTTCGCAATTTAGTCTTTAAAATAGAAGAAAAACAACAAGCTTAAAGGGTTAGTTCACCCATTAATTTAAATTGGCTCACTATTTACTCACTCAAGTGGTTCCAAAGCTTTAAGAGTTTCTTTACTACACTCAGAAAATGTTTTTGCTGCTAAAAATGAGCTGAAACATCACAATTCTTGACGTTTTTAGGGGACAACTTAATAGTTTTATGTTCAATCCACTTCAATGTGTATATTGAATTGAATATTTTACCTTATTATACTGTAAACAATGCAGAGTTCCACACAATTCCTTCATGTTGTCCTAACAGAAATCAACGACATATTCTTATGAATTCAGTCAGTAAATCTTATAGGTGGCAATGGGTTTTTGATGTTTTTACATGGGAAAAGATTCGGTTCACAATAAAACAACAGTTCCAGAAATTCTTAAGCCCTTTTCTAAACATTTTTAAGGAGACAAATATACATTTCTTTGTAGAATTGTTTTAGTTTTATTTATTTATTTTATCCTATAATTAATTTTATTATTATTATTTTCAAGTTATCTTATGTGTGTATGTTTTTGTCTATACAGTGCTAAATAGTGCTAAATATACTGCTTAATGAAATCCAAAAGTTTGCGTTCAAATATATGTTAATATATGCCCCCCCCCCCCCCCCCCCCCCCCCACTTTTAAAATGTTTGCAACACCCCTGCAGTGGTCCCTCATTAATCATTAATTTAATTTTTAATTAATTAAAAAATAATAATCTCCGTATAATAGTCAGCTTTATTTTTTTACAAATATCATAGATGTTTTAAGGCTTTAAAACCCCACTCTACTCACTTTAAACACTTTTCTCAGACAGGCATTAACATTTTCACACTTTCCTCGCAAACACTCTCAAGGTTCAAACATTCTATAAAGCAAAAATATACATATTATATAATAATTTTGTATATTATAATAAATAAATATAATAAAGCTATTTAATAATAATAATACTAATAATACTAATAATAATAATAACAATAATAATAATAATAATAATAATAAAAATAATAATAATAATAATAATAACTTAAATTGTGTTGGGACAACATGAAGGAATTGTGTTAAACCCACTTCAGATCACAATTTTTGAAGTGTTTTGGGAGGCAACTTAATAGTTTTATGTTCAATCCACTTCAATTTGTGAAAACAATGAAGTTAACTTATTTGGTTCATGTTCCAACCTGAAGGAGAACATCAAGAAACCGAAAACCTGTAACCATTGATTTCCATAGGGAAAAAAAACAGACGTCAATGGTTACAGGTCTGCAGCTTTCTTCGAAAGAGCTTCTTTTGTGTTCAACAAAAGGATGTCAAACAGGTTTGCGACAAGGGAGTCTAAATGATGACAGAGGATTCCTTTTTGGGTGACCAATCCCTTAACTAAGAACACCCTGAAATAAATGCGATACAAAGTCACATTTCTATTGTATCGCTTGAAATAATTTGTGCAAAAAGATTTAAACAAAAGTAGGCCACATGGGCCAGATCCACAAAAAGCGGGACCGCCTTGCTATTGTCCAGAGGAAGAACATGTTTACAGGTAAATAGGTGTGGTTTAAATATGTACTATGACAGAAACCAAGCACACACCTCTCCATTTGCTCTCCAACAAGATACGGTTACAGATGCTCCTGATATTGATGAAGCGCAGGACTGTGTAGGATCACAACAACTACAGTTTCAGAAGGTATTTCGCTGGATTTTATTAACACTGTTGTTATATGAACATCTTTTAATGACTGTGTTAACCTGGAGTTTGCTTCTTTTCATTTAGTAGCCTTTAAATGTTTCAAACATTTACGAGTTTATTACTTGTTGAACACAAAAGAAGATATTTTGAAGAATGTTGGAAACCTGTAACCATTGACTTCCATGGTATTTGTTTGTTCTACTATAAAAGTCAACTTTTATGTTAGAGAGAAGAAAGAAACTCATAAAATGTTTGAAACAGCTTGAGGGCAAGTAAATATTGTCAATCTGAAATTTTTAGGCGAACAACCATTTAAAGCTAATTCAGCTTAGTTGCATAATATTGAATTAATCCAATTTGAATTTTCGGTTTCAAATTCTAGCTTGTTATGAATTTAGTTTAGTTCTACATATGTGCGGACGCTTCTCCCACGTGTATAAAAATAATCCTACACGTGTACCGCACTGCTGAAGGGGTTAAATCTCTATTTGGCAAGCTTACAGCGAGAAACACGTCTTTAAACAAATGTTTTTACATTCTTCTTTTTAAGAAGCACTTCTGTTTGGCATTTGTGAGTAGGAATGATAGAAACTAAAAGGACAAACCACAAAATCCTGCTTGTCAGGTTTGTGCAATAGAAAAACGGCATTTTCATTTGATCCTTCATTTGCGAGGGCGCTAAAGTCTGCAGGTATCTTCAAAATATGGCGATATTGTAAAAATCTGACATTGCGGTATTTTGTATTTCTGCGATAATATAATTTCACCAGATGTTTAAACAGCTTCAGCTTTTTTTCCAAATATATTAAACTAATCACTTTTTCCAATACACATTTATTATATATATAATAAAAAATAAAAATAAATAAAATTTTTGAAATTTTTTTTTCAGCTTTTCTGTATCTAGCAAAATGACAGTAACTAAAATAAATCTGCTATTTCAGACTCCAGTAAGTCTTCTAAATTTAATACAGGCTATAATTGTTGATTTTATAGACTTAATGAAGCACCAAATATGCAATATTGTAATAACTGCAGTAATTGTTTGAAAAGAGACCTGTTAAAATAGTTTGTAATTGTAAAAAAGGATTAGTTGACTTTAAAAAGTGAGTACAATAAGCATAATTATAAAAATTAAGTCAGCTTAACAGTTCCAAGTTACAATGGGTTTACTTACATTATTTTTGTAAAGTCAACTTGTTGCTTTTAAGGCGATTTGTTTACTCGCTTTTAGTAACATTATTTTTTACAGTGATTATAAAAGAACTCAAACCAACAGAGTACTGTAAAACCCAATAAGTTAAGGCAACTTAAACCATTTGAGGAAATTGATTGCAACAAATCACTTAAGTTCAAAAACTAATCCTAATGAGTGCTGTGAACTTAATCCACTTGAGTAACCGAAGCAATTTGAGCACAGTAAAACCCAGTAAATGAAGAGAACTCAAACCAACTGAGTACTGTAAAACCCAATAAGTTAGGGCAACTCAAACTGTTTGAGGAAACCGATTGCAACAAAAAAATTGAGTTAAAGAACTAATCTATAGGAGTGTGAACTTATTCTATTTAAGTTAAAGTAATGAGGTATTTAATTAACTCATTACCTTCAAAGCTGAATTCAAAACTCTTCAAATGAGTAGCATTAACTTTGAGTCAATTTTAAGTTAATTACACTCATTTCATTTGTTAAAGTTGACTGTTGGCTTTTACAGGGTGGGCTGAATTTAAACAAACAAGTTAAATTAAATAACATTCAACTTAATTTGTTTGTTTAAATTCAGCCCAATAAAATTGTTTGCAACCACTTACCCTAACCCTTATGTACTGTTGGGGGTTTTCATCCACTCTGGGGTGATTTTGAGTATTAACAAAGACTATAGAATATATTAAAAAGGGTCTTTTGAATTAATTTGGCCATAACTTGCTTTGAATTTATAAAAATATAATAATAATAATAAAAAAAACTCCACGATAGACTCTGGGCAAATTCGCTACCGTTTTGAAATGTAAAAATTCATAAGATATTTTTCATTTTCCAATTTTTTTTTAATAATTCTGTTACTCAGAGAAATGTATTAAAAAATGTTAAAAATTAAAACAGATACAAATATATTAAAATGTGTAATTTAATATATTTATTTAGCAAAAAGTAATCTATAGGAGTACTGTGAACTTACTCCATTTAAGTTTAAGTAATGAGGCATTTAATTAACTCATTAACTTCACCACTGAGTTCAAAACTTTTTCAAATGAGTATGATTAACTTTCAGTCAATTTTGAGTTAACACACTCTTCATTTGATGAAGTGGACTGTTGAGTTTTAAAGCACAGGGGAGTGAATCTTGAATAATATGCAACAAATAACATACAAATATAGATAAATAAAATATAGCAAAGATAAAAGTGAGTTATACAGCAGTTTTCTGGAGAGTCTAACAGTGTTCAGGTACAATTATTGAACAAAGAACACTGCATAGTCTTCATTACATATCATGTAATCTTGACACAATATTGAATGTTCACACATAACAGGCCTAAAAGGGATAGTTCACTCAAACAGGAAAATATACTCACTATTTACTCACCCTTCACTTGTTTGAAACGATTAAGAGTTGTTAAATGATTTTCTTTTTGTGTATAGCTTAAAAAAGAAACTCATAAACATTTGAAACAAGTGAAAATAGTAAGCAAAGTTGAATTTTTTGGCTGAACTCTTTCTGTAAAAGCGCATGCAGATGATAAACTGTTACTCCTTTATCATTAAACTCTGCGTTAGTTATAATCAACTATATAATTAGCTCTAATCCCAGCTCAACACTGCATATATAGCGATGTGGCTATTGCGGATGGCTGCACACATTGCGATATCAATGATAAAACAATATACTGTATTGTGCAGCCCTACATCAAAATCTCTTTTAACTGATTTGATCTACTTTTATTTGGGGCTGCATCTATCCATTATTTTAATAATTGATAACTAAGTTTTTCTATATTCTTTAAATTACATACAACCATAGTTGAAATGAGAATTATTAGCCCCCTGTATATTTTCTTTTTCAAGATACTAGTGTTCAAGCTTAAAGTGACAATAAAAGGTTTAACCAGGGTAATAAGGTTTAACTTAGGCTATAAGTTATTGTATAATGATGGTTTGTTCTGTAGAAAATCAAGAAATAAATATAGCTTAAAGGGGCTCAAAATTGACCTTAAAATGGTTTTTAAAAAATTGCAAACTGCTTTTATTTTAGCAAAAATAAAACAAATAAGACTTTCTCCAGAAGAAAATATATTATCAGACATACAGTGAAAATTTCCTTGCTCTGTTAAGCATCGTTTGGGAAATATTTAAAAAAGAAAAAGATTATCCACAGGATTATATTTATTTATACACACATATTGCAGTAACTGTACTATATTCGGAGTTTAAGCAATGACAGAAATAGAAATTACATTGACTAACATTATAATATTATAACTAACATTATAATATTATTACAGGATAACAGGTAAATACAAGCTGCATATTGCTTAATTAAAAATAAATATAATAGCAAATACAATTAAATAAATGTTGTAAAGACAAGAAGTGATGCGTTACTTTTATCCTATTTTTTTAAATAAAGCGTTCATTATTCCAAATGTATTCAATTCTTTTTTGTAATAGATTAAATTGACTACTTAAACCAGGGGTCACCAGTCTCGGTCCTGGAGGGGTCCCTGCAATGTTTAGCTCCAACTTGCGTCAACACACCTGCCTGGATGTTTTAAGTATACCTAGTAAGACCTTGATTAGCTTGTTCAGGTGTGTTTGATTAGGGTTGGAGCTAAAATCTGCAGGACACCCGCCCTCCAGGAACAAGTTTGGTGACCCCTGACCCATGATTAACTATGAAATCCACACACATTTATATATATGTGTGTGTGTGTGTGTGTGTGTGTGTGTGTGTGTGTGTGTGTGTGTGTGTGTGTGTGTGTGTTATTAGCAATAGATGTTTTTAACTTATTCATTCATTCTTTTTTTTTCGCTTAGTCTCTTTATTCATTAGGGTTCACCACAGCGGAATGAACCGCCAATTTATCCAGCATATATGCAGTAGCTGCCCTTCCAGCCGCAACCCCGCACTGGGAAACACCAATAGATTCTTGCATTCACACACATACACTAAGGCCAATTTAGTTTATTCAATTAACCTACGGTGCATGTCTTTGTGTGGGGCATGTCTTTGTGTGGTGTGGGGGAAACCAGATCACACAGAAACCCACGCCAACACGGAGAGAACATGCAAACTCCTTTGTTCACTTATGAGTTTCATAAAGTCACACAAATGAAATTATATTACTCGGAACTGAATTAGAAATGGCCTAAAGTGTAAAAAAAATAAAATAAAAAAAGTCTACATTTCAAATGTGAACAGGCTGGAAAGGAAATATCTTAACTTCCACATGGTAAAACTTTACAGAAAATTCAAGTGAAATTGTGGTTTAATTTGGACTCAGTACCAGCATCAATATCATAATGTGTACATTTGCAATTGTCACATCAACGTTCCTGAAAGCAAGGAAGGTCAAGGTGCTCAAGGATTGGCCAGCCCAGTAACCAGGCATAAACATTATTGAGCATGTCTGGGAAGTAGGCATTAAAGATGAATTCAAAGAATCTTGATGAACTCTGGGAGTCCTGCAAGAATGCTTTCTTTGCCATTCCAGATGACATTATTAATATTTATTAATAAGTGATTTGAGTCATTGCAGAGATGTATGGATGCAGTCCTCCAAGCTCATGGGAGTCATACACAATATTAATTCTTTCTCCACTGCAGCATGACTTCATATTCTGGTAACACTTTACAATAAGGTTCATTAGTTAATGCATTTACTAACATGAACTTATCATGAACAACACATGTACAGCATTTATTAATCATAACTGAACATTTACTAATGCATTATTAACATCCAAGTCCATGCTTGTTAACATTAGTTAATGCATCATGAGTACACATGAACTAACAATGAATTACTGTATTTTCATTAACTAACGTTAACTAACAGTAGTAAATGTATTGTTCATTGTTTGTTCATGTTAGTAAATGCATTAATTAACATTAACTAATGAACCTTATTGTAAAGTGTGACCCATATTCTATACTGGACATTATTTCTGTTAATTGACAAGACTTTTGTCTCAGCAAAGTCAGACCTTACTGCCCTAATTAAATCATTAGAAATCAAGGCATGACCATATTATATTTTGGTAAAATAAGCGTAATCTAGAGGCCTTTGCCTTTCATATAAGCTGATACCAAATGATCATAGAAGTCAAGCTATTATTTGTTGTTCCTAAAACTTGGATAGGTGACAAGACTTAGTTTAAACGCAAAGTTTAGCCGTTGTGGAATTATTAACCTTCACAATTTGCACGTGTTTTATTGTTAAACATACACTGTAAAAAATACACAAAATCACTGTGTTGGGATAACATGAAGGAATTAAGTAAACTTAAACTGTAACTTCTGTAGCTCTAACAACGTTGAATTACATTTCATTTGTATAGTAAAGACTGCAAAAGGTGTCATTTTACATCAGATTTTTCAACATTTGCATCTCTACCTTTAAAACTTTCCAGGAACAAATATAAAACCCTGTTTTGTTTCCTTATTTGTATCCAGATAATAGTTAAATTTAACTTATCCAAATATGTGGTTTTGTAACCCAACCAGGTTTTTTTTAACCCCATGGAAGCACAGTTAATAATTTTTGTAAATGACACAGTATTTAACTGTAATATGAGCTGTATTTTACTGTAGGAGAGTTATTTAGTATGATACTGTATTTTAAAGTTGTGTAAATTACTGTATATTTTACAATAAAGATTTACAAACAGTTGTGAAAACACATACACAGTGAGATAAATGGTGCTTTACATGTAAATACAGTATTTTTGCTGTAATTGATTTACAGTAACTTACTGGCAAACTGCTGCCAGTAAGTTACTGTAGATTCTACAGGAAATTATTAACATTGAGTTTACCCAACATTGGGTTACAACAACCCAACAACTGTTTGAGTATAATGATTTATACAGATGCACTCCCATGCAAAATTATTACGAAATAATGAATTCTTCACAAATAAAAGTTATCATTCAAGCCATCTGTATTTCGCATATCACAATATAGATATAGCAGAGAAATGTAATACTTCAATGCCATTTCTATCCCAATATCGTGCAGCCCTACAGTCTTTCTCATTTTACAGTCAAACCATCTGCTTGCATCACTAAAGGCTGGTTTATACTTCTGCATCAAGTGATGTGCATTGCACTATTGCACGTAGGGTTTTACTATTAACCACGCTTTAATTCGTCAAGGTTAATTTATCGTAAAGGCTTCTCAACACCGTGTTTCTGCACGGATGGGGTGTCACGGATAAAATTGAAGACCGTCGGAGGGGTCTAAACTGAATCTGCTGCTCATGACAACAGTATTGTGCTGGTGGTCATCGTGAGAATCCTGCTCTGCCATGCTTATACGTGCCGGCTGACTCGCCGGCTTTTTTCACAAACACCGAGAGATAAAAATCAGAGCATAACAAGACTGAGCATTTAAAATGACCCAAACCAAAACTTTTAAAAAGGCACAGAAGTAAGACTTTTCTTTCTATCTTTTGTCCATTCTTTCTGTTTATTAAATTGACATGCATATAAAATCAATAGTCCAAAATATACATTTCTTACTGCATTGCTTAATTTTTTTTGGATGCAAATTATTAGACATTCATTTTGGAATTATTGCGCAAATATCAAGTCATCACAGCATTAGTTAGATATTTGTTTCTGGTTTGTTAGTCCAAATTGATGTTGTTTTCAAATACAACAAATCCGTTAATGTACAAGTTGCAGTGGTGCTCATTATTTTTGGCGGGTGTTCCTAAATTTTTTCTGGTGCTCCTACATTTTTATAGTTGGTAGCACAGGCAATTTCAAGCCCTGCATTAGACAAATACTGTTGTTATTTTTTTTTTATTCTTATTTTTATTTATTTATTGTTCTGTCATTTAAGTAGTGTAAATTATTTCTGTTCAAATGTCAAAAACATTCACTTACTTTAAGCACAAAGAGAAAATTTACTATTGTTTGTTTCTTATATTATTTTGTGCTGTATTAATTACTTACTGAGCAGCAATAATAACACTATAAAATATAAGGAGTTTTCATCTTATTTAAACTAGTGGGGTTTGAAAACTAATGAATGCATAATAATCGTGATAACCGTGAAAATTTCTTACACTAAAATCGTACAACCAAAATCTATAATCGTTGCATCCCTAATTGCACGTAGCTGAGCATTTAAACTTCTGCGTGCTGTTTGTGTTGCTCTGCAATAACACCTCTGACAGGCTAGCTGGCAGTTTTTATGTTCCCCTGCATGTCGAGTTTCTTCACAGGTGTTTCGTTTTTTCTGAACGCTACCTTAATGAACTGGTAGGCATGAGCTGATATGAAATTCTGACATTATGATAACCTTGGATAAAAATATCACAGTTTGAAGGTAACATGATTATTGCTCTAATATATATTCTTTTTCAATGTCTGGTAAAAACAAACACTTTTTCCCCCTTTGAACACAATATATTTTATTTTGAGAATCTTTTAAAATATTTTGGAGCAGTAAACATGTCAGGCTAAATAATTCAAATGAATCATTGACTTCTGCTGGCAGGTTCAAAAACAGGACTAACGTCCTATGCTAATGTGGTAGAGACTAGTCACAAGTGGGCGGGGCTTTCCCCATGTGATCACATGTAAAAGGGAGAATGTCAATCAAAGTTTTTCTGCAGACTGTTTTTATCAAGTGTGATTATAAAAAATGAAACTAATATTTTCTTTTAAATTTACTATTAGAAGCTGGTTATATTCACAGACTGCTGCCACACAGCTGTGTTTAAACCCCTTATAAAAGTGATTTTTGCATAATAAAATAAAAATCATCAAAGTATAATTCATTTAAACACCTTTTGAAGGCAGAAATAAACACTGCTGATGAAGTGAAACTTTAAGGCGGCAATACAGATTTACAGGAAGACAAGCTTGCAAAGCCTTATCTAATAAATAACCTTTCACCAACTAAACATTCCACAGCAAATATGCAGACATTTAATCAGAATGAAAGATGTTCATCTTGAAATAGGCTAATTTTTTTAGGCTAAACATTGATACTAAATTTAAACTAACACCTTGCATATTTTACATTTAATTGAATTTAATTCAATTTTGTGTAAATATTTGAAAATTGTCTGCTTATATTTGCTCAGTCTTATTTAGTTAATTAATTCTCATCCGCTTGTTGAACAATCAAAATTTCAAGTTTGCTTATATTAAAGTCTTTAGTTTGTATTAGTTACTTTTTATTTGGATTTTGATTTAAAATTGAAATTTAGTAATTGCAGCAAAAATTTAATTTTTTTTAAGTAAATCGTGCAACATTTGAGAAAAATGAAAAGGTTCTTAAAATTAAACCTGAATTTTTTTTCTCAAATAATTTAGCAAAAAAAAAAAAATTGTGACAAAATCATTTATCCTGAGATTAGTCTCATGAATTGTATCGGAAGGTGAGTCAGGTGAATCGTTACATCCCTAGCCGTGGGGTATGACAATGAGTGAGGCGCTTGGACCTTCCAGATGCACCCAATTGAATGAATCCCGTGAGATACATGACGAGAACTGACTGATCAGCTTTAGCTAGTATGAAATATCCACATTTTTGTAAGACAAATTATGCTAAACAAACGCAGAACACCAAAACACTGCAGTGCTTTGTAAATTTCTCCATAAATAAAACTGTATCAGAGTTACAGTGGTTGATGGTTGTCTAGCAAGCTACATCCAACGAAACACCCCCCTACTGTTAGACAAAGGTAATAAAGTACATCTCCCTTCCACTAATCATTTGATCCTTCTGTGTTTTCAGGTGGAACCGAGACCAAATGTTGAATCAGCACACGCCACCAGCCGTGATGATGGCTATTGTCTGGTCACCAGGGACAAATGAGAACTTTCACCATGACGAGACCCTGCAGTACCTCCTCATTCTTTGCACCAAAGTGGCTTTAAACACGTTCGTGTTGTACTTCTGGAGGAGAAGCATTCTCAAGTCCCTCCTAGGGATCTGCAGTGTCTCCATGTACGTGGCGGACGTCCTACTGGTCTGCGCCGTCTCCAGCGCATGGATCCTCAGAGAGAACCTGCCCACCTCCACTTCAATGTGCTTTATCCTGGCTCACGGATCCACCATCTACGCCCTGCTCCCTCTACCAATTCTCATCGGCGGGGTGTTTGACTATGCCAGTTACCCAAACCTAGACATAACCTACTGCTCTCGACGCAGAGTTGTCAGTTACTGTTTGTTCGCTGTGCTTTTGTGGGCATTAGTGATCGTCTACACGTGCCAAAGCACCAACACGCAACCTACAGAGATTTACAAAGACAATTTGAAGCTAGTAGTGTGTCGCGTTCACGGATCTACTGTAGTGTTTCAGTTTAGCATGTACGTATTAACTGTGATGATCCTCATACTTCTGCTTCATCTGAAGAAGCTGATTGGATGGGTCAGTAGAGCCAATCAACTGGCGAAGCTGGAAAACCTTTCATTTCTCTCAGATCAAGACTATAGCCAGATTGAGGAAAGTGGAAATTCGGAAATACTAGAAACTTCCCCTCCACTCTTTGCGAGTTTAACTCTAGGGTTTGCAATGAACTGGGTGCCGTACTTGTTAATATCTGTTACATGTGTACTGGTGGATTTCGCAGTGCCAGCTTATGCCAGCGTCAACCTTCTATGGATGGCTTGTGCCAACAGTCTAATGGTTGGCATTGCGTTTTGGTTGAGGAGTGACAAGATTGGACCTTTCACCAAATTCCCAGACGACACCTGCTTTTGGAAAATCTACTGGCACTTAAGCTATGAAACGCCAGTAACTGTGGACAAAACAAGTTTATACGTAACTATCCAAAATGTCTAGTTGAAAGCCATTTAAAGCTTGCATGATATTTGGATGTAGGTGCATCGGCAGCAAATTTGGACCCACAAATGTTTTAAGTGAGCCCCTCAGTACACAGTCGAAGATGAAGATCGGGGAGCAGGAGGAATAGGGGGAATGGTTGACGATTGTTGAAATTGAAGAATGGGGAAGGGGACATTGACAATTGTTAAAGTGAAGAGCGGGAAGGGGAGGCGTTGATGATCGTTGATAGTGAAGAGCGGGGAAGGGCGAGTTGACGATTGTCTAAAGTGAAGAACAAGGAGGGGAGGCATTCATAATCGTCGAAAGAAAGAGCGGGGGGGGACGTTGACGATCGTCGAAAGTGAAGAGCAGGAAAGGGGTGATAATGTTTGTCGAAAGTAAAGAGAGGGGAGGCGGACGTTAACGATTGTCGAAAGGGAAGAGCGGGAAAGGGGGGATGATGTTTGCCGAAAGTAAAGAGAGGGGAGGCAGACGTTAACGATTGTCGAAAGTGAAGAGCAGGAAAGGGGTGATAATGTTTGTTGAAAGTAAAGAGAGGGGAGGCGGACGTTAACGATCGTCCAAAGTGAAGAGCAGGAAGGGGGGTGTAGACGATCACTGAAAGTGAAGAGCAGGGAAGGGGGCGATGATGTTTGTTGAAAGTGAAGAGCGGGGAGGCAGACGTTAATGATCGTCGAAAGCGAAGAGCAGGAAGGGGGCATTGACGAGCGTCGAAAGTGAAGAGAGGGGTGGGTGAGGTTGGGACTAAATGAGGGCAATTAGAAGGGTCAAAAAGACCAGGGTCACATCACAGGGCCCCTAAATTGCCAGGGCCACACTACCAAAGCCCCTGCTTGTTTGTATATATAAAAAATGTGTTAGTTAGGGTATATTAAAGGAATAGTTCACCCAAAACTAAAACTGATGTCATCATTTACTCATCATCTGTTTTTTTCAAACATGTTAAAATTTCTCTCTTGTTGAACACAACGATAGATATTGAAGAGTGTTGGAAAGCCGAATCCATTTAGATACAGTATTTTTTGTTTCTATTATGGATGTCAATGGCTGCTTTTTCCCGATGTTCTTCAGAATAGCTTTTTATTGTTTTGCGTTTAACAGAAGAAAGACATTCGCAAATGTTTAGAACCACTCTAGTGTGAGTAAACGGTGAGAAAATGTTCATTTTGAGTATATAATCCTGCTATGTTTGTACCTTTTTTTTTTAGTTTAAATCGAATTGTGAGTTTGTTTACTTCATGTAGGTATAAGACCAGAAAGTGCTGCTATAAGGTAACATAAAAAACCTTGACTATTTTATATACACACGCTTATATACATATATACATATATATATATATATATATATATATATATATATATATATATATATATATATATATATATATATATACTTGTTTGCTTGTAATTTTCATGCTGTCTACATTTGACAAAAACTATGTGGGGCAGTCAGTATAAAAAATAAAACAGATGTGAACCTGCACATGCACTCGTCCAACTTTTAAAAAACAAGATGTCAGACAAAATGCAGTCGAAATAAACTAACAAACTTGTGAAATGACTTTCTTCCTTTCCCAAATATGCTCAAGCTCTGCTCTAAAATGTATAGTGAGCAGTCAAGCTGTCTACTGGTAACAAAGACAGCATCTTGAAGTATTAGTACATACAAAAATGTCAATTATGCCATTAATTACCCACCTACATGTCATTCAAAACCCATGAGACTTTTGTTCATCTTCAGAATACAAACAGAGATATTTTAATTGAAATCTGAGAGCTTCTTCTTCCTCCATTGACACAAGGGTTCCCACCATCCAGACTAATGATGCCTTCATTGCTTCACATGCAACATTATCGACTGATTAACCGATTTCACTATTAACAGCGCTTTAACTTGTCACGGTTAATTACTGTAAAAGCTTCTCAACAACATGTTTCTGCACTGAACAAAACTGCTGCAACTAAAAGTTATGTTACGTCAATTGAGCGCTAGTTTAAAGTTCAGAGCTTGTACACAGCGGCTAATACGCATACACACCAGATTAAAGGCTGGTTTTAACTATGGCAGAGGGTCTTAACTGAGGGCCGTTCACATATCTCGTTTTTGAGCAAGTTCGTTATTTCCAATGGAAGCGCACGGCAAGAACTGGACTGGTCAGCTTCATACTTGGTATGAAATATACGCACGTTTCTACTCCAAAGAGGAAAAAAAAAAAAAAAAAAAAAGAAAAATACCAAAGAATTTTGTATTATAGTTGATCAAAAGTGCCTCTCAAACAGGTTCAGCAATTTTTCACTACATTTGTACTCTTTAAAAGAGAAATACTTAGCTTATATGTAGCTCAGATTTACATTATACAAATAAAATTATTTAATTTATTGATTGATTTCATTGATTGTTCTGTCATTTATTTTCACAGTAAAATTATAACTTATGTTTAAATGCCAAAACTGTTTATTTTTACTTTTAAGTCAAAAGAGGAATTGACTATTGTTTGTTTTTTATTAATATCTTGTGCTGTATTAATTGGTTACTGAGCAGCAATAAGTTTTTTGAAATTAATGAATGCATAAAAATTATGGTTATTCCTCAGACTGTAATCGTATAACCAAAATCTATAATCGTTGCATCCATAGACACCCCTTCATGTGTAAGTAAAACTAGGGAACAAGGTGAAGGGTTAAGGGCTGGAACTGTGATTGGGCCTAATTTTTGGGTGAACTAACACTTTAAAGGTAGAGGTGGACAAATTGGCAGAGGCTAGCAAAAGTTAGTTAGCATTGAAAACCAAAAATCCTGCCCTACCTGCATGACTACTCTGTAAAGCATCCTCCAAACACATTAGCACACACACATACAGACGGACCTGATCTTCAAATGTCAACAAAAGAGAGAGAAAAAAAGCGTCAGATTACATTGTTTTATAACGCTCTTGCCTCTGGCATTTGTTGAAGGAATGTTTGGTTGTTGTTCGCCTTGTTCGATGACATATCCGTGTTTGTGCAAACAAGATCAGCAGAGCTTAATGCAAATACTTATTTTAGCAGGCAGAAAAGACATTTGGATTGGACAAAGAACCTTTTGGTCCGACGGCTGTACAATTTGGAGAAATAAAAAAATCTAATAGCGATTTATCTGATCAAATTATTTGCGCACTAAAATGTGATTTACAACAATTTTATAAAATAATTCCAGGTTTGATATGGTGGTTTTAACAGCACCAAAAAAAAAAGACTAATTTATATACCAATAAAGTTGTCAGTTGTCAAGACAAATTAAGGAAATAACTACAGTATTTTAAACTAGATTATTAAAGTTCGTCGAGACAAACTTTAGGCTGGCTTGAGAAAGCTTGGACTGAAAGTTTTAAAGCAGTTTTAAGTTAAAAGTAGTTTAAAGTTTTAAAGCAGTTTTAAGTGAAGAAAATTCATTTTGGCCAGAGATCTTCCATCCGAGATCTTGTCCTACCGTGGAGACAAGCCTAGGAATGGGGCTCGTATGCGAGCGCCTAGTGGCTGGGTTTTACAAAGTCCCTTTAAGGCAAGTCATTTCACTTGGCAGCCATCTTTGAAACACCAGTTGAGCATTCTGTTTGAATAGTAAAACATCAAACTCTCCAAAACTACTTGCCAAGATTACGATTACATTACATATTATGAAAACCAATAAGATTAAACAACAACTGTCTATTTGGTTACATTTCTGTATCACACAAAATCCGCAGAAACTCACTTCTAGTCCAAGCCCTCCCCTGGAGAATTGCCATTCTATAGCGATCGCTGATTAGCTAATGTACTAGAAGGCGGGCTTTATTCACCATATAGCGATCGCTGATTGGCTTCTGTACTAGAAGGCGGGGCTTCATTCCCCATATTGACAATTACACTTCTCCCCATTCAAAAGTATACGAGTAACATGTCTTGAGTATTCTACAGTCTTTGGGTTTTACCCCACAGAACCTGGCAGGGCTCAGCCTGAAGGAGCGACGCAAGACCATCCTAATGCAGGCCAACCACCTGCAGGGGGAGCCGTAAGAGGCCGGTGTATTGTGGAACGGCTGGTAGTCGAAGGTCAAGGGGGTTCCCAAACTTTTCTGCCCGAGACCCTCAAAATAATGCCAGTGACTGGCGACCCCCAATATCCTCTGAGGCGATTATAAATACAGAAACTTTGCATGCAACAGCGCTCGCACACCAACAGACCCAAGTCTATTCTTCGTTTAATTTTTTTAAATGTATGTCAGTTCTGTAAATGTGCCAGAAAGTTTAACCTGGTATTATAAAATAATTATATCAAATATAATGTAATTACCTCAGGGGTCGCAATCCAATAGAACTGGTAACTAGGGTTGTAACAATATACCGGTATGACGGTCTACCACGATTTGAACGTGCACGATTATCATACCATGAACAATTGCATATCAACGGTTTTAACCCTTAAAGACCGAGACAGCCGTCCGCAGCTAAAAATAAGTATTGCTTTTAAATGTTTAATAACTTTTGATCCGCTGATCCGATTCATACCATTCAAAGATTGGCATAAAGAAGAGAATCTCAGCTTTCCAGTGCTGTACACATAACATCCGCGGACTTTCAGAGGCTCCGGAATCAGTGCGGTTACGTCATCAAAATTTGATGACGCTGATTTGACAAAGAAACACTCGTCACTGTGTCTCCGGACAAACCAGACATGATACATTGATGCATTATCCCTCCTCCATGCCCAGATTGGTTCAAACTCGCTATATCACAACCAATAAGCATAGGTTTCGCTTTTGTTTGTGGACCAAACAATGAGCTTTTTGAACAACACGGAATGAGAGATAGGCATACATTTATGCGTGGCTAAATAAAACGCAAAAAAAAAAAGTTTTGCATGAAATAATTCTCATACTAAGTACTTTTGCATGCACAGCAGCACAGAAACATGACAAAACAGTGACACAGCAAAGACGAACTGCTGCTCTTGCTGTTTTCAAAAGACGCAAATGAAGGTGCAGCTGCTTGTCTGCATTGCAGACAACCATATCCAAATCCATATCCACAGACAACCATATCCATGCTGGCACATAAAACCTAAGGATATTCCATATTGAATCTAGTTTCGTTATGTAACTATTTATAGTATAGTAAATATTTATATCTATTTTTTTACTGAGGATTTGCACCATGTTTATTTGGACTTTATTTGGACTTTGACACATAATTTATTATTTTCTTATTTTTTTATTTGTTCATTGTAAGTGGTGTTGTTTATAGTAACTAAAATATATATTATTTGGAAAAAGTAAAATTTGCTTCACTGTTCTATTATTTTGTAACATTTGTAACATACCATATACCGCGAAACCGTCAAACCGTGGTATTGTTTTAGACGATTATCATACCGTAAAAAATTCATACCGTTACAACCCTACTGGTAACTATAAGCTGCTATAGTAACTATATATCATATAGTAACTATAAACGACATTTTTTTTTGTAGTTTATGGATAAAATATGGTAATTCTTATGGTTTAATAAAAACAATTAGATTTTTGGAAATCACCAGGCAACCCCCCTTCATTGTCCCGCAACCTCTCGGGGGGTCCCGACCCCCACTTTGAGAACCACTGGTCAAGACCACGACACCTGATCGTCAGGCACAAAATATCAATATTAGTATTATAATAAGCAAGCAAGTTATAAGATTCGATCCTGAAATGTTCTCCATGGACACTACTGTTATATTTATGATAAACGTTAAGGTCTAACTTATAAAGTAATGAGTAATTCATTCATTTATTTTCAGCTTAGTCCCTTTATTATTCAGGGATCGCCAAAGCGGAATGAACTGCCAGCTTATCCAGCATATGTTTTCCACAGCAAATGCCTTTCCAGCTGTAACCCATCACTGGGAAACAACCACACACACCCATTCATACACATACACTATGGACAATTTAGCTTACCCAATTCACCTGTACCACATGTCTTTGGACTGTGGGGGAAACTGGACCACCTGGAGGAGCCTCACACGAACATGGAGAGAACATGCGAACTCCACACAGAAATGCCAACTGACCTAGTCAAGGCTCGAACCAGCGACATTCTTGCTGTGAGGCGACATAAGTACCTACTGTCTCGAGTAATTAGTTATTAGTTCATAATAATCATTAGTAACTAAAAGTCGTGTTAACTAATAACCTTAACTTTCATGATTTTGAATGTAATACAATCATGTATTGAGGTAAAGTTGACTATATTTGCACATTTTTGAAGTGACAACTTTTGACACGGTGTCTATATTCAGGGTTCATACTGAAATTCCATGACTTTTCAATGACTTTGCCAAAACTTTAGGGTAAATATTCATGATCTTGTTTCGTGTTTCATGTAATGTCTACGTACACTTGGTAAATAAGAAAAAAAGGCACGTTCAAATTTATTACAGCACATCAAAAAAAAAAAAAAAAAAAGTAAAAATCCATGTAGTTTATATTTATTTTCATATCTGCCAGCTTTACATAATTGAGGTACAGTTGGTTTTATATTTTGCATACTAATTTAGTGACAACTTGTGACATGTTCCTATATTGTTTACCATGGTACTTTGAATATTCGGTGTGATCTCACATGTAAGCATGACTTGAACATAGGCATAGGACTATAATCGTTTTAAATTGTTTAATTTACGCTTTTTTTTTTTTTTTTGTTTTTAGAACAACAGTATTTCCAGCAGAAAAGATGTTTTAAATTGTTTTAAATGTTTTTTAAACAAATGAAGACAACAGAAGTCAATAATTTATTTAACCTGACATGTTTATTTACAGTTCCAAAATATTTTAAATGTTTTTTCAAAATAAAATATATTGTCTTCAAAAATGAAAACATCCAAGGTTATCATACCGTCAGAATCCCATGCCTACTTGAACACAACGTTAGCACTATTTATTTGACTGTCAACAATGATATACTTTAACATTCATTGGCCGCTAATATGATTTCTATATAATGTGCAAAGAATACTTTCCTAAAACTATATTCTCTCAAGGAGAGTCTAAATGTGAGAATATAAAACTAACTTTACCTCACTCTTTACATATACTGAACCTCTCGAGAATAAATAAATAACTTTTTTATAAATATATCTTATAAAAAGGACTTTGTGAAGAAAAGAAAGTTAATTTGTTCTTTAGTGACTTGTGACACGCTCCCTATATTATATTATATATTCCTACTATATGCTTACCATGGTACTTTGAATATTCAATTTGAACTTACATGTAAGCATGACCTGAACAGACCATTAACACTATTTATTTGACTGTCAACAATTAAATACTTTGACATTCATTGGCTGCTAATAATGATTCACTATTTAGAATTTGCAAATAATATTTTTCTATATATATATATATATATATATATATATATATATATATATATATATATATATATATATATATATATATATATATACACACACACGTTATTAATAAAGAAAGTCCAAATGTGAGAAAATAAACACCAACATTAACCTCACTCTTTACATATATTGGACCTCTCCAGAAGTAATATTTTTTTAAATCTTATTAAAAAATACCTTTTTTAAAAATAAATAAATAAAGTTCATTTGTCCAGACTTTCCGTTTCTTTAGACCATGAGCAAGCGTTCAGTGTGTCAATTAAAGTTAGCAGATGAGCTAATCAGTAAACCAGTGGCATTTAAACTTACTTGCCCTCCGATGCTGACGTCGAAGAACACAATGGGGTTGTTGGGATTTGACGGCTGAACGTTCATGGCTGTTTCAGGCTTTTATCGCTTCAGACAGCAGAAATGTTTGCTTTGAATGTGTCCAATTTCCACAGCATGAGTTTCATACAACGGTTCAAACCTGCTCGACCATGACGTCGCTACAGCAAGCAGGAGGACTTTCTACGGAAACAACCGAGGGACAATTACGAATCATTTTGAAACCATAAAAAAGGTATTGTTTACGTCTATTAGTTAAAACAATTGCTATGTGGATTATAAAGCGATCCCCAAACTATTTTTTATACAGTCAACAGCCTTATATTTATTTAAATAATCTAAGTAAAGTACGTTAATAACACGTGACCAGTATCTCTTCATGCATTCCCCAAACCTCTTGTAACCGTTATTCTAGTAAGTTCGTAGTCATTCATTCATTCTCTTTCGGCTTACTCCCTTTATTAATCAGGGGTCACAACAGCGGAATGAACCGCCAACTCATCCAGCATATGTTTTACGAAGCGGATGCCCTTACAGCTGCAACCAAGTACTGGGAAACATCCATACACACTAACAATCACACACACTACAATTTAGTCTATTCAATTCACTTATAGCGCTTGTCTTTGGACTGTGGGGGACATTTTAACAGCACAAAAATATACATGCCAGTGGGTAAGTATAAATCAAATACAAATACACAGAATGTACATATGTAGTAATCAAATAAATACATTGTAGAATTCACAAAGTTTTAAAGTGTGTAGGGCTTTCTTATTTAGAGAGTCTCTGACACTGCTAATATATAAGCATAATTCAGCCATCAATACCTTAAAATTCGCTATCTTATTTACATTTATAAATGTGAAATTTTGTTAGCAGAATAAGTAAATTAATTAAATAAAAACTATTTTCCTCGATTTATTATCTTACAGTGATTTTTTTAGATAAATTTGGTTTTCCAGATACTCCAAAAGAGTATGCTATTGTATTTGATGTCATCTCTCAACAGCTTCTTCATTTTATAAGAGCGTATGGAAATAAATCTTTAGAAGGAAATATGTTAAAGATAACCTTTTTTTAGGAGATCTTGATATTATTAAACAAAGAAAACTAATGAATATATTAGAAATATTACAACAGGTGATACAGTTATATATAATAATTTAAAATGGACCAATGTATTTATAAATATAAATTGGAAAAAAGCTTGGCGTTTTTATGCAATATATTGTATAAATAACAAAGTAAAAGAAATTACATTTAAAAATTTTTATAGTGTATATCCAGCTAAAGAGGTTTTAGAGAGATTTAATTTGAATATTGATTATTCCTGTGATTTTTGTTGCATGGAAAAGGAATCTTTTGTCCACATCTTTTGTGATTGTATATACACAAGATTTTTTTGGGGTGGATGTGGAAAATATTCTAAGAAGGAAAACAAATATTGTATTCAAGTTAAAAAGTTTTGATATTTGCATTTATTATGTTAACACATGTAAAAACAAATTACCTTTCTAGTACAACTTTTTATTTTTTGGGGAAAGTTTCATTTACATAAAAAATGGACTGGATCAAAGCCAAATTTAGTTTATTTCCTTCGACAAATGACTACTGCACAAGATTGGTGAACATTATTAATAAAAATGCAAAGAAGACTTGTAATATTCTGAAAGAAAATAATATGTTTATATATATATATATATATATATATATATATATATATATATATATATATATATATATATATATATATATATATATATATATATATATATATACACGCACACACACACACACACACACTCTGGCATTTATTTTTGTGTATAGTACTGTATAATTCTGTATCTGTTTATAAAAAAAGAAAACTCAAATTAGTAGTGTACTAGTCTTACTAAGGCTTGAGAGGATGATCTGTTACTGCCATCTCGTGGTTAAAATGGAAATTACGGCAAAAACTTAAAAAGGGGCAAACACTGAAAAAAGATTAAGTGACCAAAAATAATTGCACAAGGGTATTGGGGTCAGAAAATCTTAAAAATTACAATAGCCTACATCACAATGTTTAAAAGGGTTTTAAGAAAAAAAAACAGCAATTTTCACACAAAACAAAATCAGATTCTCTTCATTCATTCGTTTTCTTTTCAGCTTAGTCCGAAAAGAAATTATTAATCTGGGGTCGCCATAGTGAAATGAACCGCCAACTTATCCAGCATGTTTTACACAGCAGATGCCCTTCCAGCTGCAACCCATCACTGGGACACACCCGTACACTCTTATTCACACATAAACTATGGCGAATTTAACATTCAGTCCACCTATAGCGCATGTCTTTGGACTGTGGGGGAAACCGGAGCACTTGGAGTAAACCCACGCGAACATGGGGAGAACATGCAAACTCCACACATAAACCTCTTTAACATTGTTATATGTACATGCTGAATAATTGATATCTGAAGTCACAATCCTAATGTTCAAATTCAAACACTTTATTTTATTTTTAAGATCTGAGGCAGGGGCGGACTGGCCAGCTGGCAATTCTGGCAAATGCCAGAAGGGCCGGACCAATTTTTAAATGTGGGCCGGTCAGTTTTTTTTTTTTATTTGTATTGTTTTTAAGTGCAGACAGCTTTTATCTCTTGCTAGATGTGATATTATGATGATGATAATAATAATAATCATAATAATAATAATAATAAATGTTAAGCATGTGGCCCAATCGGCAACTGCCGCCTGGTTTCAAGATGGGCCGACCCAATCCGAGGTTACCCGGACATAATCAAAATCTGGAAAGGAATATCATATTATTTCACCATCTGTACACTAAATAGTGAATGTGCGTGTCTGTGGGTGGGGCTGTGTCGGTGTGGTAATGTGGGCTGGTGTGGCTACAGTGCCAGGGATGAATTTTTGTCCCAGTCCGCCCCTGATCCGAGGTAAACTATCTGCTGCTGCTTTCAGTAGTATGGTAATAAATGTCACGTAAAATGTCACATTATTAGCATTTAACACTGAATAAAGCACATGAGCTGTACCTGAGGAGATTGCTGTTTACCTGTGAGAAATAGAAGCCTCAAATTTCAGATGTCGGTTACTAAAAAAAAAAATATTTAGATGTCAGATGTCTCACCTTGAATGCAGAAAACAGCCGTAGTCACCATCTAACCCTATCTGTAGTGAATATACAGCTGACTGGGTAAGATCTCTGTGGGGAGTTCTGTGTTGGCATGTGGAAAGGGTCTGTTGGTGAAGTTTGCTCCTCGCCATTGTCCCCTCTGTCTTGCTTGATTTGGGACTTGTGAAGCTCCTCATTGTTGGATTTGGTCTTCTGTGTTTTGGCCTTAAGCAGTGACATTCACATTACACTGAACTAAACCGCTTCAGTCCAGTTGTCACAGTTGAAGTTCAGTTTAATTTGCTAGAACTATGTAAAGCTGTTTAACACAATCTACATTGTAAAAAGCGCTATAAAAGTCAAAATGAATGAAATAAGTTTTGAAGTATACAGGCATCACTGTGCCATTTTGTAAAACCTGAAACAATATAACGCCATTGTTTGGCAACCTCAACTGCTAGGTGAAGACAGGACAGTTCAACACTTTAACTATAGGAGTGCATTAAGTTAATATTGAACGAAATGAAAACACTTTATATGTGAAAAGTATTCATTTTTATTCATTACATACAGAACAAGCATTTATTTACAATCTCCAAAAATAAACCAAAAATCTTCTTCTCTTCATCCAGATACAAACGCCGGCCCCCTTCAGCTCCTCCTCTTTATCAAACCACAAACACCGGCCCCAAACAGCTCCTCCTTCCCACACAACCACAAACACCAGCCCCATTCAGCCTTTTCTCTTCGTAAAGCCACAAACTGCCCCATGTTCGTGGCTTGACGGAGTTTCTGGCTGAATATAAAAGAGGAGCTTAGTGTTAGCGGCTGGATGAAGAGGAGGAGTTCGGTGTTAGTGGATCGATGAAGAGGAGAAGTTTGGTGTTGACGGCTGGATGAAGAGGCTGGATGTTCTGATCTTCTTAATCTTTTCGTCTGTTGTTTGGCTTCAGGATGAAGACCTGGAACCACCTCTGGTGAAGGATCTCGTCAAGTGAAAGCCGCTTGTCTGGCTTACTCTGCAGACACGAGCAGATCAGATCTACGGCTTCTGTGAAGAAAGAAGGGGGAGATGTCAGGTTATTAGAAAACTTTACGGTTGGTGTAAATGATCACATGTTTTAAGATCCTGTTTCATCATCCACATGCGCTCACCTTTGGATAGGTCTTCAGGCTGCCAGGTTCTTTTGACAATCTTGTGGAGCTCCATATGAGGGTAGCGTCCACACAGCATCCTGAACAACAGTTTGCCTAAAGAGTACATGATTGCAGGCTTGGCGTGGAACCTTCCCTTCTGATAGAACTCCGGGGGAATACAAGCCATTGAGCCTGGAAGAAAGAGAAAGATTTAGTCCCAATGCAGTTAGCTTTTAGTCTGAATAACCATATTAACAAAATAACTTCACATAAATTGTGGCCATTATCATACATACCCCAAAATGTTGTATAGCCTGTGTCCTTAATGAGGCTTCCGGTGCCAAAGTCCATCAGTTTGACCTGCAAGGTGTGGGGGTTGATGAGCAGGCTCTCCAGCTTGATGTTATTGTAGACTCCCCTTTCGCAGCATGCGTTGGCAGCAGTGATCACCTGGTGCATCACCACTCGTGCTTTCGCTTCGCTGATTTTGTTCCCACAGGAGGATACAAACTGGTCCAGGCTCACAGCTGATTTGGGATGCTCTAGCACCAGTATGTATTGATCTGGTGCCTCATACCAGTCCAGCAGCTGTATTACTTGAGGAACCTTCGGACCTCTGCTCATCATAGTCATCAAACCGACCTCTTGTGGAACAGTCTTGTCAGATGGTTCCTGCAGGAGAGATAATAGACGTATTAGTGAGATGTGATTGAACTGAAGTGGAGACTATTTTTAACAATGTTGCGAGTGTGTACTTACAATCGTGATCCTTTCCATTGATTTTGTATTCTTCACGCATTTGATATCCACCTGTTGACCAAGAGAAAGCAAAAGTTAATACACACGATCCAGTCATGCGGCATTCGTTAAATTTACATTTCAAGGGAAAAGCCCAAAATCTTTTTGTTATGTCTGAAACAAACCATTCGGCAATCCGACAGACGGATTCCCTCATAGATGACTCCTGTTGATCCTTGACCAATCAAGTGAAGGATTTTATAGTCCTGGGAGATTCTACCTGTAAATAAAACAAAAAGAAACAAACAATGAAGTACATTTATAAGCTTAAACCAACAAAAATCTGAGCGAAGATTGCTTTAGAATAGCTCTATTTTAATAAACTATTATTATTGAAGGTGCCTTATAATGGACTGGTTCAATCAGATCAATTGTCTGATATCTATATTATAGGTATATTATGGCTTAGGTATGTTTAAAAATCTGCTCATTTATTATTCTGACACATAACTATATAGGAACTTTCTGCTGTATGGATGTGGCATACTAAATTTGATATATCATGCAGCCCCAATCTGAGCCATGTTATGGTAGACAGACACTCAAACGTTTAAGCTTGGCATGCACGGGTCAGGTTCAGTGGTTTAAATAATCTCAAACACTTCACAACAGTACTTGCTGACATATAAACCTGGTCAGATTCAAAAAATCTTGATTAGCTAAAAATGATTATGATTCAAAATGCTTTTAGTGCAATTCTTAAAAACACTTCAGAAATATTTTCTTAAAGGAACATTTTTTTCTCATGAATACAGTTAAGTTATAGTATAGAGCTATTTGTAATAACATATTCTGTAATATATTTTATAATATGTTCACTCAGAACTTAAGTAACTATCATTATCATATGCAGTGGAGTAAAAAGCTCAATATTTAGTTTGGGATTGTTATATAACTTGTAGTGAAGTACAATGTACTTCAGGATAAAAACACCTGATAAACTGACCTGTATTTCCTTCCCAGTTGAATGTGGTTTCCTGTTCTGTTTTCCAAAAATCCGATGAGGAAGATGTGCTGTCCTCGGACACGCTGGAGTCCTCGCTGGAAGCGTTTTCCTCATCGTTGTGGTGTTCAGCGGTCAGCGAAGACGCACAAGGCTGCCTACTGTGCACTGAAGCGCGGTCAGATTCGCTGATGCCCGCGGTACCCAGCGAAGACGCACAAGAGTGCCAACTTAACACTGATGCGCGGTCAGATTCACTAACCGGGGTGCCAAGCGAAGACGCGCACGAGTGCCAGCTGTGCATTGAATCGCGGTCGGATTCGCTGTTTCCCGCTGTGGTAAGAGAAGATACAGAAAAGTCCCAGTATTCAGTGTCGTCGTGCCGTTCAGTTTCTGTTGACGGGGTCTTCACAGGGGTCTGGATAGACACGCGCCTGTTGACCCGCTCGTCATGAACTGTCCTCGGCGACACACACGCAGCTTCGCCGTCAGGAGATCTCTGAGGCTGTGGGCTGCTCAGCTGGATCTGTGGGGCTCTGGTTCTAGTTCTCTTGAATTTCCGAGAAAACCATTTCCAGAGCCTCTTAAGTTTCTTCTCTCTTGTCTGTGGTGCTGGGCTTGGTGAAACACCAGCTCCAGTGTGAATGTGGGAGATGAACGTAGCGTTGCTCGGTCCGGCTTCGTCATCAGAACATCTCCGGTGCTCGAGATCGCCCTCGGATGTGCACTGGTTCTGCTGGGCTTTCCCGGATTTCCGAGAGGCCCAGTTACAGAACTGTTTTACTCTCTTTCTAACTCGTCCCATTGCTTTAGGTTTCTTTCCAAACTCGAGAGAATTGTTATCAACGTCGAACTGAATATTTGTAATATCACAATCAACTGAAAACGCCATAAATCAGACGTAAAACGCAGATCTATAGTTATTCGGTGCAGCTCGCTCGAGTTGTTGTAAGAGAATGAGCCGGTCTGCCTTCTACATCATTATAAGAATACGATGGGACGTTTGACGTCATGGCTCATTTGCATACAGCAGCGCAAGGCAGCGCCATTCAAAAGAAAATAGATGTTTTCTACCGAAAATGTAAATCTTAGCTGTGTTTAAAAACATTTCTTCTTTTCTAAAAAGTTTCTTATTACATTTTACAATATCTCGTTCGTCAAACTTCGAGCTGGAATCACTCACAAACATTAATTATTTATTGATAATCGCAATTATGTGGGGAGGGGGTGTGGTGTTTAATGCTTGATTTCCCTGAAGGATGTCAATACAAGATGTGTGTTTGGTTGGGCGAGAGTCTTTCCTTTATATAGTGTTAAAATCGTTTGATCTGATCTGTATTAAACTAAACAACTACAACTTATAAAAAATATGTTCACGTAAATTTGACCCGCCCCCCTCCTTTCTCCCTCGCCCGTAATGGTTCAGTCCTAGATGCATGATTGCGCCCAGCGGTGATGAACGCTGTTAGTGATCTAAAGACACATTTTTTCTTGTGAAATTGGTGTTTGTGACTACATATAGCCGACAAGTAAAGTCAGATTAGACTCATAGTGTGTATTTAGAATAAATAATCATTTTAATTTGATTGTAATGCATTAATGAGCACTTCTTTAACCAAACTTTTTCGTATGAAGGGGCCAAAAACCAATTATTGAGAGCCGTGGCCGAAGGTAAATATACCAAACTATAGTTGCCATGGATAGTTTCCTCATTTATTTCCTAATATTACAAAATAAATCTAAACATCTAAATCTTAAACATAATCACATTTATTTTGACTTGATTTGCTCATCAAAGTCTCTGTATTTTCAGCTGACAGTATGTACATTTAAACAAAATCTGACTTAATTTATATCATCTAATTAAAACTTTTAATTTCACTTAGCTTTTAATATTAAAATAAGCAAAGGTTACATTAAATTTAAATTGACAAATTTTGAAACCATCCCATTCATTCTCCCTCTCTTCTCAGAAGGGATGGTGGGCCAAATCAAAGCTTACCATGGGCCAACTTTGGCCCTAGTTTGGGCATCTCTAAACAATATTTATTGTGAAAAGCGGCATACAAATAAACTTGAATAGAACTGAGTGTACATGCCTGTGCTGGCACATGGAAGTTACATTTCAGGTACTTTTCCAGATGTTGATGAATTTGCTATGCTATATGATAATACTTTACATTTAAGTACAGCACTTTTCTTTTTTTACTTTAAGAACAGTAACCTACCATTTTTAACTTTTAAAAGCACATTTTAATTTAAATCTTGACATTTTTAGTTGTTTGTTTGTTTGTTTTTTACATATAAGCACAGTACAGTGTTAAGAGCTGTAGCTGCTTTACTGGGCTTACTGCGCTACTGTATTTCAATACTGCTCATTATGGTGGTACTTGGAGAGACAAGTTGTTTTTGAGGTGGTACTTGATGAAAAAAGTTTGAGAACCACTGGCCTACTTCATTAGCAGCCAAAATTGTAAAGCAAAAAGAAAACACTGTTGCTATTTTAAAACACTTTTACTTGTGTTGTTATTGCTCTATATGGACTTAATTATTATGTATGATCCTTCCTTGTGAATATAAAAAATAAATGTATGTGCAATGTATTTTTGTAATACGTAATTATTGCAATCTTGAAAAAGTCAATGATTACAAAAAAACACGAATCCATTTCTGTAATGTTACAGTTTGAAAGCACCAGTGTGCTATAAAAAACAACCATGTACAGTCTTATAAACCATTTGCATGTGAAAAACTACATTGTTGCGCAGGTTCACATCTGCATTGTACTGTCAAAACAGAAAAGCCACCGCCAATTCAAAAACTTTAGAGCTAGAATTTCAGTTATTTCCTTTCATTAAATAGAGTATTTTAATATCTCAGTGATGACAAAACTGATGATTGTGCTCACAGAACAAGATTATGAAGCCATCTACAGAGATCTTCCTCTATGTTAACTAGATATAGTCTAGCTACATACAATAAAACAATATGCAAAAGAGAGACTGACAGAGAATGTGATCTGCCTTCATTTCTGTATTGGTTTGAAGTGTATTTTAGGAAATTCTTATATAATTATACATTATTATATTATACATAGTATATTTTGTATAAATATAGCACAAAATGGTAATTACAAAATTGCGTAAGCTCTAAATAATTCTGTTTGTTGCACAGAAAAACCCCCAAAATAATTGTAAAATAAGGTTGGTTTAATGCCAAAAATCATTAGAACATGTAAAGATTGGGTCCCAGGAGGAAAATTTCTACTGTAAATTTATCAAAACTTATTTGTTTGATTAGTAATGTGTGTTCTAATCTCATTTGGAGAACTTTAAAGGCGGTTTTCTCAATATTTAGTTTTTTTTTGTTTGTTTTTACATTCTTAGATTCCAGATTGTCATATATCTTGGCTAAATGTTATCCTATGCTAACAACCGTACATCAGTGGAAAACTTTTATTAATTTTTTCAGGCTCATCTTTCAAAATTTGACCCTCATCACTGTTTGGGGGATTTTCCTGCTTACTGGAGTTGTATTACTGTCCTGATCCTGATTGTCTTTGGATGTCATTCATGTATGACTGTATTAACCAACGATAACCAACGCACATAACAGATAACCAACGCACATAACAGTCTCTTTTTCTGCTCAGTACAACACTACATACTCCATCCAATTTTGCACTATTTTATTTTTTTATTCTTTTTTTGCACATAATCCAATTGCACTAGGCACTTTTTGCATAATAAGCACAATAAAAAAAAAAAACCCAAAAAAAAACAAAAAAATAAACACTGTACACTGTTTACATCTGTTTCATTACTCAAATCAGGTTTACATATTGTTTACTTTCATAGATATTTATATACTTACATTTTACAATCAATCTTCAGTCACTTCTGTGTATATATGTGTATTTATGTGTATGTTGTGTATGATGTGTATGTTGTGTGTATGACTTCACTGTGGACGGCAAAGTAAGAATCTCATTGTACAGGGAGACGTGTTTCCTTACTGTGCACATGACAATAAACAGTTGAATTGAATTGAATTAAGAGCTGACAGTAGTTTGCAGCATACTGTGGTGTATGGTTTTACATGACGGTATTAATCACATGCAGCATTAATATTACACACACAGCTGTGTTTAAAGTTCAGAAGGCTCTGATGTTGAATGCTGCTGGTCAGTTCAGGTCTTTGTCCAGTAGAGGTCAGTCTGTCGTCTTCATCAGAGCCAATTATTAATGTAGATGGAAATTTGTAAATTTGACAGTTCATATTCACAAAACGAGGGGAAACACAAATATGATTAAACTTCTAAATGTGAAAACTGCTCCAGCATTTTAGTTTATGTATCAGTTTCAATAGATTAAATATCGACATATTTTATTAACAAAAATTCAAGTACAGTAATAATATCATATAAATAGCATCATATTATATTGAGTACTGAGTCTTAAATAAGTAATTTTAAACAAAAGATGTTTTCATATACACCACAAGACCAAATAATATCATTTAATAAAATAACACTCTCCTAAATCTTCGCCTGGATGATCCATGAGTGCCCCCCCCCCCCTCCTTTTTTTTTTTCCAGAAAATTTCCCTGGACACTGTTTTGTCTTCAGTATTGACCGTATGATTTGAGAATTCATCTTGTCACACCAAGGACAACAACACAACTATTACAGAAGATAAGAACATGAACTGATGCACTCACTGACTTTATACCTTCTCAAAATATTGTGGAAAACTGATGTGGTTGAAAATAAGAGAAGTAATACAGGTTCCATATGTATGATCCATATCATTTTATTAGGGGACATGTTCTATGTTACATCCCTTAATAATATTCCAGATAAGTTACCAAATGTGTGGAAGTAAACAGTAAACTTCAAGCAATCGTTCACCCAAAAAGAAGATGGTCTTGCCCATGTCTACATGCCTAAATGCATTGAGTTGCTGCCATGTGATTGGCTGATTAGAAATGTACCTAATAAAGTGGCTGGTAAGTGGCCACCTAAACACACACACACACACACACACACACACACACACACACACACACACACACACTTACCGGCCACTTTATTAGGTATACTTGTCCAACTGCTTTTTTTAACACACATTTCTAATCAGCCAATCACACGGCAGCAACTCAATGCATTTAGGCATGTAGACATGGGCAAGACCATCAGCTGCCGTTCAAACTGAGCATCAGAATGAGGAAGAAAGGGGATTTAAGTGACTTTGAACGGGCTTGTCTATGTATTTCAGAAATTGCTGATCTACTGAGATACGCACAACCATCTCTAGGGTTTACAGAGAATGGTCCAAAAAAGAGAAAATATCCAGTGACCGGCAGTTCTGTGTGCGCAAATGCCTTGTTAAGGGTCAGAGGAGGCTCAACAGCGCCAAAAATAGATAACAGTAACTCAAATAACCTGCACCTGACATCTGAACGCACAACATGTCCAACCTTGATGTTGATGGGCTACACCGGATGCTACTCCCGTCAGCTTAGAACAGGAAGCTGAGGCATCAATTCACACAGGCTTAACAAATTTGAACAATAGATGATTGGAAAAACAATGCCTGGTCTGAAGTGTCTCGATTTTTGATATAATATTCAGATGGTAGAGTCAGAATTTGGCAACAACAATATGAAAGCGTGGATCCATCCTGCCTTGTATCAACGGTTCAGGTTTGGTGGTCGTTCTGTAATGGTATGTGTGTAATATTTTCTTGGCACACTTTGGGCTTATTAGTACCATTACTATTACTATTAGTAATATTTCCAGTACCTTTTTGAATCTATGCCACGAAGGATTAAGGCAGTTTTGAATGGAAAGGAGGGTTACTAGTGAGGTGTACCTAATAAAGTGGCCGGTGAGTGTGTGTGTCTGTATGTGTGTGTGTATATATATATATATATATATATATATATATATATATATATATATATATATATATATATATATATATGCATTTAACTATAGTATTATTTGAACTTTTGAAGACACCAGTTTATTTATTTTAATTATTATTTATTTATAAAAAACTACATTTTACTCAAATTGCAATTTTTTAAAAGAAGCAAAAGAGTAAGATTTTACAGAACAAATTACAATTTTAAGATTTTAATTTATTTATTTTGTGGGTTTGCATTTTTAAATGATTTTTATTTAAACTTCAATGAAGAGAGTTACAACACAACAGCAATAAAACAAATACAACACTTCTAAATCTACATCACAGATAATAGACATTAAAATATGTACAAACAAAAAAGTTACTTTGCCACAAATAAATAATAATAAAGGCAGGCAGTGGGCTTTTTTGAGTTTTTTTTATTTTTTTTTTACATTAATTAAATGCAGGGTGACGCGGTTGCGCAGTGCGTAGCACAATCGACTGCAAGAAGGTCACGAGTTCAAACCTTGGCTGGATCACTTCTGTGTGGAGTTTGCATGTTCTGCCCGTGTTCATGTGGGTTTCATCTGGGTGCTTCGGTTTCTTTCACAAGTCCAAAAACATGCGGTGCCTTAAATAAACTAATTTGTCTGTAGTGTATGAGTGTGAATGTGAGTGTATGGATGTTTTCCAGTGATGGGCATCCGCTGCGTAAAACATATGCTGGATAAGTTGCCGGTTCATTCCGCAGTGGCGACCCCAGATTACTAAAGGGCCTAAGCCGAAAAGAATAAATGAATGAATAATTAAATGCAAATAGCTCATTTAAATGAATGAATTCAAATAGCTCATTTAACTTTACCTGACAGAATAAAAAGTAGACATTAACCTGAATTTAAATGTTTTCAGAGTTTTCTGTTTTGTGATTGTTCTAAAAGATTTACATATACTTTGAAGTCTTTTATAAAATGGGAAAAGTTTGGTATAGTGAGCGCATTTTTTCTTATCTAAATGGTCTTTTCTTAATAACACAAGCAGAATTTGTAGACTTACGTGAGCAACGTGAGTTGCGGTGTGTTTACATCATACGCCATGACAGACCCTGCAGCCAATAGGGTGACACTTTAGACTAGAGAAGGCGTGACTCGTGTGTAATGGACGTGGCTTATCAAAACACCACCTTCTTTGTCGTCCATGCTATCCGCACATGCTGTTTAGCCAGAGATCAAGCACAGAGCCTCCCTGGGACTGCAGTCTCCTTTCATAAGCTCTGGCGAATCGGGAAAAGGGTAAGGTAATTAAGGAAAGACGTCTTAATACTATTAAAAGGTCGTCATGACGGTTTCGCTTAGCGTAGTTAAAGGGACCGGTGCTCTTTCTCGGACCTGCATGCTCAAGTGCAGTCTCCCTCAATCAATGGACAATATGCGAAGTTTCCTAAAATGAGTTATCATGTAATATTAACCGATGTTTATTTGCATTTATTGTCTGTATTAAAAATATATGCTTTTAAAAGTAACTTCTTTTGACATAAATGCGTCTTCAGAAAACATCCAGTCTGAGACTCGAATGCATTTTGCTATTTATAATTTTGATCAGTCCTTGTGAAATAAGGCATTTGTTTTTGTGATAAACACGAGATCGGGAGCATTTACTATAGATTTGCATGCTGTGTTTTGATATGACACGTCATAATGTTGCCATAATATTGCCAGCGAAATATTATTTTTAAATGATGTAAATAAAAAATCAGTCTTGATCTGGACTTCATTGTAGGAACCGTGGGGTGATTGTACCATCAGGGAGTAACCTTAATCACATTTTAGTTGTCAGTAGTAAACTTTGAATTAAAACATTTACATCTTAATAATATGGTGGTTGCTTTATTGTCAAATATCGCTAAAATCTACATGTCTAACTTAAATTTGATTCAACAAAGGTTCAAACGACACAGTTTGAGAACACATTTCTGTATCACAGTGTGTCTGACTTTTTTATAACCATGACAGCTGGTGATGTGACGTCATCACATCTGCAGTTTAAAACTTCTCCCTTTTCTTCTGATTTGTAACTATAATGTTGCTAGAATCCCTTATAATAATGCAATTTTCACTTGCATGGTCACTGATATACAACCACTCATCAGTATTTTATCTGGAACAATCATTTTGTATAAAAGCAAATAACTTTTTTTAAATGGTTGGTTTGAGAAAAACTTTTTGACCATATCTCAGTTATTTAGTTCGGAAGGTCTTCTCCTAAATTATAAAGAGTTTTTATGCAAATTTGGTTTCCTGGTGACTCCAAAAGAATTGTCCATTGTAATGAATGCAATTCCTAAAGGTGTTATAATGCTTTTTAGAGGCTACGGTGGAGATCCAGTGTTTCATCTTAGAGGTAAAGTTGGTTTTATATTCAGATATTCAGACATTCTCCTTAATAATATAATTTCAGGAAAGTATTCTTCCTATAAAATTCTAAATAGGGAAATCATATTAGCCGCAAATGACTAAAAACAACATTATTCACAGTGAATTAGATGGTGTTAATGCTGTTTAGTAATCATACTTGCATGCTAATTAAGATCGAATATTCAAAGTAACATGGTAAACAATATAGAGACTGCTAAATGAACGAATGTGCGAATATAAAACCAACTTAACCTCTATTGTTTCGTCTGTGCCATTGCACCCCTTGGAAACGTCAGTGGGAAAAACATATTTTTTATCACAACTTTCCTCAAGTAAATACAAAATCAGGCCTCTCTTTCAAAAGGAAATTGTAACAACCCGATATGTGACATTGTTTTTTTTTTTTGGACGGATATGACCAGATTTAATGGAAAAAGTTTGGTCTTTGTCTGTAAAATATATAATAACTTTCAAAATTAGAGAAATTTCATTTGAACTGTTACACAGATTTTACCCAGCCAAGACATTTTTGAAAAGGTTCACAGGCCTATCTAAAGGGGTAATGCTGCCAACTGATGAGCAACAATAAAATCGACGCATTTACGACTTGCCAACTGAGAAAACTACCAACAATCAAGAATGCATGATAATATGGTGTCATGGCTTTGCTATCAAAAAATGTCATTATAATAGAAGTCAATGGAGCAAAAACAGCCCCAAACATAACCAAAGGGTAGTACGTTTGAAGAGTACGCAGGTTTTGATGTAATCCTGTAATTAAATGTTTTTTTGGGTCCATGTTCATTCTTGGGTACAGGAAATATGGTGAACCAAAGAGCTGACGTGGGTTGGCACTCTAAGAGTGATTCCAGCGGGGCCAGTAACAGTGGAGAGAGCTCCAGAGAGAGCTCCAGATGCTCCACCCCAGTACCGGACGCTGACCGCACCGACCGGCTACGGGACAAAATGAAACGACGTATCGAGTCAGGGGATCACTGGTTCTCTTTAGAGTTCTTCCCACCTCGCACATCGTCTGGAGCGGTCAATCTTATCTCTAGGTAGGAAAGAAACTCATGAAAACATTGGAGACTATTTTGTAATATGATTTTCAAGATTTATTTGTGTTTTAAAATGTATTATATATATATATATATATATATATATATATATATATATATATATATATATATATATATATATATATATATATATATATATATTATAATAATGTTATTTCATTAATTAATTTATTTATTACAGATAAAAAGGATAAACTTTTATCTTTTTATAGCTGCCTTTGCTTCTATTTTTCATTCATTCATTCATTCATTCATTCTTTTCGGCTTAGTCCCTTTATTAATCTGGGGTCACCACAACGAAATGAACCGCCAACTTATCCAGCATATGTTTAGGGCAGCGGATGCCCTTACAGCTGCAACCCATCACTGGGAAACATCCATAGACGCACAAACTACGGGCAATTTAGCTTACCTACTTCACCTATAGACTCAGACTCAGCTTTATTATCCCGTTAGGGAAACTAAAATTGCAACAAGGTACCATAACACAGGCGAAGTTCCATGTACACATTAAAAAATATTACCACACAACATCCATACATCAGTATATAGAAACATCCCCCTCCCCCCTGGACTCATTTAATGACCAGGAAACTCATGCAAACACTGGGAGAACATTCAAACTCTGCACAAATCCCATCTGACCTAGCTGAGGCTCCAACCAGCGACCTTCTTGCTGTGAGGCGATCGTGCTTCCCACTGCACCACCGTGACACCAACATATTTATCATGTGTGATACTAATTCTACAATTGACGCTTATATGTGGGTTTTTGTTGATATGATGTTGCAATTTTCCCTCACACATCACAAAAATAAATATATAATCAGTATAAGTATGTAGTAAATTGTGGGCATTTCACAAAACTCGGTAATCCTCGCAGCCAAGTATATATGGCTGATTTCTCTTCAGCCCCGCCGGGGTATCAAAAATCTATACCCAAGTAAAAGACAAGTACAAGTGCTTGTGGAAATTTTTACCCAAGTAAAAGTAACAATCTTAAAAGTTAATATATATATATATATATATATATATATATATATATATATATATATATATATATAGACACACACACAGTTAAGGTCAAAATTATTCACCCTCCTGTGAATTTCTTTTTTTTTTTTTTTCTTTTTTTTTTCTTTCCCCTAAATTATGTTTAACAGAGCAAGGATAGTTTCATAGTATTTCCTATAATATTTTTTCTTCTGGTGAAAGTCTTACTTGTCAGCTAAAATAAAAGCAGTTTTTAATGTTTTAAAAACCATTTTAAGGTCAATTTTATTAGCCCCCTTAAGCGATATTTCTTTTGTCTACAGAACAAACCATCATTAATGATTTGCCTAATTAGCCGAACTTGTCAAATTATCATGGTTAAGCCTTTGAATGTCATTTTAAAAAATATATCTTTTATATGGGTGTGTCTCTGCCAAGGACTACTGAACCATTCTGGATGACCATGTGCACCCATGGCCTGCACAGTGACCAGATTCAAATACTATTGAGTCACTTTGGGGTGTTAGGAGGCTCTACACCAGTGGTGCTCAACCCTGTTCCTGGATATCGACCTTCCTGCATAGTTCAGCTCCAACCCTGATCAAACACACCTGAACCAATTAATTAGGACCTAAACAGCACTTGGTAATTACAGGCAGGTGTGTTTGATATGGATTGCAACTGAAATCGGCATGAAGGTCGATCTCCAGGAACAGGGTTGGCCACGCCTGCTCTACACCATACTAATGAATTATTTTGGTCTAAAACCAGGGATTTCAGTGTCATTGTTCCACCCCTGTATGTAGCTTTGAAATTAATTTAGCATTGTGGCATTTGAAAATTGTGCATTTTTCCTTTTACTGTTGTGCAAAAATAATCTCTTTTTGTTCTGTGTGTGGTAGATTTGACCGAATGGGTTCCGGAGGCCCTCTCTTCATTGACATCACTTGGCATCCCGCTGGAGATCCGGGCTCAGATAAAGAAACGTCTTCCATGATGATAGCAAGCACAGCGGTCAACTATTGCGGTCTGGAGAGTGTCCTGCATTTAACATGCTGCAATCAGACAAAGGAGAAAATAACAGACCATTTAAATAAAGCCAAGCGGCTCGGCCTAAAGAATATCATGGCCCTGAGAGGAGGTACGAACACTGTCACTTACTGAAATTGAAATACTGTAACACATACAATGCTAGGGTTGGGTACCGCAACCCGGAGTCATACCTTTGGAACTGGTATGCACCGGATCAAATCAGCATATGAATTTCGGTGCCTAATTTCGATGCTGCAATAAGAACGTAAAGCACACCAGAAGCGCCACTCTGCGAATTCGCAAGTCAGCGGCTGTCCGCATCGCCCAGCCACGACTCATGACTATTCATATTTCTGCCATGCCACAGAGTGCCATCTGAATAGTTTCATTTTAAATAACATGCGATTGTGCACGTCTGGTGTGTGATACTATCAACTGTCATGTGCGCGCCGTGCCGCGGCTCTGAGCGGCGCATCCGCTGTGTGACGCCCTTAAGAAGCATAAAGGGGTGCATTAAAGGCACACGTGAGTAAGCGTTCTGTCACACTATCTCTAAATGTTTAATTCTAAACAGCTTTGAGGGATACGGATATCAGACGTTTGTTATTGTAGCTTATAGAAGGCAAAGCGCGCAATATGGCGCATGCGGCGAGCGACTCACTTCATCAACACGCATGATCGCATTCATCTAATTTGCTTAAACTAAGCATTCTAAAATATGGCTATATTTTACAAGCAAGTATTCTGACACACCAACATGCAGCAGATGTTTTACAAAAGTGGAGTGTAAGGGAGAAACACGTCAAACTTATGAAATGTGAGGGCTCATGGAATCAACTTAAAGGTGAGAAATGGATAGTCTTTGACAGCTTGTGACATCATCTGGCACATTATACGAGTACGTTTACATGGACACCAATACTCTGATTTTAATATGATTAAGACAATACTCTGATTAAGAGTCTTCCACGTAAACACTGATTTTTGATTATCTTAAAGGACCACAGACACAAGCTTTATAGGCTGTTGACGCAGTGACGTTAATGGATCTATGTGCCATAACACGTTATTGGGGGTCATGAATGTAACATTCAAAAAACAACTCATGTAAACACCTGAATCATATTATTTTCTTATTCAGAGTAAGGCAAATATTAAATCACTGATGTCCATGTAAAAATAGTCACAAGCTCCAAACCCAGAAAAAAGGTGCTCCTGATTTTGATGACAGCCTTTCCACAGGTTAGTAGTAAGCTAATGTAATGTTAATAGCATAATGCAAATCTTGCATTTATGCTAACAAGTAAGTGATCAAAAGAAATATATTAATGCAATAAAAATATATAAAATATGAATTGATTTTTACTTTAAACGTATTATAAATAAAAAATTTATATTGCTCAATTATAATGATTAAATGTTTATTTATATATATATATATATTTTTGTCAATAAATTTTGTGGCTTAAAAAGTATCGGTTTAGGCACCGTTTTGGCACCGGTACCGTTTTAAAAGTATCGATTTAGCACTGGTATCGAAAGAAAAAGCAAATGATACACAACCCTATACAATGCATCTGGAAAGTATTCATAGCGCTTCACTTTTTCCACATTTTTTTATGTTACAGCCTTATTCCAAAATGGATTAAATTAATTCATTTCCTCAACATTCCTCAACACCGAATACCCCATAATGGCAATGCCAAAAAAAAAATTGAAACAAAAAGCCTCTTCTGTTTCTATATTTGGGCTTCCAAAGAACACGATACAAAGAGTGAAGTGCTTACAGTTCAATATTAATTATGTTCCAAAGATTTATAAAACAAATATATAGCTCTAGCATTTGACAAAGGACAGCTTTCAGAATGTCTTCCAGTTCAGTGCTGGATTTATCTAAAAACTCCTCAAAGAAGGAGCAGTTTCAACGGTAATAGATGAAGCTGTGGATTGTGAGCCACAGCCTGTAAGTATTTTTATTAGTTAAAATTGATTTATTACATCATTATTTATTACAATGAATGCGTGCGTGAGAGAGAGCGAGAGAGAGAGAGAGAGAGAGGGGGAGGGGGAGGGAACCCGGACCAATTTGTGGGTCATTTGCTTTGCGCTACTTGCATTGTATTTGCATTACCTCGCACAATAATCTTTACATATATTTCTAAATAATGTAAAAGTAGTCAAAACAAATGACAACAACACAGTGTTGCGTTTTTTTTTCCTGTAACAACAGCACAGCGCATATCAGTAAATCTAATTATTATTATTGTTGTTATTATTATTACTGATTGATTTATTTTCTTATAAATTTTAATATATTTTTTTCATCTTTCTTGTGTAAAAAAATTCCAATCTTCTTTTTTTTAATGTTTTTAATTGGTCATGGAGGAGGGGAGAACATGAGACTGATTATATTGATGCTCAAGGGACAGACGAGTCTTAGCTGAGGCCAGCTTCCAGCCTCCGCCGCTGAGACTGCAGCTCTGCACAAAATGTTTGGCCAGCGGAGAAATTAAAATGGTCTTGCCCAACTGAGTCTGGTTCTCTCAAGGTTTTTTTTCTTTGCTCGCCAATCGGTGAAGTTTTTTTTTTCCCTCTCCGCTGTCGCCTCTAGCTTGCATGGTTTGGGATCGGTAGAGCTACCCATTGAAGAATTTGCTCTTCAGTGTTTGGACTCTCAGTAATGATTTTAAACCACACTGAACCAAGCTGAACTGAACTTAAACACTAGAAACTGAACTACTCTGTTCCAATTACTATGACCATTTATGTGAAGCTGCTTTGACACAATCTACATTGTAAAAGCACTCTACAAATAATGCTGAATTGAATTGAATTAGATTTTTTTTAAACAAAATTAGATGACAAAATGAACAAATTAGAAATTAAATTATTATTGTTATTATAATATTGTGAAATTTAGCTAAACAATGTCTTTGAAAACCGATCATGACAGCAACACATTAACGCTGTTATGAATGTAATAAAAACCGATGATTGTTTGTTGTAAAAATGCTAAATGTATAAACGTTTAAGCCATGTTGCGGTTGTATTTAAGGGAATTTCTCATACCTTATAATTTGTGGTGGGTTTCTGAACAATCTTATACTTGAATTGTTTCAGCCACTACACCTCAATGCAAAAGAGAATCACAACACCCTATAGTGAAAGCAAAGGGGATGTGCTAAGGACCAGATTTGGGATTTGGCCTTCGTAGTTGTTTGACCAATTTTTCTTTTTGTTTCATCTTATGTTTCAGATCCTGTTGGGGAAGATTGGGTGGAGGAAGATGGTGGTTTTAACTTTGCGACAGATCTGGTCAAACACATTCGCCATGAATTCGATGACTACTTTGATATCTGTGTAGCAGGTAACCTTCAAACAAGTAGTTTATGATGTCACTATTACCAATTCTCAACGCTCAAACATTACATATTTTCTCCTATAGGGCTTCGGAAATATCATAATTGTTATTATTTTGGTCGGAATTATGAATATTTAAATATGATTAAATATTATATTATTTAAATAAATAAAAAAGATTATTCATTCATTTTCTTTGTTAATCTGCGGTCGCCACAGCGGAATGAACCACCAACCTGTTCAGCATATGTTTTAAGCAGCAGATGCCTTTCCAGCTGCAACCCATCACTGAGAAACACCCACACACTCTCACTCACGTACATAAATACGGCCAATTTAGCTTACCTAATTCATCTATACCACATGTCTTTGGACTGTGGGGGAAACCGGGGAGAACATGCAAACTTCACACAGAAATGCCAACTGATCCAGCTGCGGCTCGAACCAGCAACCTTCTTAGGCCCCGTTTACACTAATGCGTTTTAGTTTGAAAACGCATACGTTTTGCTGCGGATACGCCGTCCGTCAACACTACGCCTGAGTTTTCGAGAGGCGAAAATATATAAATACTGACAATTTTATTTTATTTGGCCCACTCCACAATTGACTAGTTTCTGTCCTCTATATGCTAAAAAGGCAATAATGGGCCATCATTACTGTTCATTATCACCAATAAAGCCTAAAAAAACAGGGCATCAGTATATTGTAAACCGATAGGTTCAAATATTCTTTTCCAGTTATCAAAGAAATCATTTGTGACTTCCTTTTAGTTTGTAACTATTGAATTGTTTTAAACTCAAAACTGTAACATATACATCAGTGTTAAACCTATAAATGGTGAAAAAACATATTCTGTATTAAAACCACCTGGGTCTCCACTTTTGCCATGGCCTCTTTTTTTTTTTTTTACAAAAACATTCTTCCCTTCCCACGGCTCTTTAAATTTGTTGCCAATAATTAGGCTATTGGTCATCCGATTATCCCTATGATCCCCGATCATAAAAGATGTCTGTACAGGTGTACCTGTTTCACACCAAATCTCTTCAAAGTGATTCATATTCAACTCAAATCAAATGCGGCGCTGCACAAACTATTCGCTCGATTCTCAAAAAAATCATGTCATGCGCACCCAAAGTGAAGCTATGCAAACACAGCAATGACATCACATATGCCGTGCGCACTCAAGCTAACTACACGTTGAGTATAAACCAGGCTTGAGCCTATTGGCAGATTATTTAGCTTGTCTTAAGGAAAAACTCAATTAATTTTGGCATATTATTTCTTAACTCAAGACCATGGGCCCTTTCACAGTGATACACAAATTTTCCAGAACAACTTAACTGGTAAATTCAAAAAAGCGCTGGTCACACAGGCAAGGACGTTACGGAATTTAAACCGCTCACACATCTATTCCAAAATACCGGTAAATTCTGAACATTTGACTACATCACAAACTCTGTGGATGGATCAGTATTGTGAACAACTTTGATGAAAACGTATAGAGGAACACTTTCGCATGTCGGGATGTACATACTAGCCCCTTTCACACATACAGACCTTTCCGGAAAATTACCGGCAATTTTCCGGAAAGGTTGTATGTGTGAACAGGTCCTTTTTGAAAATACCGGTAAATTCGTTCTGGCTATTTTCCGGAAAGAGAAGTTGTAACATTACCGGCAATTTGCCGGAATGCTGCGCTGTGTGAACGCAGAAGGAAGATTTCCGGAATAAGCGCGTGCACGTCTAGAACGTGCTGACGTAAGACTTCTGCTTTAGCCAATCACAACAGTCAGACGCATTTACGTCCGCGCGGTTGGTGAGAATAAAAACCTTTGAATATTTTTCCAGACGCATTTAGCTGCTAGAAGTTAGTCAGATCACGTTTATATGTTCTCCTTAATGCCAACTGTGCAAATAATCAACGATAAGATGCTTATGATAAGCCGTTGTTTGTTTACCTTCAAGCTTTGCGTGTGCCCATGAAACAGCCTGTGAGCGGCAGCACACGCACATATTATGAACATCTCGACATGCGAATATGATCCTGTGAAAGTTGTTTACAATATTGATCATCAAAAGAGTTTGTAATTTAGTCAAATGTTTACAAATACAAGCGCAGCCGTTTAAAGCTCATTTGTGGTGAATGATGTCAGAATTTACCGGTATTTTGGAATGGATGTGTGAATGCTCTTTTCCGGAAAATTTCCGTAACGTCCTCGCCTGTGTGAACAGCGCTTTTTTGAACATACCGGTAAAGTCGTTCCGTAAATTTTCCGGATATTTTCCGGTATCACTGTGTGAAAGGGGCTAATGTGTGTGTGTTCGCGCTCACCAGCTGCTTCACGTGCACAGGCGTCAAACAAAGCTGAAGGATGCAGAGCTTAAAGGGAAACAAACAGCGGTTTATCATTAGCATTTCATCAATATTTTTTTCCACAGTTGGCATTAAGAAGGAACATAGAAACTTTATCTGACTAACATCTAGCAGCTGAATGTGTCTGAAGAAATATCCAAAGGCTTTTATTTTCATAAACCGTGCAGACGTGAATGCATCTGAGTGTTCTGATTGGCTGGAGTAGACGTCTTACGTCAACGCGTTCTTGATGTAAACGCACTCTTTCCGGCAATCTTCTTCTGTGTTCACACAGCACTACATTCTGGCAAATTACCGGTAAAGTTACCACTTCTCTTTCCAGAAAATTGCCGGATCTAATTTAGAGGGTATTTTCAAAAACTGCCTGTTCACACATACTGACCTTTCTGGAAAATTGCCTGTAATTTTCCGGGAAGGTCTGTATGTGTAAAAGGGGCTAATATGTATTGCTTTACTAGAAAATGCTTCTTGACTTAAAAGCTTTTGATATTTGGACTAGAAACAAGGCAAAAAAAAAGTAAGAAAGTCATTTTTCGCTGTGTAGTAGGCATAAATATGACTGACTTCTGACAGTTCTGGTCCTGTGCGTTTCTCTCTGACTCAAACCTCTCTCGCATGTATCGATAGGTTACCCCACGGGTCACCCGGAGGCTGAGAGCTATGAAGATGACCTCCGGCACTTGAAGGAGAAGGTTGATGCTGGAGCACACTTCATCGTCACCCAGCTGTTTTTCAGAGCAGAAACCTTCCTTAAGTTTGTCAAAGACTGTCGAGCCATTGGCATCACCTGCCCGATTCTTCCAGGAATCTTCCCCATCCAGGTACATGAACGCATGGAATAAACTGAGGGTATGGTCATACTCTGTACAGGTACTGTGCTGAAGTAGGATTGTCCCCCCCACCCCGCTCCCCTGACCATGCCTACCAACATTTGTATATGAAAATCTGGGAGAGTGGTGGGGATGTCTAGGTGTTGGGGGTGAGGTGTCTGAATATTACAGCTAAGTAACTGTACTATGCACCGGGTTTTGGGCAGCCGCTGCGATCAGATACCATACCAATGTCGGCAATCCGGGGGTGTTATAGACTGTACCAAAAAGCTGAAATTACGGGAGTTTTCCGGGAGAAATAACAAAACGGGAGGGTGGCGGGAGATGGGTCTGAAATACGGGAGACTCTTGAGAAAAACGGAAGTTTTTGCAGGTATACCCTTTACGGCCTGCACTCATACTGCCATTTGCCTTCCGAACCTGAGCATGCTTACGTCATCGATGATGCGCTGTTCAGTTTAACAGGAAGAGAAGCACTCTCGCTCAGCACAGTGGAGATTGCTTTAGTTATATTGGCTGTTTCTCAATTCCAAGAACGCAGAGACCGGTCTTGCCAGGTGTCCTTGGAAGAACGAACTCAGGAGACCACGAGAACAGAGAATGCATCCTGTGAGGAATGAGATGCTGTGTTCTTCCTGATGGTCACATGACCTTCACGCATTTTCAATCCGCTTGTTAAGTGTGACGTCACGCGAAGCGGCTTCCGGGTCCAAGCGCTCTATTTAACTGAATGGGGAGACTCATGAAATGGTAATAATAAACATTTAGAAAGCGATTTAATGCTTTCGAAAATCACGATCGCAGTATTCACCTTATTCTCAGCTGTCGAGCGGGCGCTGCCATTTGAATCTTTTTGTCTCGCGACTTCCGGTCACATTCACTTCCATTCATTTTTTGACGTTAACAACTGCTCGTTACGCTGCTTGATGTTGCAATTTAATATTTTCTTATTATAATATGCTACTTGGTCTGTGTAGTCATGCAAACATTTGTTTGTTGAGCAAGTAGTTTGGCCATTTTCTGCCGTTTATTATTCCTAGTCATTTCTCCCATAGGCGACTGAATCGGAAGTTCTAAGACAATCGCGAAAACAGGCGCACTAATATCCGATGGCCAGAAAGTGATCATTTTTTTGATAAATTGTTAAATTTTTGGTATTTGATATGCAGCAAGCCCAGAGATTGTTGTGTACACTACGATTTTATATAAAATTAACTTTAATGAGTGATAGGAATAAATCGTGATCATAAACGAATGATTTCTCCACTCAAATGAATGGCGGCTTGGACCCGGAAACAGTATTACATACGTCACAAACACGTCACCACTTAACAAGCGGATGGTAAATAATTTAAACATTACAGCATTTATTCAACCACTTATTGTTTTTCCCCTTTTCAATATATATACTGTGCATAAAGACTTTACAAATATGCATTGCACAATATAGATAAAACAGATTTTAATATGAATTTCAGCAAACAAACACCCTTAATGTGTTTATTCCTTTATTAAGATGTCCATGGTGATGTTTATATTCACCATCTCATTTAGGGAAACTCCTGAGGTAAATAAGTCATATCTCTGAACTTTAATAAGAAATGTAAATGAAATGCTTGCGCTTCCCATCTCCAGTCACAATGACTTCTGGGACTTCTAGCGCGAGTTCGGTGCTCAAGTCTGCATCGGTGCGTTCTCGATATCAAGAACACATCCAGGAAGTTTCACGCGTCCTCTGTTCTTGTGGTCTTGAGTATTGGAACTGAACTTTGGCAGCTGATGATGACGTTACACGAGGACGCAAGACCGATGAAGAACGCATATTGAGAAACAGCCATTGTTTTAGTCGTTTGATATGCAGTGACGCAGGCAAATATTTAGGCGAACAGATCAGCCACTTTCGACACTCATAAAAGTCCTCGTGCTGCAGGCATTAGGAGGTTTCCTGAAGGTGCAGCTGTTGTGCAGTGAGGGGTTTGCGTCTTTACTAAGCTATGACGGTTTGCGTTCGTTGAAAATGAAGGCAGCTGGACTTTAATCACTCTTTGTTGCCATTATTATTTATTGTGTGGTATTATTTAGCAGCTGAGGTACCTTCGTGGAACTTAAAACCCAGAATTCCTCAACTAAAACTTAATTGGCTAGGCCAGGGGTCACCAATCCTGGTCCTGGAGGGCCGGTGTCCCTGCAGGGTTTAGCTTCATCTTGCTTCAACACACCTGCCTGGATGTTTCAAGTATACCTAGTAAGACCTTGATTAGCTTGTTCAGGTGTGTTTGATTAGGGTTGGAGCTAAAATCTGTTGGACACCGGCCCTCCAGGAACTAGTTTGTTAACCATTGGCTAGGCAGTTAATCTGGCTTCATGGTACAGGCTTCAGTTCTCTTATCTTCAAACATTGCCACAGTTCAGCTGAGGTCCAGTCCTACTGCATTTTACCAGCCATCCCAGTAGGTTAGTATTTTTTGTATTGCATGAAATCACACCTTTAATCTTTAATTGCTTACCTGAATGGGGATGACTAAAAAAACTGACACTGTTTGCATTGACCACATCTATAATTGCCTTCAGGGACTGAAAAAGTATTAAGATGGAAAAAGCATCTTGGATTTCACTTTTGCGTTCCTTAGAGAAGACTTTGCTTCAACTTTAATGATGCATTGTCAATAGATGAATGTTCATTTTTCTTGCGCAGGGTTATCATTCACTCCGCCAGCTGGTCAAACTCTCCAAACTTGAAGTGCCGGAGGAGATCAAGCAAGTGATTGAGCCCATTAAGGATAATGATGCCGCTATCCGGAACTACGGCATCCAGCAGGCTGTAGAGATGTGTAAAGTTCTGCTGGCCAGTGGGGAAGTCTCCGGCCTGCACTTTTACACCTTAAACCGAGAGGTGGCCACCATGGAAGTGCTCAGGCAGCTGGGATTATGGGCAGAGGATCCACGGTGGGTGACTTTTTAAAGGGGTCATGGCAAGGGTTTTAAGTAGAGATGTGAATCACCGAAGCTAAGCTAACGATATGATGCATTAAAGATAAAATGGTGTGAAAAAGAGTTTGCCCCTTTACTGATTTAAAACCTTCTTGGCTTGTTTGTCATATTTGAATGTTTCACATCATCAAACTAATTTAAATGTTAGTCAAAGATAACAAGTAAACACATTGTGCAGTTTCCAAATGAAGGTTTTTATCATTATGAGAAGATACATAGCCTTATGTTAAAAACTGTTCGCCCCTTAAACCCTAATAACTGTTTGGCACACTTAGCAGCACAAACTGTAATCACGCGTTTTCAATAACTTGCAAGGAGTCTGTTACATCGCTGTGGAGGAGTTTTGCATCTTTGCAGAAATGTGTTTCACCCTTATTGCAGGGTGAAACGCTCAATTGGATTCACATCAGGACTTTGACTAGGCCACTCCAAATTCTTCATTTAGTTTTTCTTCAGCCATGCAGAAGTGGACGTGCTGGTGTGCTTTGAATCGTTGTCTTGTTGCAGAACCCAGGTTTGCTGCAGCGTGAGGTCACTAAGCGTGCTTTCACATCTGTATTTTGCTTAATTTGGTCCAGTTTTAGCAACGAAGCTAAAGTCACCGGGCAGATAGAAGCCCTGCTCATCACGCGAATCAGCATCTGTTGGGTAGTGTGTGAATGAATCAGATTTGATACTCGAAAGAAGTGGATTTGACACGCGAACGAACTGGATTTGATGCGTGAATAAAGCAGATTTGACACACGAATGAAGGGAATTTTACACGTGAAGGAAGCGAATTTTCCATGCGAATGAAGCGGATTTGACAATCTGATGAAACTGATTTGACAAGCGAATTAAGTAGATTTGCCGCACAAATGAAGTAGATTTTGACGAGCAAATGAAGCGGATTCTGACGTGCGAAGGGAGTGGATTTTTCTTCATTTCATCCGAGAGGAAACATAGATTTGCTTCTAATGCTGTGTTCACACCAGACGCGGAACGTGCGGATAAATCACGATATTCGCGCGTAAATAGCCGCGTGAACATTAGAGTTTAATCGCTTCATACGCGTCAAACCCAGCTTCATTCGCGTGTCAAATTCACATCAGAACAGATGCGGATTTGCGTGATGAGCAGGGCTTCTGTCTGCCCGAAGACTCTAGCTTCATAGCTAAATGGCTAACATGGATTTTATGAAGAAAAAAACAATGTTAATGTGCTTTTGGAAGCCTGAAAAACAGCGTCGATACGTTTAATGGCCGAGTCCACTACATTCTTTCAGAGGTGCATCCAGCTCTGTGAGATCATAAACTCCTCCAGAAACTTAACCTGGATGACGAAGGTTTTCAGCGGTGCTTCTGACTGAGCCAAGCCGAGTTTGATGAACTGTTGTCGGTGAAGGCTGGAGGATTTCCCTCGGAACACCGATAACAGGTTCTACGTCACAATCACGCCCCCTCAAAAGCAAGCATCTGATTGGTTAACGCGGCGCGAATGTACGCTGTAGTTCAGATTTTCGAAATCGAGAGATTCGCGCGAAACACTCGTTAAGCGCGTCAAACGTGAAAAACGCTCAATTCGCCCCACGCCATTCGCGCAATTTCGTCATTCGTGCGTATCGCGCCGCAGGATGTCTATTTGCGCGTTTGCATTGACTTAACATGTAAATCACTTGCGCTTGACGTGTGTGCCGCGTCTGGTGTGAACGCAGTATAACAAGTGTTTTTAAAATCACCCATTTACATCAGTGTTGTGTACATTTCAGGCGACCTCTGCCCTGGGCCATCAGCGCCCACCCAAAGCGTAAGGTAGAAGACGTCAGGCCAATTTTCTGGGCTTCCCGACCCAAAAGCTACATCTACAGAACACAAGACTGGGATGATTTCCCTAACGGAAGATGGTACAAAAATCACAGCATTTCATGAACTTTTGAGTTGGTAGTTCAAACCCCAAATTAATGAACATGTCTGCCATCTTGTCAGGGGGAACTCTTCTTCACCAGCCTTTGGCGAGTTGACGGATTATTACTTGTTCTACCTGAAGAGTAAGTCTCCTAAAGAGGCGCTGCTGCAGATGTGGGGAGAGGAGCTCATGAGCGAAGAGAGCGTTTATGAAGTCTTTACCAACTACATCACTGGACAAACCAACCGCAGTGGACACAAGGTAGAGCTATGTGCACCTGAGTGTGATGAGGCTGAAAGTAGCATCAAGCTATGCTGTGCTATATTGTAGTAGAGTTTTGAATGTGTGTTTTTGATTTACATGAAGGAACATAGAGTAATAAGCAAATAAAGAGAACAAGGTGGCCTAAACAAGTCAGGATGAGGAAGAACTTGTTATTAAAGGAACACTTTCAGGCAAATTTGACAAGTCCTTGAGTTAACTGTTGAGTTTTAAAATTTTTGAATCCATTAAGCTGATATTCAGGTCTGGCGGGAGCACTTTTAGCTTAGCTTACCATAGATCATTGAACCTGATTAAACCATTAGCATCATACTGTATCTGAGATGCAGCAGATAATGATATTACGGAGCACCTGAAAATAGTCCCCAGCTAGGTAACAGTGCTGCGTAATATAATTGCTTCTGCTGTAGCCATGGTACAGCAACAGAGTTTCTTGATTATTACGGCAGTGTGATAGTACAGTTCCTAGCCAGATCGACCTAGAAAATAGCATCTTTTCTTTTAGTACTGATGTAACTGCAGAAGAGTCAAGATTTAAATAGGAACATTATCAAAACAATATGCTGCTAATTGTTTAATTTAATTCAATCATTTATGTTAAGGTAAGTTAAATTTGCTTATGGAAGAACCGGAGGTTGGCTGAATGAATTAAAAAATGGTAAAACTCAACTCTGGATCACTTATAAACAGTGTTGGGGAGTAACTAGTTACATGTAACAGCGTTACGTAATTTAATTACAAAATAAACGTTACCGTAATTTGTTAAAGTTACTGAGAAAAAATGTGTAATTAAATTACAGTTACTTATGAAAATGTTAAAGATTACAAATGGGGTTACATCTAAAAACATTCTTTACAAATCTAATGGTGGACAATATTAATCTGTTGCTTTGCCTGTTTTTGATATGCTTGATGCCTTCTGCTAGGGCTATTTATTAAAGCGGTGCTATTCTAATGATTTTGATTGGTTTTTCAGTTTGAATTTGTGGCACACCACGTCTACCAGTTACGCTAATCCGCTCTGCCACTGAAAGCATTAGGCTACTTTAACCAGTCTGAGAGCTGCCACCACCATGGCGAGTGTTAAAATTGCATTTCATTGCTGGAAATTTAAAATAATTTTACCCTGAAATCTAAGAAGGCCACAAATACAACAGTTCAGTGCAAAACTTGTTTGCCAGCTGTTAAAATACGTTCAACACCAAAGGCTTCATTTTCAAACCTGAGGAAGCATCTGCAGTTACGTAACCTAGCCTTTCTTTATTTTATAAAAGCAAATTATTTTTGTCGTTATCGTAAGCGTACAGAAATGAAAACAGGCCCTTTCATTTCCAATGATATATTATGACTAGGCCCACACGGAATCTGCGCGCGCAGAATTCCGCAGATTTTCCACAGAATTCCGCAAATTTCTGCAGATTTTTAACCCATCATTAATTCTGTTTATTTACTTTAGTAAATGTGTAAATCTGAATTTGTTCAGTTTTTATTCAGTAACTTATTACTTTTTATTTAATATATTAAGGTTTTGGTTAGGATACTCCACTGGATACTTGCAAAATAATTCCGCAGAAATCCGCAGATTTTTACCAAAATTCTCCGCCGAAATAGCAAAAAACGTCCGCAGATTCCGCCTGGCCTTAATTATGATTCACAATGTTATCGATTTGGGAAATTCAGGGCACCAACAGAATCCTCTGGCCAAAGCGATTTGATCACATTAGCAGTGTTAGGCAGTAGTGTCGCTAAAAGTAGTGACGCTACTAGCTTACCTACATTTCTCAGTAGTGTGTCGGTAGCGTCGCTACTTTATAAATCAAATTGCTTTTCAGTAGCAAAGCTATTTTATTAGTGAAGTAGCACAGTAGCGTCAGCACAAGCTACATTTACAAATCGCAGATCAAAACGTGACGGCACCGACATTCACAGAGCTGTGAGGCCGGTGTTTAGCCGATGAAGGTAAATACATATGATGGCAAGAATGACGATTTCTTCTTCTTGCTTTTCGGTGGTCGACGACAAACTTTTTGGTGCGTTACTGCCACCTCTCGCTCTCGTCGGTGACGTGGCCAACCAATTAGGCTAACGTGAGAAATTAGCTTGATGGAAAGATGAGGGAGAGGAGGACTATATATATATATATATATATATAGTTTACTGTAGTAAAGGCTAAAGTATAATATGGTTATTACTATTAGTTCATGATAGTTACTAATGATACATTATATAGTGTAATTTAATAATAGAGTTGTAAATATATATACAATATAATGCTCATTCCTAAATATTTCCCTTTACTATGAATTACTATAATATTTTAAATAACATTTTATGCATCTTTGCATCTATGCACTCAGGAGGAGATTAAAACAGTTGTTATGTGAATTTGCTGAAGGAAAAAAAAGCCTGCAATGCTTGCCCCGCTTTGGTGCTCTTCTTATTGGCCCACTATTCTAGAACTGAATGCGAATGATTGGTTAATATCAGCTGTCAATCACTCAGTCAGTGCCTTCTGCCTTCAGATGACAGGAGCTACAACTGTGAAAATATAAAGCGATGAAGATGAGAGAATGGAAATAACACTGACAGATTTTGTTTTAGAAAACACCTAAAGTTACTAATAATGGCACATCTTATGAGTGATCATGTGCTAAATGTTAATCCACCGTTTACACTTTTCCAAGAGTGGATAACAGACTTTCAGTGGCTTCAAGTCCACTATGAAAATAACTAAAGCCATTCACTGTAAAGTCTGTGGGACGGGGTTTGCAGGTAACAGGTAATTATAAGTGTGAGAGGTGCTGTATAATCCTTCATTTGATCCTCACGATGCTGTCAGCTGTGCAAGCGGCAGCTATATGTAAAATTTAACACAGCTCATGAAAAGACGGTTATTGCTATTAAGATGACATGCAAATAATAAGTTATATATCAATGTAAATGTGGGGCGGAGCGATGGATCGCGATGCCGGCTCAGCATCGTGAAGTTTGTCGGCCATCGTCATCATCTATCGGCCCAACCCTACTTGACACAGAAGTATAAATCAGCCTTTAGTCTCTATTTCAGAAGTCGCCACAGAGGAATGAATGCTAGATTTGTGCTAAACCTGCAATGCTAGATTTGTCCAATATCGTGCAGCATTAGTTAAAATGCTACTCCAAACTTGCATGTATGATTGATTTTTGTCACTTTTCTGTAGGTGATGTGTCTGCCATGGAACGACGATCCTCTGGCTCCAGAAACCAACCTGCTGAAGGATGAGCTGGAGAAGGTGAACCGCAGAGGTGTTCTCACCATTAACTCTCAACCCAACATCAATGGCAAAGCCTCTTCTGATGCGATCGTGGGCTGGGGTCCTGCAGGAGGATACGTCTTTCAAAAGGTCAGCAAAACCCTTTTTTTATTAGAGAAATGCTTTTTTACCATACAGTAAAATAGTAATATGGTCTGTATTTCTAAAGTTCCTTTAAAATTACCATAAAAGTCGTCTATAGCCCCTAGGGCTGCACGATTAATCAAAAAAAGATCACGATCTCGATTCCTACACACTATCCTCATTCAGCTTTTCTACAATTCAGCCAAATATTTTTTTTGTCAAGGTCAGGAGAGAAACAGGCAGTCGCGAAAGTCTTTACAGTAACATTGACACTTTTAAATGGTGTTAAAAGTGTCACTTATGGCCCGTTTCTACTGAGTGGTACGGTAAGGTTCGGTTTGGAATGCTTTTATGGCCGTTTCCACTGTCAAGAGGCGTACCGTAACACTTTTTCGGCGCCCTTTAGAAAGGGTACCAAACATGAGAAAGGGTACCAAAAGGCGGAGCTAGATGCGCAGCTGAACGCTATTGGTTTAAAGAGATACGTCATTTGCTTACGGAACAAGCCAGAATGAAAACAAAAGAGCCGCCATGTTTGAAATACACAGCGAGAGATTGCAGCGGAATTATATATACATATAATAACGAGCCATGGTCGATCCGGGCTCAAACAAACCTTGTCGTCATCTTGATGAACAGCCACAAAGCCATGCAGTAGAGCAGAATCTACCCTGTGCCTAATAGTATTTTACAAGCCAATCTGAAGCACGAGCGGTTTCACTTTCTTGCTTGCGCTCGCTGCGCGTCTATATCTGAAATAGCAAACTTCTTGAGCTGATGGTAATAACGTGCGCTTGATTATTGACATGCTTGAAACCCGATCCTGTCAGGCACTGACAAACGTGAGAGTGAAGCGCGAAAAAAAGGAGAAGCCGTGAAAAAAGGGGCACATTATTTCTTCAGCAAACGTGAACACACTGCCTTGTTTTAATTTTTATCATCACCTTTTGGACTAATATGAACTGGGAATGACTGAATGACTCTCTAACAGAGGCTTCATGTGCTGCTGAAGATTACACACACAGATAAGAAGTTTTCACTGACTGTAGGCTATATTTTGAGTTGTTTTGAACCTAATTAAGGACGAAATGTATGCTGTGTGTAGTTTTTCTGTAGTTGGTAACATATAGGAGACTGTAAGGGGCAGTATGTGGTAATATATGTCCATTTATTTATTTATTTAATATAATTACAGACGTTACAGTAGACTATTTCGCACTGTCATTGATCTGCAGTTATAATCAAATGCTGTTCATAGAAAAGTTAGTAATAAACATGAATACAGAAATATTTGTGTAAAGCGTCTGTTTTGTGAGAAATGCTTTTCATATGATATGTAAGCGACCCGTACAGCTTTATTGTAGACATTTCCTCGAGCAAGAATGAAGCGACTGCAGGGTTCAACGCTAAGGATTTTTTCTACTGGGCCGATCGGGCCAGTGTTTGAGATTTTCACTGGCCCCTACAAAAAAAAAAAGTTAAAAGCTATTTCTTAGTCATATATTTTAAATAATGTGGCAAAATTATGTCTGTGAATCTAGAATTTAAACATTTTAAAAATGTTTATAAATGTAAAATGCAAAATTCAAGATTTTATGCAAACGAAAGAGCAGTATGGAAAATGTGCTGCTATTTTATTGCAATTCTAAATTATTTTTGTAAAATTTACTTGCCAAACTAATGACAAAGTTGTTACTAGGTTACGAAAAACATAACGTGCTCATTGTTACTGACCATTAGGGGCCAGTGACAATCCTGTCTACTGTCCGGAGCGTCTTTCACGCTGGCCCCAGCCCAAGGGGGGTACCCTTAGTAGTGGAAACGCAAGCCTGATAAAGGTGACCCGTACCGACCCAAACCGTACCGTACTGTACCAGTTAGTGGAAACGAGACAATACTTTATTTATAAGGTATAATTCACCCAAAATGTAATTTCTGTCTTTATGTAATGATGTTTTCACGGTCGCGAAATCACACGTGAGCTGACGCACTGATTGTTTACTGCTGAGAACGCAAATGACGCCTACTGTAGTGAACACAACCTGCATAGGCTGTGATTAACAGGTAATGAAGTTGTAAATTACGTTCAAGTTGTTGCACAGAGTGATCGTTTGAGGCCCGTGCGGGAGGTTTGATTTGCATGTGTGTGTTTTTTTTCTCAATGACAGCAGCCATGAGCTGTAAAAAATATGGACGACGCGACAGCCCCTTTTCCCATTGAACGCCTTGAGGGCAAAACACCTGCTTAACGGGCACAAACTGTCGCAAAAGACTGCTGAAATTGGAGCCTTGACATGCGCAGAAGGACTGTCTGATGGAGCCAGAGGAGGAGCCACGAAAAGGAGCGAAGTCAAGCTTCTAACCAAACGCTTTATGTAAAATAAACCACGCCCCCCGAACTTCTCAGCATGCGTTTGCTGTCATATCAACACAAATGGATGTAATAACGTTAACAAATATGAGGGTTTTATTTATTCAATCGCGCCAGCTCCGGGCCGCAGCGCATAACCTACTCGCGGCGTCACGGGCTGATTCCGGCTCGCATGCGGCAGCGCCGGCTCGCTCGGCCGCCGCATCTGGCTCGATTGACTCGGGCTGGAATCAGGCAGTGAGTCCAGGCATCCGGAGTAGGTCCAGCAGAGGTAGTCAGTCTGAGCTCTGAGGGGTAAGTCTCCGGCATGCGAGAATCTAGCCGGAACTGGCCCGAGTGTATTTTGCTATCTGGGTGTAACTAATAAAGCCAGAAAAAAGCCCTGACCTTAGCGAATAAACAGTGTTCCACCAGGATCATGCATGTCAGAAACCATAGTTTACTGCTGAACTCATTTTTTCATTGTAAAATAACACAGAAATCGAATTATAACACTTCAGTCTCCTGCCGAAGCTCAGACGCGCTGCTTTGAGAAACTGTCAATCACAACTGTCAATCACGATGACACGCCCAGCATTAAATTACTGCTAAAAACAAACTGTTTACAAAAATGAAGATCTGCACCTATTTCAGCACAATAACCAGTGCCTTAATCGACCAGAACCATCTTTCGGGACATTTTATTGGAAGTGTAATAAATTTTTTTATTTGGGCTCAAGTCTCCTTCATTAACACGGAGGAGGCGGGCTTTATGACTTGTACTGCAGCCAGCCCCCAGGGGGGGATCTAACGGCCGAGACCTTCACTCAAACGCAGGCTTGCGGCACACTTGGTTTGACTCAACAGTGAAACATCAAAACATAGCTTAAAGATTTTATATAGTCAATCACAAATAGACTTAAACGATTCAAAAATCAAGTCACAGCAACGTCAATTAATTAGGCAGAAAAAAAACATCAGGCTGCTAAGCGTTTTATAGGCCGACCAGATCATATGAAGATGGTCAGCCCAGTGGGAAACTGCCTGGTCGGCCAGATGACCAGTCCAATCCTGTTCTAACCTGAATATTACTAATACTGTTAATACCTTCATGGCTAAAATTCACAAAGTTTATCAGGATCTCTTCATGCTTCAGATGCTGTGGGAACAGTGCAGTTGGTTGTGATTTGATTATTTATTTTGGGGTTTATTATCTATTGTCTATATCTTTATATCTGTTTTGGAATTTGTTTAAAAATGGTTCTTTCAGCATGTTATTTCCCCCCAAATCAACAGGCGTATTTGGAGTTTTTCACATCAAGTGAAAACGTTACTGCGCTTCTGCAAGTGCTGAAGAAATATGAACCACGTGTGAACTACCAAATAGTCAATGTGCAGGTAAGAAATCCAGTAACGGATTACATGGACCTTTTTCACAATTCCAGGTTTCTCAGTAGCCGAAGTTATCATATCCGGGTAAACTTAAAAGACCAGTTAATGGGAGAGAGCAGCAAATCATTTTTTTTACAATCCTATTTGCTGAAATAATTCAATAAAAACTCCTCGATTATGTTTATGAAGACTTTCAGATAAACGAAAATATAGTTTGAGACTGAAAGTGGCAGCCAGAAGGTCAGATTTACTGTCCTGCCTATAGACAATGCATTCCAAATGCCTCACACAAGCAATAATTACATTTTTTTATTTTTTAAAAGATTTATTTTTGGCCTTTTTTCCTTTATTAAGTGGATAGGATAGTATTTTAGACAGGAAGCGAAGTGGGAGAGAGAGAGGGAGCAGGGATGGGAAATGTCCTCAAGCTGGGATTCGAACTCGGGACGCCCTAAAGTGCTCAGCGCACTAACCACTAGGCTATTGCGCCGACAATAATTAGTGTTTTTTGTAATTGTAATGCAATGACGATATAATACATACATGAAAACATAATAATCATGACATTAAATCATCAAGTAGGGTTAGGCCGATAGACGATGCCATCGTCAATCACAGATGGCGGACAAACTTCACGATGCTGAGCCGGCATCCTGATCCATCGCCCCGCCCCACATTTATATTGATATATAGCTTATTATTTGCATGTCATTTTAATAGCAATAACCGTCTTTTCATGAGCTGTGTTAAATACATATAGCTGCCGCTTGCACGGCTGACAGCATCGTGAGGATTAAATAAAGGATTTTACAGCACCTCTCACACTTATAATGTGTGGATTCAGTGGCAAATGCTGTTACCTGCAAATCCCATCCCACAGACTTTACAGTGAATGGCTTTAGTTATTTTCATAGCGGACTTGAAGCCACTGGAAGTCTGTTTTCCACTCTTGGAAAAGTGTAAACGGTGGATTAACATTCAGCACATGATCACTCATAAGATGTGCCATTATTAGTAACTTTAGGTGTTTTCTAAAACAAAATCTGTCAGTGTTGTTTCCATTCTCTCATCTTCAGCGCTTCACATTTTCACAGTTGTAGCTCCTGTCATCTGAAGGCAGAAGGCACTGACTGAGTGATTGACAGCTGATATTAACCAATCATTCGCATTCAGTTCTTGAGCAGAGTGGGCCAATAAGAAGAGCTCAAAGGGCTTTTTTTACTTCAGCAAGTTCACATAACTGTTTTAATCTGTTCCTGAGTGCTGCGTTTGGCTTTTTTTGGTGCAAAGATGCATTCTGCATAAATGTCTCCTAAATCCGTACATGCGGTGAAGATTTTGCAGTGAAAACGTAAATGTATGCACTTGCCCAAATGCTTCCAAATATATTTTAAGGTCGCATAGATAAATATGCGCATATACGCATATGCGACCAAATGCGTCCCGCAGAAAAAACTGATTGACAGGTGGTGATTTGTGTGTAACTTTTATGCTTTGGTTATGGGTCAAGCAAAGACCATGTGGGTCAGGTAGTGAAAACGGTAGGCTACAACTAATTAATTCGTTATGAATTAATTGATATTTAACAAGGACCCCCACCCCCTGCCTACGACAACGATGCCATCGTCCATTGCAATGTTTTACATTAGACATCGTACGATGCCAAATTGGTCAACATCTCCCAACCTTATCATCAAGTATTGAAGATGCTGATGACCGTTAAACGCTTCATAACCGTCTTGTGAAAAGGGTCCATTGTGCAGTCTCAGATTTTAATGTTAACATTTTGAATTTGCTGATTTATTTATTTATTTATTTATTTTTTAGGGCAGGAATATCACAAACGCCCATGATATGCAGCCCAACGCTGTGACATGGGGGATTTTCCCAGGCAGAGAGATCATTCAGCCCACTGTGGTGGATCCAGTCAGCTTTATGTACTGGAAGGTGATCGTTCTTCCTTGAACTTGTTTTCATTTTATTTATTATTTCCATCCCTATCCATTTTTTACTTATTTTTTACCCAATGTTGTTGTTTTGTTCATTCAAGTTGCCTAGTTGACATTTTAGGTACTTTTTTTTTTACTTATTGTGTATTAAAGGTCAGTAGTTCCAACAATAAATAGCTTGTTTTAATAATTATTCTAAAATAATTACAATGCAAATATTGAGAGCCAATAGGAATCAAGCTGAGCACACACTATGGTGGAGATGTTAGTCCTTGAAAACAGGTTGTCGACAACTTTTCCATCATAGTTTTTGTTGAAAAAATTAGTGCTTTGTAGCGAGTTCCTAGCTATGCAAATTTCAATAGGTCTTAAATAAGGCCTTATTTAAATTTAATACGGTCTTAAATAAGGCCTTAATGTACTTAAAGAAACCAAATACAAAAGGTGGAACTTCATTTTTTTACAAAATCAGGGCAGAATGAAAATAGGTTCAAGTTTATTTTAGGAGTTGAAAAGTTTGCTTTGAATTATTGGCCTGTGATGGGCAGCTAATAGGTAAGTATGGTCTCTGCAGCCCTGTCATCTTTGACATGCATTTTTTATTGGAAAGCTGTTTATAGTATAAATGCATCTCTAATCCAATATTTCCCAACCCTGTTCCTGGAGGCACACCAACAGTACTTTTATTTTGGACGTCTCTCTTACAGTATCTGACCCATTCATTTCAGGTTTTGAAGTCTCTTCTAATGATGAGTTGATTCAGGTGTGTTTGATTGGGGAGAGGTTAAAAATGTGTACTGTTGGTGTGCCTTCAGGAACAGGGTTGGGAAACACTGCTCTAGTAGGAACCATGACCACATTTTTAATACAATGTTAAATTGTTCTAAGATACTTAAATAGAAGGTACGTGGCTTAGATAAGTGCAAAAACTCGCAGGACATTTGCAACCTTTTGAATTGACCCTTATATAATCTAGTTGTTTTTGACCTTATTTGGAAGGGTTGTAAATGTAATAAGGATGCACAATGTGTTATTTCAGCATCGATATTACAATGTGCAAATCTGCAATAGTCACATCGTAGGATAAATATATATATTGACTAAAACATTATGCTTATGTGCATATGTGTTCTTAAAGCACGCCAGTTTTACTATTTTATGCTATTTCTGTTTACATTTTGTCGCAGGTCAAAAAAAATCTGTCTGAGATAGAAATGACCAAATCCCCTGGAAATAATCCTCCATATCCTAGATTTATTTTCTTTCATTTCAAGATTTTAAATCTTTCATTTATTATTTTTTACATTTTTTTTTTCATTCATTCATTCGTTCTTTCATTTATTCATTCATTCGTTCCTTCTTTCTTTAATTCGTTTTTTTATTTTTTTCATTCATTTATTGATTCTTTAATTTTTTTTCATACATTCTTCCATTTTTTTCGTTCTTTCATACATTCTTTTTTTTTATTCATTCATTCATTTATTAATTCATTTTTCATTTTCATTTATTCATTTTTCATTCATTCATTCATTCGTTCTTTCATTCATTTATTCTTTCATTCATCAGCTTAGTCCATTATTTATCAGGGGTCTCCACAGCGGAATGAACCGCCAACTATTCCAGCTTATTTTTTACATGGTGGATGTCCTTCCAGCTGCAACCCATTACTGGGAAACACCATACATCCTCATATTCACACACATACACTACGTTCAATTTAGTTGATTCAATTCACCTGTACTGCATGTCTTTGGACTGTGGGGAAACCGGAGCACCTGGAGGAAACCCATGGCAACACTGGGAGAACATGAAAACTCCACACAGAAATGACAACTGACCTAGCCAGGACTTGAACCAGCGACCTTCTTGCTGTAAAGCGACTTAATGTTTTTATCTTACTGTTACAGTAACCTACTGTTACTTTTTCATGGCCTCCGCTGCGCAATGGCAGTAACATTTAAGTTACATCCTTTTTAGGTTCCTTTAGCAATTGGTTCTCAACCATTTCTGTCATTCCCCGGTTTGGAGAACGGGAGGAGTTCCACTACTCGGAAAAATACAACAACAAAAAATGCTTGAGGACTATTTAAATTTAAATGTTCAGATTTATTGAAATAACATATCAAATGGGCCTAATACACGGGGGAGTCCCAGACAATACGGGACAGTTGGCAACCCCACGCACACCCCTAAAGACTAATGCCTCTCCACAATAAACCTCAATTAACATTCTAACTTTAAACCATTCTTGCAGTATACTATGAATCTATGTGATGCTTTATTCACCATCTGATGTTATTTTAAGGCATACATTTTAAACGCGTACATTGTTTTGAATGTAGGGTCAATAAATACAAGAATTAATAGAGAATGGCAGAAAATGACCAAACTTTTGTTTGTTGCACCACATTTACCATGTCTCTATTCCTGTTTATATAACTGAAAAGCTCCTGGAAAAAGATTTAAAGGGCACCTATGATAAAAATTGACTTTTGTAAGCTGTTTGGACAGAACTGTGTGTAGATATAGTGTGTCCACAGTCATACTGCAGTGATATAAACACAATAAGGACGTTCCTGACGTTAAAATAGGATCCAAATCCCAGTGATTTTGAGATCCACCACAACGTAACGTAGGAGTTTAGTTTTCCCGCGATTCGCCCACCGAATTGATCAACAGGTTTTTGCAAAGAAACTGGGATTAAAACATGTTACAACTCTGTGATTAGCTGCACCATACAATTTTTTTTATAAGTTTAAAACATTTTTTAAAAATATTGCTAAAATCACTATGTAATTCCTTACTGCTATAATCACCACAGCCGCAAGGTTTCAGTACACATGCAAGTGTGTGTACTGCAAACGGCATTTGTGTGGGACTCATCATTTCAGAAAGGCTTGAATAAACTCCACCACAAATGCAAATAATAAACTTACTTGGTATTTTTGATGGGCTGTATTTCAGCTTCATCCTTGTCTGTATCTGTCACTGACGGCTGTTTATCTGACGTAACTCATAAGATGCAGACATGCACGTGGGAATGGTGGGGCGGTAAGAAGCAGCTCATTTGGATTTAAAGCCACAGGCTACAAAAAAAGCTACACTGTACTCAGACACTAAACTGGGCAGATTCTACATTATATAAATAATAATCTGATGAGTTTTTTTTAAGCTTAAACTTTAAAGACACATTCTGGAGACACAAAAGTATTTTCTTACATTTTTGTAAAAGGGGTAAAATAGGTGCCCTCAATAAAAAAAAAGTAGGAACCCTGACAGTTTTGTGATATGCAGTGAATCTCTTCTGAGGGCCAGAAGGCGCTCTCATGAGTCGCATGGAACCACCAAATACGCCCCGAAGAAACCCAGGAAATGGCCGTTGGGGAATTAACCGAAGGTTTAAGCACTTTCAATCAAAACACAACCACAACAAATTATGGTTTGAGTATCTTAATAATGCATTGTAAAGGTTTAGAGTACTATGGAATTCTATATGAGTTTTCATTACATTGACTTTATAGTTAAAATAGCAAATGTTAACCAATAGAACCTTGCTGTACAGAGTTAACGAACATAAGGTTAACAAATAGTCAAAGATTTGTCAATGTTGTAGGCCAGATTAACATGTGAAATGTTAAGGTTTAAAATAAATCACCAATTAGGTCTACAAATAATTATTTACAGTATTTTGAAGTGCCCATGATATCAATATTGTGCATCTTCATAATCACGATTCATTGAATTATTGAATATCGGTGCACGTCTACACTCAAATGAGGTTTGCCGTTTGTTCAAACGACTTATTTTAAATGCGCTGCAACACAATTCTCATGTTTTTTTCCTTGGACATTCATCCATTCATTTTCTTTTAGGCTTAGTCCCTTTATTAATCTGGGATCGCCACAGCGGAATGAACCGCCAACAAGCGGATGCCCTTCCAGCTGCAACCCAACTCTGGGAAACATCCATACATACTCATTCACACTTATACACTACAGACAATTAAGCCTACCTAATTCACCTGTACCGCATGTCTTTGGACTGTAAGGGAAACCGGAGGAAACCCACGTGAGCGCGGGGAGAACATGCAAACTCCTACTCCTACACTACCTACTGCGCCACTGCGTCGCCTGTTATTGGACAACTTATTTGTATTATTAGTTTTTACAAATTTACAGGAATTAAACATAAGTTAGCTTAATTCCTTCATGTTGTGTCAACACAAATATATTGTGGTAAACCCAGCGTTTTGTACAATGTAGCGTCCATATTCACAAACACTACCACATGCTACATCAAAGCGAATATTGGTAAAAGTGTAATGAGGTATACTTGACCGTATGCTTTGCACACCCACATGTGACATTTACAAAGTCCTCAATGACCTCACACTGCCTTAGTTTAAACAACCTTGGTTCTATTACAGGCACACTCACCACTAATGTCTCAATGATAACCGCGACTGTGCTGTAAAAATACACTCAAAACATGACTTTTGATGCTTATTCAAAATACTCATTTAAATTGAAGTAGCACAATTCTCAAGGTTTTTTGGAGGGGGACAACTTAATTGTTTCATGTTCAGTCTACTTAAATTTGTAAGTAGACTGTTACAGCCTTTATTCCAAAATACATATTCTTTAAATATTAAAAAACATTTCAAATACATAATACATATTCCTTATTTATGTTACAGCCTTATTCCAAAATGTATTAAATGCATTTATTCCCCCATAATTCTGCACGCAATACACCATAATGACAATGTGGAAAAAGAGTTTTTGAAATTGTTGTAAATTTATTAAAAACCTGAAAAATCACATGTACAGAAGTACGCACAGCCTTTGCTGTGAAGCTCTAAATTGAGCTCAGATACATTCTATTTCCACTGATCATTCTTGAGATGTTGCAGCAGCTTAATCGGAGTTCACCTGTGGTAAATTCAGTTGATTGGACATGATTTGAAAAGGCATACACCTGTCTATATCAGGACCCAGGGTTGACAGTGCATGTCAAAGCACAAACCAAGCATGAAGACAAAGGAATTTTCTTTAGACCTCTGAGACAGGATTGTCTGGACGCACAAGACTAGGGAAGGTTACAGAACAATTTCTGCTGCTCTGAAAGTTGCAATGAGCACAGTGGCCTCCCATCATCCGTAAGTGGAAGATGTTTGGAACCACCAGGACTCTTTCTAGAGCTGGCCAGCCATCTAAGCTGAGTGATCAGGGGAGAAGAGCCTTAGTCAGGGAGGTGATCAATAACCCGATAGTCACTCTGTCTGAGCTTCTTCTGTGAAGAGGGGAAAACCTTACAGAGGGACAACCATCTATGCAGCAATCCACCAATCAGACCTGTATGGTAGAGTGGCCAGATGGAAGCCACTTCCCACCTGGAATTTGCCAAAAGGCATCTGAAGGACTCTCAGACCATAAGAAACAAAATTATCTGGTCTGATGAGATTAAAATGCCAGGCGTTACGTTTGGAGAAATCCAGGCAACTCATCACCAGGCTAATACCATCCCTACTGTGAAGCATGATGGTGGCAACATCATGCTGTGGGGATGTTTTTCAGCAGCAGGAACTAAAAGACTAATTGGGATAGAGGGAAAGATGAATGCAGCAATGCACAGAATGAACCTCAGACTGGGGTGAAAATTCATCTTTCAGCAGGATAATGACCCAAAGCACACCACCAAAACATCAATGGAGTGGCTTCACAACAACTCTGTGAATGTCATTGAGTGGCCCAGCCAGAGCCCAGACCTAAATGCTATTGAACATCTCTAGAGAGATCTGCAAATGGCTGTACATCGTCGCTGCCCATCCAACCTGATAGAGCTTGAGAGGTACTGCAAAGAGGAATGGGCAAAAATTCCTAAAGACAGGCGTGCCAAGCGTGTGGCATCATATTCAAAAAGACTTGAGGCTGTAATTTCTGCCAAAGGTGCATCAGCAAAGTATTGAGCAAAGGCTGTGAATACTGATGTACATGAGATTTTTCAGGTTTTTTATTTTTAATAAATTTGCAACAATTTCAAAAACCCTTTTTTCACATTGTCACTATGGGATATTGAGAAAATAAATTAATTTAATCCATTTTGGAATAAGGTGGTAACAAAAACAAATGTGGAAAAAGTATTCAAAATTATATATATATATATATATATATATATATATATATATATATATATATATATATATATATATATATATATATATCAATAAAATACTGTTCCACATTGGTAAGGGAGTATAAAAAAAGAAATATCTTGATATCAATATAATATTTTTCTAATAGCATCAAATGTACATTCAAATAAAAAGAGACCCAAAAACTCAGTCCAGTTCTGTCTGTTCCCGCAGGACGAGGCTTTCGCGTTGTGGATTGAACAATGGGCGAAGCTATACGAGGACGAATCGCCCTCGCGCATGATCATTCAGTACATCCACGACAACTACTTTCTGGTCAATCTGGTGGACAACGACTTCCCGCTCGACAACTGTCTGTGGCAGGTGATCGAAGACATGTTTGCGCTCCTGGACTCTTCTCAAGTACCGCAGCAGGAGGCAAATGAATTGTAGCACCACTATTCGCTGCTATTTGATCCAGAGACGTCTGAACGCACACTTTACTGTAATGGCACAGTGTTTTTTTGTTTTGTTTTTTTAGTCATTATCAGCACTTAATTCTTTGTCAGTATATTGGGGGAAAAGTGACAAACGTAGCACTATACTCGATGATTTGCCTTAATCTTTAAAGAGACTTAAGTTAGCCGGTTTGGGTGGCGTTTTCTTATATTTTAAGCTTGATTTTTACCTATTTATAGACAGTATTTTGGATACTGCAGATGTATTGAAGCAGGTCAAAATGTGTGGACAGAGAATACGGAATGTGGATACTGTATTTTCACTCAGGTGAATCTTATGTCAGGTCATATTTCTCTCAACATTCTAGAGAACATTTAGATTTACTAAACGCCCTTAGAGAAGAATATAGTGCTGCACACAGCTATTTTAGCTCTTAACTCTAATTAATGTGCATTTGTAAGAGATTCCCGTTAAGTTGCTAATGGTATCGGCAGTATTTAAACAGATCACGTAAAACGATTAACAAACTTTCAACTTATGGTCATTTGCTATATTATTCAATGCCTAAAACTAAGCATGTCATATATTGTGTTTTCACCAAACACTGCGTCACTTGCTCTAGTGATGGGAAGTTTGGATCATTTTACTGACTGATTCGAGATGAACGAATCTTTTTTCGAGTCATTTCGTTCATTTGGTTCAATTTGCCAAAATATTATTAAAATGTTACGAGTTGCTTCCAAACACATCTACAACTAGCCCAAAAGGTTGATCGCATGACAAATAAGTCATGAATAGAATACGATAATAAGGAGAAAATAATAATTCAGTGTTTACCTGCTCTTTTGTCTACGACGGTATTATTGTCTCTTTGCTCAGCTCACCTCTTTATGTCCTCAAATGTTAGTGGTTCGTTCATGTTACACTGACAGTCACATTTAATCTTAATCAATGTACACAGTCTCAGAGTCGATAGGAGCCATGATAATTAGTTCACCTTTAAGTCTTCTCGTTCGTTCATCATGTGACAGAATGACTCCCGAAAGAGGACTCGAGAGATGAACGGATCAATTCTTTTTCCAGCTCTAAACGCATATGATTGGCTTCTGCCTTTCCGCGATGAACGACTCAAGACTTGAAAGGAACGATACCACCTGCACAAATGTGCGCACGCGCGGATGAACGAATCGCTCCCTGAGAGGACTCGTAATTCCCGAGTCATATTGAAGATTCATTCAAAATGAACGAATCGCTCATGAACGACCCATCACTAACTTGCTCTCGTTTACCCAGGGGATGTTTTTCCCCTAAATACACTGAAATTACAAAAATTAAATTTTTTTTTTTAAGTCAAGTAGTTGCAAACAAATAGGCTGAATTTAAACAAACAAAGTTGAGCATAACCAAATTTAATTCAAACAAAAATTGTAACAAACTTTTTTGGATATTTAGTGGAATCGTTTAGCCAAAATTGAATACTCGTATTGGAAAACCAACATTTTTGTTTAACTATGGAAAGCAAGCGAATATTTTAAGACACAAAAAACTACAAGATGGAGACGGTTTAATTCAAGTCGAGACAGTTGTTTTATATAAATATTGTTTAAACATGGATAAACGCACATCTGTTAGATGAGCACCAATGTGTGCTTTGTATTCGAGAACCTATGAGGTTTATCTGCAAGAACAATGACCCATGTCTGTCAATAAAAGCCTAAATGAAATTACTCAGACGGAAATGCTTGATTTGTTCAAAGTGCTCTGTGATGTCTTCACTATTTGAAGTTAGAAAATGACAACACATTAAAAATATCTTGATTTATGACAATTGGATGAATAAACGTCTAATTTAATAAACAAATAAATTTAGTTTTTGGGTTTCCTATCCCTTTAAGATTTTAAAAATGAAACTTCCTTCTATTCTCGTGACATTTCATTAAGTTTTTCCTCAAATTTCTTATACTCAAGATTAATTTACATTTATAATTACAATTTAATAATTGTAATTAACAATTACAACCATTTATATATATGTGTAATATCACACGAGTAGCAGTGCGATATTTTTACTAAAGGGAGGCAGAGTTGAGTGCCTTATGTTCACACTATGTTCACACTTATGTTGAGTGCTGTGTTCACACTAGACGCAGAACGCGTGGATAAATCGCGCTATTCGCGTATAAATAGCCGCGTGAACATTTGAGTTTACTCGCTTCATTCGCGCGTCAACCCCCGCTTCATTCGCACGTCAAATCCGCTTTAATCGCATGTCAAATTCACTTCAGAACAGACGCGGATTCGCGTGATGGGCAGGGCTTCTGTCTGCCCGAAGACCCTAGCTTCATAGCTAAATGGCTAACATGGATTTTATGAAGAAAATAACAGTGTTTGTGTGCTTTATGAAGACTGAAAAACAGCGTCGATACGTTTAGGACTGTGTCTGAGTCCACTACATCCTTTCAGAGGTGCATCCAGCTCTGTGAGCTCATAAACTCCTCCAGAAACTGAACCTGGATGACGGAGGCTTTCAGCGGTGCTTCTGACTGAGCCAAGCCGAGTTTGATGAACTGTTGTCGGTGAAGACTGGAGGATTTCCCTCGGAACACCGACAACAGGTTCTACGTCACAATCACGCCCCCACAAGAGCAAGCTTCTGATTGGTTAACGCGGCGCGAATGTATGCTGAAGTTCAGATTTTCGAATTCGAGAGATTCGCGCGAAACGCTCGTTAAGCGTGTCAAACGCGAAAAACGCTCAATTCGCCCCGCGCCATTCGCGCGTATCGCGCCACAGGAAGTCTATTCACGCGTTTGCATTGACTTAACATGTAAATCCCTCGCGCTTGACGCGCGTTCCGCGTCTGGTGTGAACGCAGCATTAGGGCTCTATTTTGACGATCCATGCTCAAAGTGCAGGGCGCAAATGCAGGGCGTGTAAGAATCCACTTTTGCTATTTTAGTGACTGAAAAATCCGCTTTGCGCGGTGGCGCATGGTCTAACAGGGTTGAGCTTATTTTCTTAATGAGTTATAGGTGTGTTTTGAGAAAAAACTAATCGGAGTCTCATCTCCCATTCCCTTTAAAGCTTTTCCTCCCATAGACTTCCATTCATACGCACGTGAATGCGTCAGACCGGAAACGCGGGGTCATGCGTTAAATTTTGCAGGTTGCTGCGGTGCAAAGTTCAAGCTTGGTGAACTCTGACCTGCGAAATTGCATCACTTGACTGTGTGAGACCAATCGAGGATCAAAACACGACCTCTCTGGACAGGAATTTAAAACATGGAGCAATCACTCGCTTTTTTAAATGCCTAATAAGCTTGTTTAATCCCGCCCCTTTTCGCAGACCGTAGCTTAAGAGCCAGTATTGTCGCGCCATGGCGCATTTGCTATTTACACTGAGCGCTTCACTAGCGAGAAAACAGTTAAACAGAGCCTCTGCAGAGCGAGAATGAGAGATGAGCCTCCTTATTGTTTACTTTCGCTAACTCTCTTACTCTTGTGGATAGGAAAACCTTGTAGGGACAGACATCTATTAGCCTAAAAATAATTAATTTCGTTTGTTAAGCGCAAAGATTTGTTTCAAAACTAATTCTAAATTCAGTTCTAATTTCCAGCAAACAAATAAATGAACAATAATAACGTTTTATGAGTTCTATCCAAATACCCCATATGGTCTATGAAAATGTTTAGTTTGTGTTTAATTATTCGAACTTGCGCGATTGAGGCTAAATCCGTGCATTCGCAGCAAACGTGTTACACAATTCTCATCATTTGTGCCTCGCTGTTAAAATTTGCATTCGCACTGACTTTGTATATAATTTACTGCCACAAATACTTGCTTTCGAATTTTGGATTGCATCCAGCATTTCATGTGGTGCTTCAAATACCACTATGCTAATTAGCACTGCTCTTATTGTGTTGGTCGATATGTAAATTTGATGTTACGTATTTGTTACTCCTGTAATTTTTATTTTTTTTTCTCAAATGATGTTTAACAGAGAGCAAGGAAGTTTTCACAGTATGTCTGATAATATTTATCCTTCTGGAGAAAGTCTTGTTTTATTTTGGCTAGAATAAAACCAGCTTTTAATTTTTTAAAAACATTTTAGGGTCAAAATTATTGTTTAATTACCCTAACTTGACTAATTAACTTAGTTAACCCTTTAAATGTCACTTTAGCCTGAATGCTAGTATCTTTAAAAATATCTAGTTGAGTATGATATCACTGAGAATGATTAGTTACCTCATGATTCACGCAAAATGTGACAAATTTGGAGTTCACCTATATGTCAAAGTCCGTGCCAATACATGACACGCTGCGCTCGATACTGGTCTATGTTTGGAAGAGCATTGGGCGCATTGCCATCAGCAGATGTTACGTTACACCTATAGCGGTGACGTTATCTAAACAGCTGCACACATTGAAGTCCACGTGCTGCTCATATCTCTAGTCAAATGTAACCTAACACTCGTTGGAAGGAAGCCAAAAGTATGAACTTGTGCAGACGTGGACACGACATCGCTTAAACAGTTACTGGAATCTCATTTTTTAAGCTATTTATATATATATTTTTCATGATTCATTTTTTTTTTCTTTTAATAATTTAAAAGTACTATCAGTTTACAAATTTACATCCCCTTTTCCTTTCCCTCTTTTCCCCTCCCCAACAGCAGCAGTGGCTGTTATTAGAGGTTGCTATCATAAATCCAGTAAATACAGATATAAATTCAACGAATAAAATCAATGAATGATAAAAACACACACATACAGAACATAATAATAGTAATATAAATATATAAAAAAATATCAGTTGATTTCAGAATTATTCGCCCCCCTGTTTATATTTTCTCCAATTTCTGTTTAAGGGAGAGATTTTTTTCAACATTTCTAAACATACTTATTTTAATAACTCATCTCTAATAACTGATTTATTTTATCTTTGCCATGATGACAGTAAATAATATATAACTAGATATTTTTTTCAAGACACTTCTATAAAGCTTACCTTGACATGTATAGACTTAATTAGGTTAACTATGCAGGTTAGGGTAACTAGGCAAGTAATTTAAAACGATGGTTTGTTCTGAAGACTATTGGACAATTGTGAAATATTTTATAAAATATTTTTTGAAAAATTCCAAACTGCTTTTATTCTAGCCGAAATAAAACAAATAACACTTTCTCCAGAAGAAAAAATATTATCAGACATACTGTGAAAATTTCCTGAATCTGTTAAACATCCTTTGGAAAATATTTAAAAAGGGAAAAAAAAAATTCAAGAGGGGGTAATAATTTTGACTTTAACTGTAAATACAATACCAATACAATAATATCATACATAAATAAATTTAATAAAATAATTACACTTTACCGTGCATGTCACCACAGTGACCTTATTCATTTTCAAAAATGCCTAATAATCTTCTCTGATAGACATCCAATTTATCTAGTAATCTAAATGACATTTTTTCATATGCTATTATTCTATATTCTGCAATACAAATACTTATTCTAAGTAATTTGAAAGTACAATGAATTATTTTAATGATCCTTTCCAAAAGGATTGTTGCTATCATTGCAACATGCAATGCAATTACACACGTTACATCATTTCGCATAAAACTGTTACTAGTAAGAGTAAAAGACTTAAATTTTAAATAGTTTGTGTGAACTGTCCCTTTAATCATGTTAACCATTTCAAATATTCTTTAAATAAAGCTCAATTTATTGAATTATCTGTAAAATAAAATCAACAAACGTGTCCTAAACCTCTTCAACAATCACCCAAACTTTTTTTGATCCACTTTAAATGTTGACTACTGTAAAGATAGATAGATCCAAAATCCATTGTGGAATTCAAACACGCTTTGGTTGTTCCATAAAGTAGCTATTCCCTGTGAAAAGAGGAGGAGGAGGAGGGGTGTGTAACCTGACACACACATTATATACACACTATAGGGCAGTTACATAACTGAACCCTCTGAACTGACACTCCATATGGAAACTCTAGCAGCCCAGAGACAGTCCATTAACAGTTAATGATCATTTCAGACAGCTTTAAGAATGTTTATGGACTTCTTTCAACTTTAGATCAAGTTAAATCCGGACTTACAGTGAGCTAACTGTTCACCCTCTTGACAAAAAGCCACATTAGAAAGAATGACCTAACTAGCATGCTAAGCTAACTGTTCATCCTCATGGCAATAGGACACATTAGTAAGAACGATCTAATTAGCCTGCTAAGCTAACTGTTTACACTCATAGCAAAAGGACACATTAGTAAGAACGACCTAATTAGCCTGCTAAGCTAACGGTTCACCCTCATAACAAAAGGACACATTAGTAAGAACGACCTAATTAGCCTGCTAAGCTAACTGTTTACCCTCATGGCAAAAGGACACATTAGTTAGAACGACCTAATTAGCCTACTAAGCTAACTGTTCACGCTCATGGCAAAAGGCCACAGTAGTAAGAACGACCTAATTACCCTGCTAAGCTAACTGTTCATCCTCTTGGCAAAAGGCCACATTAGTAAGAATGACCTAATTAGCATGCTAAGCTAACTGTTCACCCTCTTGGCAAACGGCCACATTAGTAAGAATGACCTAATTAGCCTGCTAAGCTAACTGTTCACCCTCATGGCAAAAGGCTACATTAGTAAGAATGCCCTGATTAGCCTGCTAAGCTAACTGTTCATACTCATGGCAAAAATACATTAGTAAGAATGCCTTGATTAGCATGCTAAGCTAACTGTTCACCCTCATGGCAAAAGGCTACATTAGTAAGAATGCCCTGATTAGCCTGCTAAGCTAACTGTTCATACTCATGGCAAAAATACATTAGTAAGAATGCCTTGATTAGCATGCTAAGCTAACTGTTCACACTCATGGCAAAAGGTCACATTAGTAAGAATGCCCTGGTTAGCCTGCTAAGCTAACTGTTCATACTCATGGCAAAAATACATTAGTAAGAATGCCTTGATTAGCATGCTAAGCTAACTGTTCACACTCATGGCAAAAGGTCACATTAGTAAGAATGCCCTGATTAGCCTGCTAAGCTAACTGTTCCCACTCATGACAAAACGCCACATTAGAAAGAATGCCTTGATTAGCATGCTAAGCTAACTGTTAACTGTTAGGGCAAAAAGCACCATTAGTAAGAATACCCTGGTTAGCATGCTAAGCTAACTGTTCACACTCATGACAAAAAGCCACATTCGAAAGAATGCCTTGATTAGCATGCTAAGCTAACTGTTCACACTCATGACAAAAGGCCACATTAAATACCATAATTAACATGCTAAGGTAACTGTTCACCCTAATGACATAAAGCCGCATTAGAAAAAATGCCATGATTAGCATGCTAAGCTAATTGTTCACCCTCATGGTCAAAAAGACACATTAGAAAGAACGCCCTGATTAGCATGATAAGCTAACAGTTCACCTTAAAGACATAAACCCACATTAGAAAGGACACCCTGATTAGCATGCTAAGGTACCTGTTCATACTCATGGCAAAAGGCCACATTTGAAAGAATGCCTCGATTAGCCTGCTAAGCTAACTATTCACACTCATGGCAAGAAAAAGCGACATTGAATGCCATGATTAGCCTGCTAAGCTATCTATTCAGCCTCATGGCCAAAAAGACACATTAGAAAGAATGGCCTGATTAGCATGCTAAGCTAACTGTTCACACTTAAGCTATGGCAAAAACACATTCGAAAGAATGATCTGATTAGCATGCTAAGTTAACGGTTTACACTCATGGCAAAAAGCCACATTAGAAATAATGCCCTGATTAGCCTGCTAAGCTAACTGTTCACCCTCATGGCAAAAAGTCATATTAAAAAGAATGCCCTGATTAGTCTACCAAACTAACGTTGCACAGAACAACATGAAGAATAGAGTCAAGTTGGAGAAACAGTAGCGAATAAGGTCAGTCATTTATATCTTTATGATAGTCAATGATCCCTATATAGCACATGGTGTCAGACAGTAAGATAATCTATCATCAATTTCACAATGGTGGACTGGTTCATCTGTGGCTGCCATATAATAACAGGGAAGAACGATAATGAGATACCCAATAACTACAGTAAGATATACAGCTTTGGTTCTTGGCCTCATTAATGTTAAAGGGACAGTTCAGCCAAATAATCAAAATGCACTCATTTACTCAGGCGGTTTTTAAACTTCTTCTGTTGAACACAAATGAGGATATGTTGAAGAAAGCTGAAAACCTGTAACCATCAACTGCCATAGTAGGAAAAATATATGCCATGAAAGGACGAAGGCTTCCAGCTTTCTTCAAAGTATCTTAAAATAAATGAAGTCAATGAGGTTTGGAACAAGTAAATGCGTGTGAATCAACTCTGACAGAATATTCAGTAGTGATGTGCTGATCGATACTAAAATATCGATATCTCCGATGCCAGCTTTGTATGTTCTAGAATCGTTTATCTTATCAAAATATTGATGTTTCAATAATTTTGAGAAAATGTGTAGTTTTTTTTAAAAATTGCGGAAAGTAACAACAATTACTTGTTCTTTCCGCCTGCCAAGTCATGTGCATAATATGGCACTGTACAACTGCAGATCACGCTAGCTAGCCACTTAGTCCACTGGCCTGGCACATGTTGTTCAGTCACGCTGTCATTGGATATGGGTGGAGTTACCTCACTTCCATAAAGTCAAGCGATGCGGTTTGTGACAAGTGTAACAAAATAAATCACAAGACAGAATATGACAAAGTCATGACTAGGCGGTCAGAAGAGGAGGAAAGGAGAGGTACAGGTGTGCTAGGGTGAAACAGACATCACTTTCAGAGTCCTTAGGGGCAGCAGGCAGGCACTATCCAGGTACAGGAGGGAGAAAATGTGGTGATTTGGCTGTATTTTGGGGGCTTGGGTTTTTTGTGACAATGATAAAACAACGGAAAAAGGTTCAAAATCTTCAAGGGGACCGGATTAACATGTCACTGAACCAAAAGTCAGACTTATTAGCCCCCTTTGAATGTTTATATATATATAATATATAAATATTTATAAATATATTTACGATAAATATATATATATTTCCCAAACGATGTTTAACAGAGCAAGGAAATTTTCACTGTGTCTGATAATATTTTGTTCTTCTGGAGAAAGTCTGATTTGTTTTATTTTGGCTAGAATAAAAGCAGCTTTTATTTTTTTTAAAACCATTTTAGGGTCAAAATTATTAAGCTATATTTTTTCCAATAGTCAACAAAACAAACCATCGTTAAACAATAACTTGCCTAATTACCCTAACCTGCCTAGTTAACCAAATGAACCTAGTTAAGCCTTTAAATGTCATTTTAAGCTGTATAGTAGTGTCCTGAAAAATATCCAGTCAAATATTATTAAAATAAATCAATTATGGATGCTCAGATGCTGTCAATAAATATGAAAGTTAGCTCTTTTTTGTATGATAATTCTTCATCAATAAACATTAAACAAGAATAACCTGTAATATGTCTCGTATTCAGTATGAAGTGACACTTTTAAGTACACTACTTGTTACTTTAATTTCCCCAAACAGAATTTGTTTGCCAAATCGGTAGGATCGGTATCGGCGATACTCGCCTTCATTTTACTTGGTATCGGATTGGATAGGAAACCAGTGGTATCGCACATTGCTAATATTCAGTTTTTGGGTGAACGATCCCTTTAATTATAGGATCTCATTTAATTATACAGTTGCAAACTATATACCTAATTTTACATTTAAAAAAAAGGTAAAACAGGTAAATATTTCAGTCAATGATTTCCAACCAGAGAGGTTTCCAAATCAACATGAACAGATCCTTTTATTCATTACTTTATTTATTTTTTTGTTAAATCCAAGTATGAAATCAGGTCACATCCGTGTTGAAGCCTTTTGTGTGAAGTCATTAAAGTGGATTTATAATAATAATAATAATAATAATAATTCATTTTATTTGTAAATGGCGCCTTTCTGGACACCCAAGGTCGCCTTACAGTAAGCATCAGCAGACATGCTAAACAACTTAAACATTACTAAAAACAATCATTGACCAAACAAGTTAAAACGCAATAGCGAATATAAAAGAACATAATAAAAACATGATAAAAAAATTGTTAAGTAAAAGCCTGCTTAAAAAGATGGGTCTTTAGACGTGATTTAAAATTGTGAAGACTATCACTGCTCCTAAGATCTACTGGAAGTGAGTTCCATAGCCGAGGAGCCATAGAGCTAAAAGATCTGTCTCCCATTTTGCTCAGTCGAGTGCGAGGTGGTGCCAGAGTGAAGTTGTTAGCTGACCTAAGGGTACGGGAAGGGGTGTAAATATGGAGAAGTTCAGTGAGATATTGAGGAGCGAGATTATGAAGTGCCTTGAAAGTTAAAAGTAATGTTTTAAAATCAATTCGATACTTTACTGGAAGCCAATGAAGCTGATAAAGGAGTGGTGTGACGTGCTCGTGAGATGGGGTCCTAGAGATAACACGAGCTGCATGGTTCTGAACCAGTTGGAGTTTCTGGAGAAGTTTGGAAGGAAGTCCAGAAAGAAGTGCATTATAGTAGTCAAGACGTGAAGTAACTAATGCGTGGATGAGAATGGCTGTGTTATTAGTTGTGAGAGAAGGGCGGAGACGAGTGATATTACGCTGGTGGAAATATGCAGTACGTGTAATATTATTAATGTGACCTTCAAATGAGAGTGTGCTATCCAAGATGACACCCAAACTCTTTACCTGCATGGAGGGAAAATTGTACTGTTATCAATGTCTATAGTGAAATTATCAGCTTTATCCAAAACACTTTTAGTGCCGATGAGAAGGGCTTCAGTTTTGTCGCTGTTTAATTTTAAAAAGTTAGCTGAAAGCCAGATTTTTATTTCAGCTAAACATCTGCTCAAAGCAGGAGGAGGAAAAGAACAGGAGGGCTTGGTGGACAGGTAGAGTTGAGTATCGTCAGCATAACAGTGAAATTGTATGTTGTATTTTCTGAAAATGTGACCAAGAGGCAGTAGATATATGATAAACAGGAGTGGACCCAGTACAGAACCCTGTGGGACACCAGTAGTGACAATCTGCGATCTTGACTTAAAATCTTTAATTTGAACAAACTGAGTACGTTCTTCAAGATATGACTTCAACCATAAAAGAGGGGTGCCAGAGATCCCTAGTGAGGCAAGCCTATTCAAAAGAACCTCGTGCGAAACCGTGTCAAAGGCTGCACTCAAGTCCAGGAGAATAAGAATTGACAGTAAACCAGAGTCTGCTGCCTGTAGTAGATCATTAGTGATCCTGACAAGAGCAGTCTCAGTGCTGTGGTTGGGACGAAAACCAGACTGGAAGAGCTCAAACAAATTGTTATTAGCAAGATATTTATGGAGTTGATTTATTGACTTCTATTCCAGCAATATTCTTCTCTCTTTTTTTATTTCACAGTCAGCGAAGGTGCACGATGTGGCGCCAGGCGAAAGTATAAATCAGCCTCACGATGTTTGTTTGTTTGTTTTTTCCTGTAGTTCAATACTGCATCTAACCTGTCTCCAGTACTGTTCAGTTTAAATCATTTTATTTTACCACAAATTTTGTGATTTTTCAATTTCTCTTGCGTGATTTTTATATTGTGATTGTGATATAGATTAAATTTAATACTTAATGGTCTTAAAAAGGTCTTTAAAAGTCTTACATTTGACTGATATCTGCAGAAACCCTGGTAAAGGCAATGTGGTTGGCGCTGGTTAATGAATATGAATTTTTGAAATCGCAGAAAGAAATGTAGGGAACATACAGATGTATTACTGCATGTGGTGATGGTCACTGCAGTCTGGACTCATCTGCGTTGGCTGGTTTCTATTTGTGAACCCTCTGCTTGTAAACAGACAGAAGTGGTCAGGGCTCAAAGTCTGACCCATGGGCTCGCAGCCACCACACATGCAACACCTGCCAATAAAACACAGAAGAAAACAAAAAATATAATTCACCTGAAGGAATGATGCCATCTTTACAGTCAGTACACCAATACTCCAATTTTATTACGATTAAGACAATCCTCTGGTTAAAATAACCCCATATAAACATCGGTTTTTGATTACCTTAATCTGACTAAAGTCATTAAACAAAAAATGGAATTAAGACATGTAGAGTATTCCTAGTTTAGTTGCATTATTAAAGTGCAGTACAGACATGTGAACACCTAAATCCACAGACATTATATGATAGCTAGCTAGACGCCTCATGGTCTGCTTTAGTCGGTAGCTCCGATAAATCAATGTGGCTGCCATCTTAATCCTGTTTATCAGTGCACTATAAACAGACACAACTGATCGGAGGAGCTGCTGTTTTATTGAATATAGAATACAGTAACGCTTATATTTATTAACTGATTATAATTGTATGGTATGAAAAAAAAAATCCATTTACCTAAAAGTAAGAAAGCTCAAACTTGTATATTTTATGGTGTGAAAAGATGAGTTATCAATAAATGTATCTCCTTTCTCAAAGGTAGTGCTGGAATTCTTACCTGTGATATTTACAGCGCATCGGGAAAGTATTCATAGCGCTTCACTTTTTCCACATTTTAAATGTTACGGCCTTATTCCACAATGGACTAAATTTATTTATTTTCTCAAAACTCTACACACAATGACAATGCGAAGTCTTAAATAAATACAATTCCTGAGAAAAACTACTCGATTACAGTAATTTGAGTATTTGTAATTTGTTACTTCACACCACTGCTGATGTCCATGTAAATGTAGTCAGTGTCTCTAAACTCATTAAAGTCCTTCCAGTCATCCATAAAAAACAAATAGATATCTGGTTCATCACAGCAGCTGGAAACTGTATCCTGTATCTTTGAAACAGTGTCTCAACTAATAAGAACATTTGGACAAAAGGTTTAGGCAGAAAGAAGCAAAAAGCTAGGCAGCAGTGGCGCAAAAAGGGTGGGAGATTGTGCCATTGTGCCAAAACTATTTTTGAAATTGTCCATATTAAAAAGTTTCAAATAATAGAAATAAATAATATTTTTTAAATTGTATAATTGTAATTGTATTGTATATTTAATTGTAATTGTATTTTATTTTTTTTATTTAATGTTTATTTAGCATTTTATAGGCCTATAATATTGTATTTTAATAAATACCACCCCCCCCACACACACACACACAAACACACACACATTTTTCATACTATATATATGTTTTTATGAATTTATTATGTATCATAATAAATCATCAGGGGCCTCATGTATCAACGCTGCGTACGCACAAAAACTTTGCATACGCCAGGTTTCACGCTCAGAATCGCTCACGTTTGGATTTACTAACAATGAACTGAACGTCGGAATATGTGCAGGTTCACGGCAGCTTTCTGGCAGGCGTACGCACATTTTTTGTGCGTGTCTGTTTTATTTCCATTGGCGACTCCTAGAGGGAGTTGTGTTAAATTCTTCTCTACAAAGTGTCTGATCCTTGCAATGGCAGCTGTATGAGACGGGTTCAGCAGGTATGTAAGATTTCCATACCATACAGTTGACCAGCTAAACATTAAAGTACAATTTGCAGCGGTCGCCTGTTTTCCCAATGTAATCTGAGCGATCTACCGCACACACATTGCTATAGAGACACTATCTGAAGATGAATTTGCATGCGTGAATCAGAAACATTTCCATTCAATAAATGTGCAAATAAAATATGATGCACAAACTTATTGATGATTCCTACTTGTCTTTCTCGTGATAAATAGTGGGCAAAATCTGATATGTAGCGGGGAAAAAAAAGAAAGAGTTCATCAGACGCTGGATTCGAGCCGAGTTTACGCTCGAACATGTCAGTACATGATCACATGCTTCTTCTGAGGTGCGCCACTGAGACTGCTAAGGGTATTGCAACATTTTTCAGTAATAAATCACACTATTTCTTTTTTAAATGCACTCAGTGCGATGTTCAGACCCAACTGTGTTAACCGTATCAGCTAAACTCTCCCACTCTATTTTTTTCTTTTGTTGTTAATTCCGGAGAACAAACTTGCAAATAACACCGCTTTTCTCCGGTCTACCTCCGAAAGCAGCACCTCCAATTCACATTCTGTTCAAAGTTTCTCTTCTTGCTTGCTTTTGCCGTTGCTTTTTCGTTGGGTTTTGCCATTAGCATAGTCATTAGCATATTCATACGGGGGAGGAGGCAGGGAGGGGTTTTGTGCTCGTGCATGTTGCGCTCAGTTTCACGTTCATTCGGATGTACAAAAGAATATGCGTGAGACTCGGCGTACGCAGTGTTTCATACATCTGAATTTTTTTCTGCGTACGCACATTTACAGCTTTGTGCGTAAGCAATGTTTTAGTAAGATTTCCACGCAAGTCTTCGTACATGAGGCCCCAGGCCTTTTGGTAACTTCTGCTCAAAACTATTTTAATTTTAGCTACAAACAAAGTTGGCCCATAACATTTAAATAAAATAGAACATTTTAGGCAGTTTGTTTGTTTTTTTACACTAAACAGTTTACAGACTTCTTTATTTCACTTAGTGAGGGGTGTAATAGCAGTTTCAGTCGATTCTTCATGCAAAGACAGACCTTACAACTCTCACAGAGAAGTAATTGCAAAGTTCTTTTGCCCTTTAGGACTCCCATGTCTACCATTTTGTTTTGACAAATGTAGTACAAAAAGTCCAAAAGCAAGGCAAGTTAAGGTGCTATAATCATTGGGTGAGGAAAATTGTAATGTTTGCGACTTAACGTGCTTAATGTAATTATACCCTTTACTACTTCATATTATTTCAGTTGTGTTCAGAACTGCGAAATGTATTTGTTTGTAGCATGTTGATGAGGAAAAAATATCTTTAATTTATTGATGGGAATGTTTTGGCGCTGTCACTTGCCTGTTATAAAATCTAATTGGATTGAGGGGGAGGGGCGCACAAAAGTTGAAGCCACATACCCATCAGTAAATGTGCAGTTGCACCCCTGCTAGGCAGCATGCTATTTGGACAGAATTCACTGGGCTAAAGTTAAGTGATAAAACCATTTATTTGTCTCCAATGGGAAATTTCTCCAATAAACCGTTCCAGCAATCTTAAAACACTGATAAGACAGTGTGAATGATAAGCGCACTAATCAATATGTATGTGTTTATTCATAGGAACGCTCGGTCGGTTTAGCACAGATCAGCTTGCTATGACCTAATAGCTATTAGAGCTACCGAGTGCATGATGACCCTGTTTATCTCGAGCCAACATGATGACATTTCATAGAAGCCGTGGACTGCTTTACCTTGGCCAATAGCGTGCTGTTGAAGTTGTCGGAGTAATCAGCAGACACCCTGTTCCTGATATGTCTCTTTCTCCAGGTAAGCCAGGACTTCTGAAGCACACAGTGCTGAAACTGCACCAGAAAGATAAACACGTGAGGTTATTTAGTCTTTGTTATTTTAATCTTCCCAAGTTATGGTCAAATCGAAGAGATTCTGGGTGTTAGTGACTTGTTAAAAGGCTGCTAGTGTGTTTAGTCTGGTTGCTAGCAGGGGTTTATAATCAAAAATGCACTGACATTAATAATTATATAGGCCCTATAAAATAAATCAGAGAAATCAAGCACACTCTATGGCAAATTTATTTTAAAGGGGAGCTATTATGCCCCTTTTTACAAAATGCAAAATAACTCTCTGACGTTCCATGAGTAAGTATGCGAAGTTTCAGCTCAAAATACCCCACGCATAATGTTTTATAGCTCACTGAAACAACCCATTTTAGGCTTTGATCCTAATTGTGGCATTTTGGTGACTTTAAATTCAAATGAGATTGTGCTCTTTTGAAAAGAGGGCGGAGCTAAAAAAAAACACCTGTGTCAGCATAGTGGCAGATTCAAAACAGAACTCATGTTATCTCTAGGGAAAACCTGTAAATGTTGTTCAGATGTTGTACAGTTTTCATTTTTGCATTCTAAAACTCGACATTTATAATGCCTCTTATCTTTGGCAGGTAACTGTACAAAAAAAAAAAAAAAAAAAAAAAAAAAAAAAAAACTACTAACACTTCCCTTCTTAGACTTTACAGACCTGAAACTTGCCTTTAGTACTTATTCATTGTTGCTCTTAGTTGTGTAAATTGCTTCCTTGTCCTCATTTGTAAGTCGCTTTGGATAAAAGCGTCTGCTAAATGACTAAATGTAAATGTAAATGTAAAAACTAATGGCGGTCGATATAGCATCATTTTTGTGACACTATACAACAATAATTAATATACAGTGACGGTTGGGTTAGAGTTAGACGTTGTTAAAATACAATATAAAAGCTAATTTAATAAATAACATCAATAGATCCTGTTAACTTCCAGCCGCAATCATATCTCATCTGCAAAAACCGCTAATGAGGAAGAGTTTGTCACTAATGAGTGGGGCTTTCCCCCTCTGATGACATGTACAAAGGGAGAATGTTAATCAAAGTGTTTCTGCAGGCTGTTTTTATCAAGTGTAGTTATAAAGTAAATAAATGTTTACCATTAGAGGCTGGCTATATTCTGTTTAAACCCCTTAAAAAGTGGATTTTGCATAATAGTGCCCCTTTAAAACTTAGTCTAATGGTCGCTCCCTGAAACTGAGCAGGGCTGCGCCTGGTCAGTACCTGGATGGGAAACCACATGGGAAAGCTAGGTTGCTGCCGGAAGTGGTGCTAGTGAGGCCAGCAGGGGGTGCTCAAACTGTGGTTTGTGTGGGTCTTAATGCCCCAGTATAGTAAAGGAGACTCTATGCTGCTCAGTGAGCACCGTCTTTCGGATGAGACGTTAAACCGAGGTCCTGACTCTCTGTGGTCGTTAAAAATCCCAGGTTGTCCTTCGAAAAAAAGAGTAAGCGTTTAACCCCGGCATCATGGCCAAATTTGCCCACTGGCCTCTCTCCATCATGGCCTCCTAACCCTCCCCATATCATAGTTGGCTTCATTACTTTGTCTCCTCTCCACCAATCAGCTGGCGTGTGGGTGTGAAGTCTGGCGCAATATGTCTGCCATCGCATCATCCAGGTGGATGCTGCACACTGGTGATGAATGAGGAGACTCTCCCCAATGTGTAAAGCACCAGAAAAACACTGTATAAATGTAAGGAATTGTTTTTATTAGGAATTATTACTAGTATATATTTTCATGCCTTAAATTTGAGTTAATCAAATCCACATTATGAGACATTTGAACTTTAATTACATTAAGTTCGTTTGTATATCTTTAAAAAATTAAGTTGAAACATTCATTCATTCATTTTCTTTTCGGCTTAGTCTCTTTAATAATCTGGGGTCGCCACAGGCGAATGAACCGCCAGCTTGTTTATATGTTTTATGCAGCGGATGCCCTTTCAGCTGCAACCCATCTCTGGGAAACAAGTTGAAACATGATTAACTTAATTTAATAAGTAACGATTAACATAAAATCATAAGTTGTCATTACTTATTGATATACAGTTGAAAGATAATAAGCCCTCTCATGAATATATCAAAAATATTTCACAAATTATGTTTAACAGGGCAGGGGATTTTTCACAGTATTTCCAATGATTTTTTTTATCTGGAGAAAGTCTTATTTGATTTATTTTTGCTGAAAAAAATCAGTTAATTAAAAAAGCAAACATTTTAATGTGAATATTATTATTATTTGCCCATAACCAACATTTTACTTCCAATTGTCTACCACACAAACCATCGTTATATTATGAGGTGCCACCATGCATGATGAAAAGAATCCCATTTGACAGCCTATGTCGCCTGTAGCAGAACATTTTGTAGGTGGATCTGTGGGAATATCAATTTATGTAATCTTATTTCAAATGAACAATAATCTACATATAACTGAAAAGTTGTATGCTTTAGTTTTTGATTATATCCTTTCATTAACAGCCCAGCTATGCGGGATACTTAAGGCTGATTTATACTTCTGCGTCAAACGCCGGCGTATGCTACGGCGCTGACGCATAGCCCTTCGCCGTGGCCGTCGCTGACGTGCACCTCTCAAAAAATGTAACTACACGCTGCAACGACGTGTAGCGCAAGCTCTGTGATTGGTCGGCTTGGTAGCGTTTACAAGTGTGGAGTCCCGTGAAGGAGCTCTGGAAAGTTTTGTTTTGTGTTTACCTCATAGTTAAAGTTGTTGCACGTCCGCTGGTTCCTGCCTCAAAATGAGCGAGTTTGAGCCACTTGTACATCCCGGAAGTGTTCAGGAAAAGCAAAACAGCAGCGAAGAAACTCGACACAGAGGTACATTTACACCTCACTGCCAACTAGCGTTTTTGAAGTGTTAATGCAGACCAACAGAGACAGCGCGCAGAAGTATAAATGCAGGCTTTACCCTTTGTCTTTCTGACTACTAGCTAAGCCAAAAGGATGCAAATGCTACAGGCAGGTCTTAAACGACTCTGCCTTTGCCTTCGGGTGATGCTTTTATGCTACAGAAACCCCTGTGTTGATTCACTTGTGTGGTCAGTAGCTTGGCCAGTGTTTAACATCTATATGCCAATTTGCCATGCTGACTCCAAAACTGAATTTGCGTGCTTTGTTTAGCCATCTCCCCTCCTCCCAAGAACACATTATAGACAGAACAGCTTTGTCAAAAATCAGACTTTTGATTGAACTTGCAGATTGCGGACCTCCAGTAGGCTCTGCAGACACATGGACATTGTGAAGACGCTGTATGACTGCAGATTAACCAACACGTCTCAATAAAGGACTTCTGCTTGCTTGGTTCTCATCTCTTCTCTTTTAATCATTTATTATTTTTTTACAACAACTTGGATCATTCACGTAACTTACTCGTTGTGTATACAGCAGCGATGCTTCAGTTTGGTTTTTCCAACTGGACCAGTACAGATAGATCAATCCATGAACTCCTTTATCCAATGCTCTGAAATGAAAACATCACTGATTATTAGCAAAGTCTCTTTAAGGCAAGTAATTTCATGTGCAGTATGTAGGGCAGTATGCTCGGGAATTTTGTTTGAATGGGGAAACATATAGAAAAAAAATATATATAGCTTAAAACTGCTAATCATCTTGACCATAAAAAGTTCCTTTAAAAATTAAAAACTGCTTTTATTCTAGCCAAAATAAAACAAATAAGACTTTCTCCAGACGAAAAAAATATAGGAAATACTGTGAAAAAATCCTTTTTTCTGTTTTATCCATTTTCGAGAGTGTGCAGACTTTTTTTTTTTTAAAGTTATTTAATTTTTAGTTGGTGAAACTTTAAAATGCGCATTAACACAGGGTGATGGAAATCCAGCTTGTGTTCTGTTTTTAGCTGATTCTGATTACTAGCAATAACTTTATATCTGTCACATAACCAGCGATCGCTCTCCAGAGATCGCTGGTTCTCGCATGAACACTATGGACTACACTTCCGCCTTCCCCTGGACTACATATTCATACATGCTCTCCCAGACACTCACGCCTGCTCATTCATCTAGCTTGATTACACTCACCAGCTGAACCTTGTCAGAGACTGATAACACACCATTCATAAGCCACTCATTCACCCATCCTGTTTGCAGAGTCTTGTTTACTGCTAAGTGACATTACAACACGTTTCTCCCTGTCTTGTTTATCGGTGCTTTACCATAGCCTTGTATATCCGTGTTCTCCCGTTTAGCCGCCTGCCTTATGACCAATTGCCTATATATTGACTACGATTCTGGATTTGCCTGCACATACCTGTTTACACCTGATTTGACCATTGCTTGCCTGACGCTGAATAAACCTGCATATTGGATCTTACCTCCAGTTGTCTTTGTCACTCCCTCCCTGTCGTAACAATATGTTTGTAAACATGCAATTTATTGGAGCATGTTTTAGCAATTACTATAATTATCTTTCATTTTTATATCTTTATTTTAATCTTAGTTTCCTTCTGTAAAACAGCTGCAGTGTTTACCTGTGAGAAAGCTGCATCTGTCTGTGTCTGGAAGCTTTCTGGTACTGTTGGTAAACTCTCAGCCAGTGATGGAAAGTTCTAGATACTGCCCTGCCATCCAGCCAGAGACTCACAGCCTCCCGCATCTGCCTCTGGGCTTTACAATCTGGAGGAGAAACAACATTCGGCACTTAACTCACACTTAAAGGGGTCACACTCTCTTTATACTACATCAATGTTGCGGTTTCGAAGCTAAAAACTTATTATATGAAAAAGTAATAAAAATTAAATTTTTTAAAATTAAGTAGTCCTGTCGCCTCACAGCAATAAGGTCGCTGGGTTGCTGGTTCGAAACTCGGCTCAGTTGGCGTTTCTGTGTGGAGTTTGCATGTTCTCCCTGCCTTCGCGTGGGTTTCCTCCGGGTGCTCCGGTTTCCCCACAGTCCAAAGATATGCGGTACCGGTGAATTGGGTTGGCTAAATTGTCCGTAGTGTATGAGGGAACGTGTGTGTGGATGTTTTCCAGAGATGGGTTGCGGCTGGAAGTGCATCCGCTGTGTAAAAACTTGCTGGATAAGTTGGCGGTTCATTCCGCTGTGGCGACCCCGGATTAATAAAAGGACTAAGCCGACAAGAAAATGAATGAAGTAGTGACAGATAAATCATAAGACATTCACAGAGGCTTACAAATAAACAATATTTTATTGCTGTCATTTAAAAAATAGATCAAATTATAGAATTATTACAAAGTAAAAACGACGAATACTGTAAACAGTGGTTAGGGTAAGGAAATGTTCAGTTACCATTAACTAAACTGAATTGGTAATTAAACATGTCTGGTTTCTAAATGCCGTTTTAATTTAAAAGGTTTCATGCTCTCTTATGAGAGCACCTCACTGAATATCACAGTGAGGCTTTAAGTCTTTTTTGTCGTTAATATTTGTAAATCCATGCTTTACATATTCAGGGTTGTACTTGCGCTTCGACATATTTGTTGCTATAATTAAATGATATTTCACATGTCAAACGGTAGGGTTGTTGCGCACGAATTTCGAAATAAAAGTCAGGTATAGGCAATATAAGTAAAAAATGTAACTTTTGTTGTTTTTTTGACCACACACTCCGCGACCCACTGAAAATGTTGAGCCACCAGTTGAGAGACACTGTACTAGACAACAAATACTATGGAAGTCAATGAGTTACTGCAACCAGGATGTTTCAAAATATCTTCTTTTGTGTTCAACAGAAGAAAGAAACTCTATTAGGTTTTGAACAAGTGAAGGGTGAGTAAATTAAATAATCTTCCGCATTTGTTTGGGGTGAACTATCCCTTTAGGGCAAATACATTATACATGAATGTAATTAAATGACCTAAAATGAACAGAAATTCCACATTTTAATTAAAATTACAGTTACTAACGATTACTAAGTAATTAAATTACAGTAACTACTTACTTATTTATACCCAACACTGTACCACATTATAGTTAGTATTATAATGACTCAAAGAGCTGACTGTGCTATTTCTATTTTGAGTAATGATGTCCAAAACGTAAAGGTAAAAAAAAAGCATGTTACCTTTGGCCCACAATGACCAAGTCCTGAACGCTAACCGAGCTTCATGTCTTCTTGTCTTAAGACAAAGCGTGTCTGCTACATTCAACAAATCCTTTCTGTGCTTCCACCGGTTGAACCACTGTGAATAAAAGTAAATACATATAAACATACTGTAGGTTAAATAAAAATGATTTTTTTAAACATTTTAATTTACTGAGTTGAAGCAGGGATCTTACACCTTTTAAAAAGCCGCTTATTAAAGCAATGTGCAGGTGCATTTTTAAACCATTCCAGCACTTTATATGTACATATTAATTAGGGATGTAACAATAATAATACTGTCATACCGCAATAGTAATTTTTTTCAATATTACCGTAGGCGCATGACTCAATAAAACTATATTTCTGAGAAAAGTTTGCTTAGGCTAATAAAGCGAACGGGAGGTAGCGGGAACTACAATTCCCATCAGCCCAGGCATGGCCATCATCCTTTGCGGTCTGTTGTCACTACAGATCCAGTAATGTGGAAATGGAGTGAGCTGCTAGTAGCGTGGAAGAAAAAGAGCTGGAAATGATCGAACCTAAAGCGGGTTTTAAATCGGATGTGTGGAAGCATTTCAGTTTCTTTCTAAAAAGATACGAAAAAAAGAGGAAAAGGTGACAAACAAAGAAAAAAACAATATGCAGGCACTGGCAGACTGTGGTGAAATATAAGTCGGGGAATACGACTAAAAACAGTCATGGGGACTGCAGAACACAGCACACTTGTTAGATTGATGCAGACACTGACTTGTACCGCAATGAGACCTCTATCTCACTCATGGCTTGTCCTCTCATGTGGTGGAGAGACAATGCACAACGTTACCCACTGCTGTCAACCTTGGCTAAATCATATCTCTCCGTCCCAGAAACCTCAGTCCCAAATGAGAGGGTTTTTTTTTCTGTTGCAGGGGACATGCCCAGAGACCCCAGCTTTTACCAGATTATAGTTATATGATAATTTTCCTTAAAAAACCTTCTCTATCTAAGTGAGTGAGTGATTAAATGTTGAATGTGATGAGTTTTCAACAATACTAAATTGAAACTTTTTTTTTACATGGTTTAATAATTTTTTGTTATTAAAATTGAAAAATTTAAGTTCCTGTTTCAAAACGTACAGATAGATGGCTAATTTGTATGTCATTGATATGTTCAGTGCTAAGGTAAATAAACACTTTTGGCACTTTTTACAAGTCTTTTCATCGGTTTTGTTTTTCCTGTAAATGATTCAATAAATACCGTACCGTGCCATTCATACCGAGGTATTACCGTACCGTGAAATTCTGATACCGTTACATCCCTAATATTAATGCACATACATCTTCATCACATTATATCAGATGCTGTTTGTTAGTATACAAGTATTCTAGGGAAGTATATACTGTAGTATTCAAGGGAAATCTATCTACACTCCCTGACTAAAGTCTTGTCGCCTATCCAAGTTTTAGGAACACAAATAAAAATATGACCTCTAGTTGATCATTTGGTATCAGAAGTGGCTAATATGAAAGGCGAAGGCCTCTAGGTTACGCTTATTTGACCAAAATAAAATATGATCATGCCTTGATTTTTAATGATTTAATTAGGACAGTAAGGTCTCACTTTGCTTAGACAAAAGTCTTGTCACTGAACAGAAATAATGTACTGTCTGGAGTATAAACTCATGCTGCAGTGGAGAAAGAATGAATATTGTGTGTGACTCCCATGAGCTTGGAGGACTGCATCCATACATCTCTGCAATAAATAAACTGAATCAAACCTTGTGAAGGAATCTGTTGTTAAAAGCTTTCATCGCTCTGCGTTCTGTGGCCGCAGTTTTCCAGCGGTGAAACGCGCTTTCTCTAATTCGGCTTTCACAGATGAGCTGGCTCTCCATTGAATGCTTCCTTTGCTGACTCGAGATCAGTGCTGTTCTCCACTGCATGAATACAGCAGCCTGCAGTCTCATCTCACTGCTGTACTGGAACCAGGCCTCCCTGTATCTCAGTCTCTGAGCTGATACTGTGTGTCGGTGCCATGCCAGCAGAACCCTACATGCGACAATACAACACTTGCTTTTACAATCATCAGCAGTTTTAATAGTTTATTTTACAGACTTATAATATGCTGTTGTTCTATTGTAGTTTTCATTCCAAAACGGCAAAACGCCCTCTAGTGGCTGTTTTCCAAATCGCACTAGTGTCGCCTCTGAGATATATCTGTGATTCTATGAGGTATATCCAGCTGCAGGCCTGCAAAACCACACACATTTCCAATAGCATCTGGATGCAGCAGCAGGATTTTTGTGTTTAGATTCTGTCTCTGAAAGTGGAGATGCACCTATGGTGAAAATTCTAGACCCCTCCATGATGTCTAAGTAGGAGATATTGAACACAGGGTGATCAAATGCTTATTGACCTCACTGTATGCGTGTACAGCACATTGGTAAGCACTTGTTGTTTTTAAAAAAGTGTTTTATAAATAAACTTTGACTTGACTTGTTCTACTGCAGTTTCACTAGCTTGCCTGCTTTGAAGAAATGAAGAAGCAAACAAGAAAAAAGGAATCTCAATTTTTTTAAATAATAATAATAATTCCTTACATTTATATAGCGCTTTTCTGGGCACTCAAAGCGCTTTACACAGTGGGGGGAATCACCTCATCTACCACCAGTGTGCAGCATCCACCTGGATGACGCGACGGCAGCCATATTGCGCCAGACCACACACCAGCTGATTGGTGGAGAGGAGACAGTGATGCAGTCAATTGAATATGGGGATGGTTAGGAGGCCATGATGGACAAAGGCCAGTGGGCAGATTTGGCCAGGATGCCGGGGTTAAACCCCTACTCTTTTCGAAGGACATCCTGGGATTTTTAACGACCACAGAGAGTCAGGACCTCGGTTTAACGTCTCATCCGAAAGACGTCGCTCACTGAGCAGTATAGCGTCCCCGTCACTATACTGGGGCATTAGGACCCACACAGACCGCAGGTTGGGCACCCCCTGCTGGCCTCACTAACACCACTTCCGGCAGCAACCTAGCTTTCCCATGTGGTCTCCCATCCAGGTACTGACCGGGCGCAGCCCTGCTTAGGTTCAGTGGGCGACCATGTGAGAGTTGCAGAGAGCTAGCTGCCGGCTTTTTGGATCAAAATATAAATGCGCTGAGACTATTTTTGTTGAGTATACATGACAACAGGGACTTGAAGAGCTAACTCACCTACTCTCCTGTGTCTGTGTATAGTGATCTCTGCTTCTGACGCTCTGTCTGAAAGCTGCTCTCCAGTGCAGAAACAAGTTTTTCATCTCCCTCGTGATGTCTCTCTGTCTTCTGGCCTGTGAGATGTGCTGTTTCCACAGATGAACCGCCACACGGGCCTTTTTCCTCTGGATGACTCTCTGTCTCCACACACGCAGATGAAGACGCAGATGGCGAGTGTTTTTCCAGAGGCTACTGATGTGCTGCATGTGAGTCTGAACACGAGTGAGCTTGAGCTGCCAGAGACAGAAAGTTCTCCACTGCAGCCTCTGAATGCCGACTTCCTCCAGCTCTCTGCTTAAACACAGCAGCTCTGAGCGATGGCGGAACTCATGAAGCCACTGAGAGAAACATCTGTCAGAAAAACGGACGTTTTGGAATTGAGTGATTTCTCCATAAAATTGATACCTAAGTTGTAAAAGCATCGAAGCAAATCTACAACATAACAATGCAAGTCACCTACTGTAGATTTCCCCAAACTTTTCCGCGCACACACATACACCAATATGCCTAAGTCAGGGGTGTCCAAACTTTTTGGGCCGAGGGCCAGATGCAAAAAAACAAACGTTGTCGCATTTCTAAACATATTAGTTTTAGTAACTTATTTCTAATAACTGATTTATTTTATCTTTGCCATGATGACAGTAAATAATATTTGACTAGATATTTTAAGACACTTCAATACAGCTTAAAGTGACATTTAAAGGCTTAACTAGGTTAATCAAGTTAACTAGTTAAGTTAAGGTATTTAGGCAAGTTATTTTATAACAATGGTTTGTTCTGAAGACTAAAAGGGCTAATAATTTTGACCTTAAAATGGTTCATAAAAAAATTTAAACCGCTTTTTATTCAAGCCGAAATAAAACAAAAGTCTTTCTCCAAAAGAAAAAATATTATCAGACATACAGTAAAAATGTCCTTTTTTAAATATTTAAAAAAGAAGAAATAAATCAAAGAGGGGCTAATAATTCACACTTCAACTGTGGATAGATAGATAGATAGATAGATAGATAGATAGATAGATAGATAGATAGATAGATAGATAGATAGATAGATAGATAGATAGATAGATAGATAGATAGATAGATAGATAGATAGATAGATAGATAGATAGATAGATAGATAGATCATAACAAGAACTGCTGCTTAATTGAATGCATGTAATAGCGACACCCGGTGGTTATTTATTGAATTACGTTCATTTTTGTATAGCGGGCCAGATTCTATTGATATTTATAAAAAGCCTCGCGGGCCGCCACAAAACTGATTGCGGGCCGCAGATGGCCCGCGGGCCGTAGTTTGGACACGCCTGGCCTAAGTGTATTCTTGGTTTAATTTTGGAGAACGCCACTCGAAGACCATCCTCCATGTTCGGTCGTGGTCTGAATTTTTTTTAAAGTAGGTTAGTGCCGTAAACGTGTCATAAAGTTTAACCTGGTGCCATAAAAATTGATCTGCTGCATCTGAGACTATTATTTTGTCTTTAAAATAACAATCACCCCAGGGATTAAAAGGCATGTTGTAGTTTTTTTATGTAACTATTAACTACTATTTTTATCTTCAGTGGGATATGGACCGGGCTGGCAAGTCTCAGCCAAGGTAACATAACTGGGCCTGTGGGCCAGATATGTTGGTGTGTCACAACTGCAATGAAATTGATAAACCCATGGACCATTGCGCTTTAGGCATGCTAGGGGTGTGCTTTTTCTCGAAGCCACTTGATTGGTAGAATTCTTTTTTTTATTTGAAAATAATGCTTAAATGTGGGTCAAGATAGGCCAAACTTACAGTACATGGCCCACATACCAAATTATTAACATCTGGGCTAAATGCTACATTTTACACCTGGCCCAAGTATTGCGTGCCGCCTTAAAGACGGTGCCACCTCTTCCAAATCCAGGCCATATTTGGCCCACATGCTGTATGCCAGTGCCGAATGAATGCCTGTTGTGCCAGATCTTCTGCCAAATCTGGGCCAGAATTCTTTGCTACCTGGGTATAGTCAATGATAATTACGAAGCAGATTAGATTACCATATTAGAATGATTTCTGAAGGACACTGAAGACTAAAAACAATGATGGTTAAATATGAAAATAATATTTTACATCCACCGTAAAGGGGCAGCATATGTTGGCGCACTGGGTAGCACAATCGCCTCAAAGCAAGAAGGTTGCTGGTTCGAGCCCCAACTGGGTCAGTTGGCGTTGTTGCCCCAGTGTTTGAGTGTTCTCCCCGTGTTTGTGTGGGTTTCCTCCGGGTGCTCCGGTTTCCCCCACAAGTCCAAAGACATGCGATATAGGTGAATTCGGTAAGTTAAATTGTCCGTAGTGTATTTGTTTAAATGGGAGTGTATGGGTGTTTCCGAGGGATGGGTTGTAGCTGGAAGGGCATCCGCTGCATGAAACATATGATGGATAAGTTCTTGAACGTTCGGTTCATTTCGCTGTGGCGACTGAAGACTAATGGCCCGTTTCCACTGAGTGGTACGGTACGGTAAGGTTCGGTACGGAACCAAACCGTGCCGTACCACTTTTCGGCACCCTTTCCAAATGGTACCAAATGGGTGAAAGGGTACCAAAAGGTGAAGCTATACGTGCAGCTGAACGCTGATTGGTTACAGAGATACGTCACAAACTCGTGGAGCTACACAGAACAGAACACAACAGACACAAAGCCAGGAAGAAAAATTTGCCGTGTCCTGTTGTTGCTTTACGAGACCGTCTAAAACTGCAAGCGGCATTCGCTTTCTTCCGGGAGCACGCGAACGCGTCTTTATTTGATATAATGAACTTCTTGAGCTGTTGATAATAACGGAGTGTGATTATTGAAGTGTCTCCATCATCTGATCCATTCAGGAACAAAAAAAGACAAGCGCGAGAGTGAAGCGGGAGTGAAACGCAGAAAAAAAAGAAGCCGTCAAAACACAAGAGCAAAATTGTTTTAGCAACTTGAATCATGAACACACTGCCATGTTTATCTTCGTCTTTTGGACTATTATGAACTGGGAATGACAAATTTACTTTTTGACAGAGCTTACATGTGCTGCTGAAGATTACAGACACAGATGAGAGGTTTGCTCTGACTGTGGGCTATATTGCGTGTGTTTTTGAACTCAAATAAGTACTAAATGCATGCTGTGTGTATTTTTTCTGTAATTAATAATATATTAGTGACTGTAAGGGGCTGTATGTGTTCATATACAGATGTTACTACTTCAGTGTGTTCCTTTTGCCGCCATTTCAGCCTGATCTCACGAGAAAACGTAAGTATTTTACGTTTTGCTAGTTTAGTGGCTAATTCGTACGAATTCGTACGAGTTCAGTCGTACGAAATGGTACGATTTTAAAAAGGAGGCGTGGCACCTGACCCCACCCCTAACCCCAACCGTCATTGGGGGATAAGCAAATCGTACTAAATTGTACGAATTAGATCGTACGAATTTATACGAATTAGCCACTAAATGAAAAAGTTACGAATTGCCGTGAGATTGTGTTGGCCATTCATACCGCGGCGACGGCGGTAATTGATGCGCCAGCAGCATTTGACCGCTGGGTGGCACTTTAACCACAGATATTCAGCTTTGCCTTTTCACAATGCTAAACAGACTGTTCTGTAGGCGTAGCTTACTGAATGTGATGTGATGTGTTCAATTAAAATATAATTTTAATTTAGTTTTTCTGGTAATTGACATGCTCTTACACTATACTGTATGCTGTAGAAAAGATACATGGTGAGAAGTCATAGGCTTCAAAAAGCAAATACAAGAATTAAGTTATTAGCCTTCAGTGCCCGATTAAATTGTGTTGGGGTGAAAATAATGTTTTGATTTCTTTGACTATCATGGCAATGTTATTATCTCAAATCTTAAACGTGCGCATATGAAAAACAGCAAAATAATATAGATTATCCTGCCGGTAGAGCACATCACCTCACAGTTGTGAACTTGCAATCACCTCAACTTACATTTAAAATTTGTTTGCCTGGTTTATTGTAAACTTTTTAAGTGCAAAGAGGATTCGTTTTGGAAAATAGAATTGAAGAAATAAAAGACAACTAAAATGAAAGCACAAACATTCAGTACAAATAAGTAGTCTTAAATAAATAAATAAATAAAGCAGTCATTTAGCCTAAATATAGAGAGATGTAGTGTTTGCTATTTTGATAGGACTAAGACAAGACATTTAATTTATGTTTTTAATTTACGTTTTATTTACATTTTCGTTGTTGATTATATTTTACTATCTCATTTTATGTTTCAATTATAGTACTTAATAATAAACGAATAATGAAAATGAATGAATAATGAAAATAGGACATACATTAAGTCTGGCAGGTTTATTTTTAATAATTTAGTTTCAGTTCCGTTTTTTTCAAACAAGTTCGCGAATAAGATTAGAATGTCTGAATGAACTGATCTGAGATCACTGCTTGTGTTATGAAGGACAGATCTATCGATCCTCGAAATCATGATCAGCAATGCAACGATTGGCTGACGGCACAGCAGCGTAATGACATCATCTGATTAATATTCAATTATCCATGTGAGCAAAATTACATCAAATTAGCAGTAAACGGCTTGTTAAATATGACACGCAATAACCTTCCACATTTGTTGTGAGCTGCAGGCGTTACACTTTCATTTGTCAAGAGTATTCATCATGTATTTCAATGCAAATCAACGTATTTAGTTCTACATTTAGAAAAGATTTTCTTTATTATAGAAGGCGTTTTTTAATCGGTGTAAAGAATAACTGGTTGTTTACAAAAGCGTTTTCATATTGGTAAAGGCGTCTGCAACTATTGTGAAGCATCAAATCACCGGCATATTAACTATCAAAACATGTTTATGACTGCATAAATGTATTATTGCTTTAAAAAAAGTCACATATTGTACATTTCTATTATACACAATTTGTACTAAAGCGATCTAAAAAGTTCATATCAATAAGTTTTCTCTTTGCACCACCAGGTGACAGTCTTTGTACTTTCATTTCAGGGGTGCAGATTGCATACGTTTTATTAATATGTATAACTTAATTTATTTTATTAATAACTATAACTTTATATATATAGTTAAAAAATATGTACCATTTTCCCAAGTGTATATAACTACTACTGTAAGAAAATATCAGAATTCGGTACATACTTTCTGTATTATCTTTGCTTGAACTGAGCCGATCTAATCCTGTTTATATGAATTGAACCTGCTACCGATCAGGTTTAAGCTAGCAGAGCTGTTGCTATGACAACAACTCTCGGATCAGCTTTGAAGAACGAAACGATCCTGGATCATGTCAAATCGTCAATATCCAAATCCAGCTAACTGAGTAATCCACGTACGAAGAACGGACCCCTGTTGTTTTGTTTTGTTTTTTTACTTAATGGCTCAGTACGTTTTGTATTTTAATTTCATATTCAGTCACCTTGCATATGTGTGTGACCCGTACCAAACCGAACCGTACCGTAACCGTATCAGTCAGTGGAAACAAGGCATAAAATAATATGCCAAAAAGAAAATGAACGAATGAATGAATCCACCATAATGCAGCCATAAATAAACCCAGTGTCATTAGGCTGTCAGTTACCTGCTCTGTAATGTGTGTATATAAAAGCCTCTGGAAGTCTTCTGCTGGTTTACACGCATTACCCATGTGGAAAAGCTCAAGTTCAGCCGGTGTGTGTCTGTTCTGCGCTCCATCTGTTGAAGCACACACTTCAGCTGCTCACAGTGCGATCCCACAGCCTGAAACACAAATCGAGGTTTTACTCAACATATAAAAATACAGAAGCCAACAACTGAAGTGGATCAAAGACAACATTAAGTGCTGTTGAATAGTTTTAGGATGACTTTGGTGAAAGGTTTTGATCCACTTTAAATTAATAAATGGCCTATGAACATTTCCTGCTTAAACCACACCTGCTGCCTAACACACATGGTGCGTCCCAAATCGCATACTTATGCCATAGATATATACATTAGATGTCGCCTGGCTTATTGTTGTCTATTGGACAGAATGCGTCAATAACGCCGCCATCTTGCTACAGGATAGCGCTCCTTTGAAATTAATGCGGGACCAAGGTACAGTGGAGGACTGTGGCCATCCAAAGCCAGAGATATACACATATATCTATGATCGGGAGTTTTCCTGGATGTTAGTATGCAATTTTTTTAATGAAAATTATAATTTTACATCACTTTTCTACATTGATGGATCAGTGACCGCACGGGCATTCATGACAAAAAGCTTGTGTTTGTGTGTACAGAAATGTACTATCCACACCTCCTCTCCTGCTTTCACTTCTCATACTGACGGAGGGAGCAATTCGTTTGTGAATGAATCTCTTTCACTAGCCGACAGTAATAAGTTTCTGGCAGCACAGCATCTCGTTATCATATTTCTCTTGCATTGTTTGCTGATTTTATTCAACAAAACTAGCATAAGCCGAGTGTTTAGTGCGAGTTGGAGCTGCTTTGCCTTATGATGAATGCAGTAAGTGACTGTTATCATCAATAATGTTACCTGATTAGCACAAAGGTTCAGAACATACAAAAATGTAAAAAACTGAATATTACCAATGAAATGTTCTGCCTTTGTGCTTTGTTTTCTTTGTTTGCTCGTTACTACACCCGTAGACAGCGCTAAAGTCCCGCATCCTCACGTAGTAACACTGTCTTGACTAGTGCTGTTGAATGACATTTGTCCTGGGAGCACTGTACCAATGTGGCGGCGCTATTGACGCATGCTCAGGGTCCCTTTGCGATATCTAGTGTATATATCTATGTACTCATGCACTCTTTTACGCCATTTTGTAGTATCAATAGTGTAAGTAGTGCACTGAAAACTCTAAAAAATAATAAGTGACAAGTCACTGATTTGGCAACCGTCAAACGTCATCACGGACACGGTTTGAATTTAGTAAAGAAACATTAGTGTGCCATTTGGGATGACACTACATAGTACATACATATCCATCCTGTTGAGTGTGTAAGCGCATAAGTAGTGCATGAGTGCATAGTGTGCCATTTGAGACGCAGCTACAATGATAATACAAAAAGAATATTAAAAAAGAATTAAATTACAATAAATATGTAACGCCGGGGAGTGACACCAACAACAGAAGGTAGGATCCAATATGCAGGTTTAATCTTTGTCAGGCAAGCAATGGTCAATACAGGTATGAACAGGTATGTGCGGGCAAATCCAGAGTCGAAGTCAGTAAACAGGCAATGGGTCGAAAGGCAGGCGGCTAAAACGGATAACTAGGATACAAAGCTAGGTTCAGACACGGAGAAACAAGACAGGGAGAAACGCGTTGAAATGTCACTTTACAGTGAACAAGACTCGGCAATGTGAATGAGTGTGTGTGCTGCTTAAATACTGTGTGTAATCAGTCTCTGAAAGGTGTGAATGTAAATCAAGCTAAATGAGAAAGCAGGTGTGTGGGCGAAGAGCATGTATGAAGTTGTAGTCCAGGAAAAGTGTAGTTCTAAGTGTGTGTGTGTGTGTGTGTTTACCAGCGACATCTGGTGGTTGTTCGCTGGTAAACATGACAAAATATAACTATACATATAATGTACTCTAAAAATATATACAAGTAAAAAAGCACTCTTGGAAGTTCTGAAGGAGTTTTTTCTGCACATGCAGACTTTATTAGTCCTACAAAGGCAAATTTAGTGCTTAATTTGTGCTGGAACAAGCCAGATCTGGCACCTCATTTTACAGATAACCCTGCTCGCGCGGCTCTTGACTTTCTTCTGACACCTCAACCCACTTCACTTTCATCCGCGACACTACCCGAGCAATTTTGGCCTCTCCCTCCTCTGGTAACATGTCGGATCCCCCTACAAATTGGATCTGGCATGTTACCAGAGAAGGGAAAAGTGTCGGGCAAAAGTAAAGAAACCCCCCCCCCCCCCTCTTCCCTTGTGCTCGACAAACACTTTTCTCTTCTCTGGTAAGTCCGTTACCCCAATTTGTTCCGGGACCTCGCAATTTACAAATTAAGCACTGAGCAAATTCATAATGTCTTACCAGTCTGGTCCATGTGGAGAAGCAACGTCTGAGCAGATTGATATCATGGGTAAACACTGCATTCTGTTCCAGCATGTGTGTCCTACATCTCTGCTGAACCATTCCTTTCCACAGGATGAAAAAGTGAAAGAGCACACTCCTCTCCTTTTGTTAAAAAAAATAAAAATCAACAAAACATTGTCGCATACATTACAAATGATAATAACATTTATACTGAAAAAAGCAACCCATTGCACTCTCATCGCATGAACAGTACAGATTTTTAATAAAGTTTATGAAACACTAAACGATATCGTCACTGGTAATATCTAGCTAAATACACGACTTTACCAAATAAATGCTTATTTAAATAAATATGAATACAGTAGAAGCGAAAATGAATAGCCCTTGTGCAAATTTTTAAAATTATTTTTCTAATATTTCCCAAGTGTTGTTTAACAAAGAAATCAACACATTTTTACATAACTAGTTTCTTATAACTCAATTATTTTAGCTTTGCCATGATGACAGTACATTAAACTTTAAAAGTTATTTTTAAGAGACTAGTGTTCAGCTTGAACTAGGTTCATTACACAGCAAAATCCTCTGAGTCAAATTTACTCAGTTCAGAGAATATTTGGTCCCTCTCTAAAATTGAGTAAAATTAAAGAGTTAAAGTTAATGAGACAATGATGGGGTTAATTAGGTGAAGATTGAGCACTGATGACAAACACCTGGGCTGCGTCCGAAACCGCCTACTACTCAGTAGGTACTGCATTTGAATTTAAACATACTACTCGGCCGTTAGAAAAGTATGTTCTATACAGTATGTATAGAATGAATGTACAGTATGAATGGAATTCGGACGTACTACATCCGCCATTTTGTCATGGTCACGTGACCTACCTGCATCAGTTGCGTCGCCTCACTTCTATTCATGAATTCGCTCACGGGGCATTATAAGATACTCCTCGTCCTCGCTGCGCACTTCAGAATCTCGCCGGAAGTAGTAAGTCATCCGGGTACTTCTCGCCTACTGATTTTCGAATTCTATGAATTCGGACATACTACTCGGCTCGCATACTGATTTTGGCGTACTATATAGTATGGAAGTATGCGGTTTTGGACGCAGCCCTGCTGTCAATAAGCAGAAACAGAAGAGAAGCAGTAGCAGCTTTGCTCATTGCGTACCTGTTTGACTTTATTTCTGTCAGATGTTCACAAAAGTCCATATGAGATTTATTAAGAATGAACTGTTTTAGTTATTTACATTTTACACAAAAACAACAAAAGAAAATGTTTTTCCCCCCTGATTTACTTGGACCCTTTGACTCGATTTTCAGTGTTGACCTTTCTTTGCTTGGTATGACAAGTATAGTTGACTGATCCTGTATTGATTCTTAATAAGAGTTTATGTATGACTTTTTAAATGATGGTTTATCATTTAAGAAACAAAATTTAAGTCGGCGCCAATAGCCTAGTGGTTAGTGCGTCGACACATAGCATTCCAGGTCCTCGCGGCGACCCGAGTTCGATTCCCGGCTCGAGGTCCTTTGCCGATCCTTCCCCTATCTCTGCTCCCCACACTTTCCTATCTGTCCATCTCCACTGTCCTATCAATAAAGGTGAAAACCCCTAACAAATAATTATAAAAAAAGAAACAAAATGTTATGTTTTTCAAGAGAATGGACCTCAGCTGTGTGTTTTTTGTGGTTGAAGTCAGAATTATTCGCCCCCTTTGAATTTTTTATCTTTTTAAAATTTTTTCCAAGTGATGTTTAACAGAACAAGTCCATTTTCACTGTATGTCACCATATTTTTTTGTGTTATTTGTTTTATTTCAGCTACAATAAAAGCAGTTTTAAAAATTTTAAACACCATTTTAAGGTCAAAACTATTAGCCCTTTTAAGCTATATTATTTTTCGATAGTCTACAGAACAAACCATCATTACACAATAACTTCTTTCCGTTAAACAGAAATTGCAGGAAAAAAAGTAAACAGGGTGGCTAATAATTCTGACTTCAACTTTAAGTATATATACATACACATATTTATTGCTGGTTCTTGATTTTGAAACCTCAAATAATTTTGCTCTTGAAAAAAAGTTCCTGATTTTGAAACCTCCTTTTTTACTGACACTGCATCAAAAAAGCCAGCAGAGTTAGCATTTGTATGAGAGTGTTGATTAAAAACAGTGTCATTTACCCAGTGATGGAAAGCCCTGCCGTTCATTAATGTGTGTGCTCTCCACGCTCTGAAAACCCCAGCCATCTCTTCACATCTCCTACTGTTTAAACACAGATCCGCCTGTCGTCTCATGTCTCTGTTAGCGCACACTACACTCCTCCACTTGGAGAACGCCAGACACAGTTCAGGGTGCATCATCCTGCCGAGAGCTTTCAGTAACAATGCCTGAGGAGGAATGAAAAAGTGACAGATTAATGGAAAAAGAACTGACTCCTGAATTGAAAAAGTTAGTGGTGCTTTACTAATACCATGAGAGGTGAAGCAAAGCTGACCCTGGACTTGCCTTACAAAACTTATTTTGTCTTACTTTATTTTTTGCAAATAGGCTCATTTTACAACTCCCCTAGAGTAAAACAGTTGAGAGTAACCATTTTTTAATCAATTCACCAAAATGGATGGATGGATGGATGGATGGATGGATGGATGGATGGATGGATGGATGGATGGATGGATGGATGGATGGATGGACAGAACAACAAATGGATGGATGGATGGATGGATGGATGGTTGGATGGATGGATGCATGGATGGATAGATGGATGGATGGATGGATGGATGGATGGATGGACAGAACAAAAAATGGATGGATGGATAGATGGATGGTTGGATTGATGGATGCATGGATGGATGGATGCATGGATCGATGGATGGACGGAACAACAAATGGATGGATAGAGAGATGGATGAATAGATGGATGGATGGAACAACAATTGAATGGATGGATGGATGGACGGAACAACAAACGGATGGATAGATGGATGGATGGAAGAAAAATTAAATGAATGGATGGATGGATGGATGGATGGAATAACAAATGAATGGATGGATGGATGGAAAGACAAATGGATCAATGGATGGATGGATGGATGGACAGAACAACAAATGGATGGATGGATGGATGGATGGATGGATGTTGGATGGATAGATGGATATATGGATAGATGGATGGATGGATGGATGAATGAATGGAACAACAAATGAATGGATGGATGGATGGAACAACAAATGAATGGATGGATAGATGGATGGATGGAATAACAAACGGATGGATAGATGGATGAATGGATGGAAGAACAATTAAATGGACGGATGGATGGATGGATGGAAAAACAAATTAATGGATGGATGAATGGAACAAAAATTGAATGGATGGATGGATGGATGGATGGAACAACAATTGAATGGATGGATGGATGGAACAACAAATGAATGGATAGATGGATGGAAGGAACAACAAATTAAAAGATAGCTGGATGGATGGATGGGTGGATGGATGGACGGAAGGACAAATGAATGGATAGATGGATGGATAGATGGACGGAACAACAAACACATGAATAGATGGATGGAGGAACAACAAATTAATGGATGGAAGGACAGACGGAACAACAAATGGATGGACATATGGATGAATGGAAGCAACAACTAATGAATGGATTGCTGGCTGGATCGATGGATGGAGGGAACAACAAATTAATGAATGGATGGGCGAAAGTGAAAGTAGATAATGAGAGGCCTTATCTCTCATTCTCGCGCTGCAGATGCTCTGTTTAACTGTTTTTTGCAAGTAAAATGCTCAGTTTTTTCACTTACAAAGTCGTCATGTAAATAGCAAATGCGCTAATGGCAGTAGCTACAGACATTATAATAGATGGTGGCTGCGTGTCTAAACAACAGACCGAAAGTGAACCATGCTTTCTATTATAATGTCTAAGCGCAGTATGTCAAATGTATGGACACAAACGCGAAGTAGCAGCAGGGCAGAGGTGCACCAGTCACTGAATCCAGCATATAGGGGTTCTCAACTGTTCACCACATTCTGTCTCTATTTAATGCACTGTGTTTGTCAAAGTTATCTGTAGCTTAGGTGACGACATCCTGTATTCAGTTTAATGCTTGCACGGGGGCTCTGAACTGTCAAAACAGCTTGTGCTTTTTCAGATGCAAAAAAAGTAAAAAAATAAATAAAAATCGAACATGGTTCAAATTATTTTATGACGGACGATCTGTTTAATGTGTTTTAAAGTTTTGGAAGCAGTGTGTCAATAGGATTGACACAACAATAAGTCAAATACATTTTTAAAAGTGTGAAAATTACGGACGAAAATTTTGGATTTAGTGTGCAATAACCTTTACGGTTCACTATTGTACAGTTCACTACACTACGGTTTGGTGTGTGCATGTATATGCATATGTAAGCACTATTGTGTGTGTGATTGTGTAGATATATGCATGTACATGTATGCTTTTATCTGAGTATATATTTGTTGTTTATTTTGCCTTATTTGTCTATACATTTTTTTTATTTGCTTTATTTTACAGTGCTAGTTTGTTGTTTGTGAAGCATTTTGAGTCGCATGCATGTAGGAAAAGTGCTATTAACTGCTTTTAAATGGTTTAAATGGTTTACAGGAGTAATTGTATTATTATCACAGTAATATGCACTACCTTGGGGCCATTTTAAAATCTTTACAGTAACTTACTGCATATTAGGAATTTGCAGTATTCTACTGTAATCAATGTAATCAAGTTCTGCTACTGTAGTAGTTGAAGACAAAAATGAGACAGTTAATGAAAAAAAATTATGCACCACAAAATGTATTTAAACCAGATTAATGAATAAAAATCACTCCTTTAAACCATTTAAAATGATATAATAACAATTAATAATTAAAATACTGTTGTACTTGATCTCGTCACTTGTTTGTAATTTAATAAATTTAATAGTAAATACTAAAAGTGAAAGTTTTGTAATGCTAATGTAAAATGTAAATCAATTACAGTAAAAGTACTGTAAATGGTCATACTGTAAAATTTAAATGTGGTACAGGGAATTTTACCGTAATAAGAATTTGCAGTAAGTCTATTTTACTGTAAAGTGAAATTGCGGTAGAGTCCTGCTACTGTAAAACACATTTACAAGTAGGTTACTGTCAAGGGGCAGTTGTGGTAACTTATGTTGCCAGTAAGTTACCGCAAAAATACAATCAAATGTCTAATAGTGTAGCAGAATCTTGTACCTGAGGCTCAATGCAGGACATCTGAGAGTCACAGCAGGATAAACCAGTGGAGGATGGAGGACGAGGAGCCAGTTTGGCTTTGAAGAGCAGAACTTTATCAGAGAAATCAGCCTGAGTGTGTCTGTACCACTCCAGAAGAACAGTCTTCTGAATAACCCGTTCTTCAGCTAATCTGTGAGATCCCAATAAGACACATTACACTTGTGCATGAGTGAAGCGGTGACATGTAATTAAAGAAGGAGTAAAGCAGCAGATTATCATACTTTGCCAGCTGTTGTTTCTGTAATATCTCTGCCCACTTGTGAAGAGTGTTGTGGAGGAGAAACATGGCTGAGAGATCTTCTGCTGAAGTGTATGCTTTGCGCTTGAAAACATCCATCATACGGCCTGTAATCAATGGCTTATCTAGATAGATAGATAGATAGATAGATAGATAGATGGATGGATGGATGGATGGATGGATGGATGGATGGATGGATGGATGGATGGATGGATGGATGGATGGATGGATGGATGGATGGATGGATGGATGGATGGATGGATGGATGGATGGATGGATAGATAGATAGATAGATAGATAGATAGATAGATAGATAGATAGATAGATAGATAGATAGATAGATGAATAGATTAGATAGATAGATAGATAGATAGATAGATAGATAGATAGATAGATAGATAGATAGATAGATAGATAGATAGATAGATAGATAGATAGATAGATAGATAGATAGATAGATAGATGAATAGATTAGATAGATAGATAGATAGATAGATAGATAGATAGATAGATAGATAGATAGATAGATAGATAGATAGATGAATAGATTAGATAGATAGATAGATAGATAGATAGATAGATAGATAGATAGATAGATAGATAGATAGATAGATAGATAGATAGATAGATAGATAGATAGATAGATAGATAGATAGATAGATATACAGACAGACAGACAGACAGACAAATTGTTCATTCTTTTGTATGTAATTTTTACAGGATTTCATATTAATTATTTTCTTCTGAAGAACGGTTTGATTATTTTAGTTTGGCTGGATAAAATAAGATAAACAAAGAAACAACAATAAATATGTAAAAATATATATAATTGGAAAAAATCCTTATCCGCTTTTTAAGTACGACGTCACGCAGAGCAGCTTCTGGGCCCCAGGGTTCTATCAAACTGTATGCGGAGACTCAACAAATAATAATAATAAACGTTAAAAAAGTGATGCGATACTTTCGAAAATCCCGATCTCAATATATACACCCATGCCTAATATCTGATGGCTAGAAAGTGATTACGTTTTTTTTTTATAAATTGTTAAAATATTGGTGTCTGTGATGCAGCAAGTCCAGAGACTGTCGTGTTCACCAAAATTTGATATAAAATTTAGGAAAGAAAACGTTAGCTAACTAGTGCCATTTCCCTTAACTTAGCTGAAAATAAGCTCTGATACGCCTTTTTATTTTCTCCATTCATTCAGAACGGACCTTCAGGTCACTCAGAAGGTGGTGAAATTATAAATTTGTCATTTTCTCTTCGCTGATAAGATATACAGCCAGGTACAAAACGTTGCTATGTAACTCCCAACGATACTTCCGGGTTTCTTCCCACCGCAGCCTCGATTTTGCTTTTAAAAATGGCGGCCGCGTGAAATCAGTCTACGAGGAAAATAAGTATTGAACACCTCAACATTTTTCTCCAAAAACATATTTCTAAAGGTGCTGTTGACTTAAAATTTTACTGTATGTTGGTAACAACCAAAGAAATCAATATACTGTATGCCAGCACTTCCCAACAGGGGGGTCCCGGGGCCTCAGCGAGCTCTGTGGAGGGGGGGGGGAGGGTCATATCATATTAAAAAAAATTCTTAGCAGTGGACAATTAGGAGAATGATCATGTTGCCAAAGTTCATTTTATCCACTAGCTCAGTGGTACTCAACCACTGGTCCGTGAATCAATTGGTACCGGGCCGCACAACAAATCATTAATTATTTCTGTTTTCAGACAATAATGTCTGAGTATGAACGATCTTCTATTTTAAAAAAGTCCTTTATTTTGAAAAATGAACATTTTCTTTTGCTTACGTTTCAGTCACTTGAGCACTCAAATTTAACCCACAAGCAGCAAAATGAGTAAGAAACAGACGTCTTTGTAAAATTTCTTTACTAAGGGGGAAAGGCCCAGTGAACGACACACAAACTGCCAAGGAATAGATCCACAACCCATTTGTCAAAAAATCAGGTGAATGCACCATAGCTTTGCATGCATATCGCGTTTAGGTTATAAGTTTGTTGTTTCCAATGGAGGTGCGCGGCTTGTGCGCAAAAGCATGATGCTCTCGTGTCAATGAATCCCGCAAATCACGTGACAAGAATTGACCAATCAGCTTCAGTTTTTATGGAATATACACATTTCTGTAGACTCATGCCGGCAGCTAGCTCTCTGCAACTCTCACATGGTTGCCCACTGAAGCTAAGCAGGGCTGCGCCCGGTCAGTACCTGGATGGGAGACCACATGGGAAAGCTAGGTTGCTGCCGGAAGTGGTGTTAGTGAGGCCAGCAGGGGGCGCCCAACCTGTGGTCTGTGTGGGTCCTAATGCCCCAGTATAGTGACAGGGACGCTATACTGCTCAGTGAGCGCCGTCTTTCGGATGAGACGTTAAAAAATCCCAGGATGTCCTTCAAAAAAAGAGTAGGGGTTTAACCCCGGCATCCTGGCCAAATCTGCCCACTGGCCTTTGTCCATCATGGCCTCCTAACCTTCCCCATATCATAATTGGCTTCATCACTCAATCTCCTCTCCACTAATCAGCTGGTGTGCGGTGTGCGGTCTGGCTCAAAATGGCTGCCGTCACGTCATCCAGGTGGATGCTGCAAACTGGCGGTGGATGAGGAGATTCCCCCCTATGTGTAAAGCGCTTTGAGTGCCCAGAAAAGTGCTATATAAATGTAAGGAATTATTATTTTATTATTATTACTAATTTTCTCAGAAAAACACAGAACACACAAACACTGAAGTGCTTTGTAATTTTCAACAATGGACACATTTTTTAATACGTTCTCCACAAAAAGTCTCACTGATTCGCCTCACAGCAATCCTAACACTAATTGATAGAGCAAAACAAGTATTAAATTGCTATTTTTTCCCCCTTATACACCAGTGTGAATACTGATATTTTTGTTATTGAATGTCAAACAGGGCTAGTTTAAATGCCAAAGGCTTACGTTTTACAGTTACAAATGGCCTACTGATGTTTTGCTTTTATATTTTACATTTATTTGTGCATAAACATATCTAGATTTAGTAATAAACATACCGTTTGTTAGAAAACATTTTTTGTCATCATTACTGCAAACTTATACTGTATGAGCGATAACATCATTAAATGCTTACAATATTTTACAGGGGAAAAGGGGGTCTCATGCAAAAAAATAAAAAGGTTTGGAACCACTGCTGTATGCAAAGAAAACAAATCTAACGTACAAATGAAGTTATGTGAAATAAAAAGATAGACACAAGGAAACAGTATTAAACACATGAAGAAAAAGAGGTGTAAAAAGGCAGTGAAAGCCCAGAGTGCAGCTGAAATTTCTCAGTAGGTCTTCAGCTGCTTCGTCAGTGTAAATGAATACTAGCTGCTTCAGTCCAACATTTACATTAGCAGGAGGATGAAGATGAAATCAGGGTGGACATTTCAGCAAGACTATGATCAAAAACTCAGCCAAAGAAACTCTCAAATGCTTTCAGAGAAAGAAAATCCCAGCAAATCACTTGACTAAAATTTAATAGGAAATACAAAATAAAGCCCAGATTTGACAGGCGAGACCCACAGAACCAGCAAGATTTTTACACCCTGTTGAAAGCCGTGAAAAACTCACACCTGAGCATTGCATGTGATTTCATTCTCTAAATGAGAGGCGTCTTTAAGCTGCCGTCACCAAATAAACCTTTAATATAAAGTATTAAACACATTTTTAGTAGTTCAGTTCTTTCTCCTTCTTCCTCATTCCATTATCACACAATTCATTTTTCAGATTATTTTTGTTTTGCTTTATTTTTGTTTGTTTAATTTGGGATTTCACCAAAATCTGGTTCAACTCCATGTCAACAGCTCCTTTACAAATATTATTCCCAGGAAAAACCAAGACATGTTCAATACAATTTCCCCTGCTGTACATACTAACCAGTGTTTGTGTGTCTGGTATGAAAGCGGTGGATGTGGAAATCCTTCAGAAGGCCGTGTAGCTGCAGAGATAGTCTCCACTGCTGGAAGCTTGTCTTGAGTGTCTGAGTCTCTCTGTGATGATAGTAACGCTGCAGTGATGCTCTGCGCTGAACAACTGCTCTCCAAGCTGACAGACACCTAACATAAGCACACAGACAGTGAGTGTCACAACATCAGTCAACAAATTGCACATCATTAAACTGATTATAAGTGACAGTAGACATTTAATTTATACTAAAGTTTCTCTTTAAGGGTGGCACAGTGGATAGCACTGTTGCCTCACAGCAAGAAGGTCAATAGTTCAAGTCCCGGCTGGGCAATTTGGCATTTCTGAGTGGAGTTTGCATGTTCTCCCCGTGGTGGCGTGGGTTTCCTCCAGGTGCTCCGGTTTCCTCCACAATCCAAAGACAAGTGCTATAGGTGAATTAAATAAACTAAATTGGCCGTAGTGTATGAGTGTGTTTGGGTGTTTCCCAGTACTGGGTTGCAGCTGGAAGTGCATCCGCTACATAAAACATGCTGGAATAGTTGGCAGTTCATTCCGCTGTGGCAACCCCTGATTAATAAAGGGACTAAGCCGAAGGGAAATTAATGAATAATAATAATAATAATATAAAGTAATGGCAAAAGTATTATTATTATTTTTTTTATAATTATTTGTTATTATTATTATTATTATAGAATGTATTTGTATAATTACTTAAGGAAAATTTTATAAGAATTAATAAAATATAAAAAAAAATAAAATAATGACAAAAACTATTTCTATTATTACCATTTATTTATTTTTATTTGTTATTTGTTTATTTATTTATTAGGAATTGTCTAATTTTGTTGACATTAGTTCTTAATTTATTGTTTGCTTATGAAATAATTTATTATATTTAAGTGTAGTATATTAAAGTTATACAGTGTGGCGCAGTGGGTCACAGTGGCGCAGTGGGTAGCACGATCAGCTCACAGCAGGAAGGTCGCTGATTTGAGCCCCGGCTGGGCCAGTTGGCATTTTTGTGTGGAGCTTGCATGTTCAGCCTGTTTTGGTGTGGGTTTCCTCCGGGTGCTCCGGTTTCCCCCACAGTCCAAAGACATGCGCTATACTGTAGGTGAATTGAATAAGCTAAATCGTCCGCAGTGTATGAGTGTGTATGGGTGTTTCCTAGTGTTGGGTTGCGGCTGGAAGGGCTTCCACTGCCTAAAACATATGCAGGATAAGTTGGCTGCTCATTCATCTGTGGTGACCCCTGACTAATAAAGGGACTAAGCCGAAAAGAAAATGAATGAATGAATATTAAAGTTATACATTATTACCGATGGTGTGAAGTAACAAATTACAAATACTCAAATAACTTTAATTGAGTAGTTTTTCTCAGGAATTGTATTTTACTAAGTAGTTTTAAAAATGTGTGCTTTTACTCTCCCTTGAGTACATTTTTAGTGCGGTATCGGTACTTTTAGTTCACTACTTTCCTTCAACCTGCAGTCACTACTTTATTATTTCTTGTCTATGGGGATTGGAAAAATCAGCCCTGTGATTCTTGTCCAATCAAATCACACATAGAAATTGCATCATAATGAGCTACCTCGAGACATGGGTGATTTGTAATTGCAGTAAACTGTTCGGAAGCGTTAAAAGTGTCCAGAAAAGATGTTCACACGCATTGACCAAGAGACTGTTTAGATGCATGTCACTGATGAGAAGATGACGGATGTTTACTGTATGATGAATAAAAAAGGCCTTAAATACCCAGCAGGCACAAGGCGTCAACATGACATCACTTGACATCGTGATCCAACGTCGTGGGGACATTGCATTTTGTTTGGAAATGAAAATCGGGTTGACGTCAGAATCCAACTTTAGGTCAATGTCCAACCTAAAACCAACCAAACCCCTAATGATGCTACAGCTTGATGTTTTGTGGACGTTACAACTATGACGTCTTTCAGACGTTGGGTTTAGATTGCCATACCTGACGGATAAACATCAGTATTTAATGTCAGTATGACGTTGGTTTAAGATGCTGGCTCGATGTTTGATTGTGGTCACTTTCTAACACAACCTAAAATCAACCAAACATCAACGTCATTATTAGACAACAAAATAATGTTGTCCTTAGATGCTGGCTAGACATTGAATTTTGGTCACCTGACATCACAACCTAAATCTAACCTAATATTAACGTCTTATGACATTGTGTGCCTGCTGGGCAATAAGTAATGCACTACAGAATGTTACGTTTACACATCCACATATTACCTGTAAGTGCATCAGCTTTTAACAGCATAATACTCACTACTCACAACTCTTGAGTACTTATGAAATGTCTACTTTTTACTCATACTTTGAGTAATATTTAGGCATTTTTAGGAAAGTAAGGGTACTTTTACTTCAGTATGATTTTTTAGCACTCTTTCTGCCACTGATTATTACTTAAAATATTAAAATGAAAAACGTTCAAACAAGTTTTCCTCCCAACAATCCAGACCTCGTTCACAATAAACTGAACATCTACTTTGTATAAAGTACCAGCTTTTTAACATATTAATTTGAGTGCAGCACCCATAATGCAAATGAACCACAAAAAAAACAAGCAAACTCACCTTGAGAGTTGAGCTCTCAGCAAACTCTCCTGTAATTTTCTTAACTCTTCCCTTTTGCGAGTGCTTTGACACCACATTGTAAAAGCAGTCTGCATTCGACCTTTATCCTGCAGGTGGCGCACTTTCTCCAGAAATCTTCTTGTGTCCTGCATTCTTACGGCGACGTGTCTCCACTTCCTAAAGGTTTCTGCACAGATTACAACAGCAGGCATCAGTTCCTCCTCACTTCAGAAGACTCCTTATACAGTATGTGTTGTGAAAACGCTTCAGGCACAGTGCTGTCACTGTCAGGGGCTGTTACTGAACGCTGTCAGTCTTGTTTTTTGTCCATGACCTCCACCTACCTGCTAACATCCGCCTGGAAAGCTCCCATGAGGCTCTAAGGCTCAACCTTGTAAGTTTTGTCTCATGAACATAGCAATGCCAGGAGTGCAGGGTGCGCCTGTGCAGGAAAACAAATGATGTGGTAGCATGCTAATACTGTGTTCTCCTATTTCCATTGACACTTTCATCAACATTTACTAAATAAAATACAAATATCACTGAGGTAAAGTGGATTTAATTTTTGCACATTCATTCATGAAACTTGTGAATATAAAAACCCACTTAACCTTAATGCAAAATTCGCCCTCACAATGGTATGGTACGGTGTAATTGAGGTAAAGTTGGTTTTATATTAACGCATTCAGACTTTTTTCAATAATAATATGATTTAAGAAAAGAATTCTATACTATTACTAAATAGTGAAGTCATATTAGCAGTCATTGACTATCAGAGTACAGTCAAATAAATCATGCTAATGTTGAATTGAAGTCATAATTGCATGTGATTTCAGACCGAATATGTAAAGTACCATGGTAAACAATATAGGGAGCATGTCACAAGTTGTCACTGAATGTATGCAAATATAAAACTAACTTTACCTTAGTTATGGTGTGCTGGGTGGCTGCTATAACCTTGGCATGCCGTTCTCAATGGACGAAAGTGAAAAGGGTTGGGGAGGAGGGCGGTTGAGGAGGCGTATTGGTAAAATGAGGTGCATGATTTCAGAGGTGCCGGATCCGACGTGTTCCGGCACCAAGTAAGCCCTGGCTATTCAGCAATATAAATACAAGAATTGTTCTTATAATTGGTTTATTCCCTAATATCACTCAAACCTAAGACTTGACCTATGATAATGATATTGTAGACCCAATCTCACAAGGAAATGTAATAATTTTGCACACTGTTTGCTCATTTGTATAAATTAATCTGATTTCTTTCGTATTTTAAACGGAGGTGTGCACCAACACCCCATCCCGAAAGGTCCTTCAAGCAAAACGTAAGAACAAACTTTTTCGTTTGTTATAAAAGATATTCGAAAAGGCTGAGTGATGAAATACTTTAGCACCTACACACCTCCAACCTGCAGGTGGCGCCAACATGCGTCACATTGCTCGCATGCTATCTTGTCTGACCTCTGTGGAATGATAAACTAATCGAGGCTGGAAGTAAACTCATGCCAAAGAATTATAAGTTCTAGAACACACACACCGATTGCGTAAATGCAACGTACCAATGGTAGCTCAAAGGTGTTTTTTTTTTTTTACAGTCAATACACAATCCCCAAAAGTTACAGTAGCTTTGGTGAGCTTCCAAACTGCCCAAACTAATTAAAAGAAAACAACAACTTTGTTTTGGCCAGATTTAGTTGGAAATTACTTTAATCCACTTCTTTTAATTTTTTTTAAAAAAATTTGAAATCTACCAGGGCCTGAACCCTACCCTTCATTGAGAAATGAATGAGATCATACAGATAAATTAAGATTGCATTGAGACATAACAGTATGAACTTTTAGATACTTTCTACAAAGCTTATACCAATAAAATGTACTTGGGAAAATCTGACCAAGCCTTAGAATGTTAGAGGCAGACTCTTACCGGGTCAAAACAAACTGGTTTTCTCTCTCTCTTTTACAAGATTCTGCTCTTTTCTGCCAATGATGGAAAAAGTAAAGAAGGTTGCTCATCTGAATGGACTGCATTAACTTCTCCAGCTTCTTCTGACTGGTTCGAAACTTCCACTTCGTCCATGCTAATGCTAACAAATGCGTGCTAAAGAAAGAAACACATCAACAACTCATTTAAAATACAGCAAATTCTAAGAATGCAATCAACATAAGTGATACTTAACAGTAGACACCCTAGCCATGTTTTCGTCCAAAGATTTTAATTAAATTTATGCACAAAACTGAAATATCACATAAAACATTTGCAAATAAAGCAGCGTTTCCATCCAACAAGTCCAAGAGAACAAAATCGCCCCGATAAACTGGCGCCAAATCGTCACCTTGGAATTATAAGGTTCTATCTGCGTTCTGAATGATTTTGAGATAATGAGCTTCAAAGTTTTTGCATTCCATAGCAAACAGTATGTGTGTAACATTTGTTTTTTAAATAAAAAGTCTAAAAATGTTAACAACTTATGAAAAAAATCCCAAATTTAAATAAGTTGTCATTTAATGAGAATATGTGAATAACTAAATTGACAAAAATGTCAGAAAGAACCTTATAATTCTAAGATGACGAAATATTAAAATGGACATTGCTGCATTAGCGGAAGGCCTTTTTTCGTATTTATTAACATACTAGCATCTTAGAACACATAGACGAAACGCTATTTGCACAGTCATGCCATCTTGCTTTCGAAAGAGAAAACTTCATTCAGAAGATTTGCGCTTTCTGCTGATGTTTTCCATTAAAGATGTTCGTCACTTTGTCGGTCACCCAAATATAATTGTCACTTTCCGCCATTTTGGATATCACATGATCTGTTGAAGCAAAATCTCATGCCTTTTTTTCATGTGCATGCTTGAATTTATTAGGTAAATGCATTTCCATCGTAATTTATTCACATTTTTTCTTATCGGTAAAGGGTTTATCCTGGAAGGGACTTCCGGATAGACGATATAGTAAGACGTTGGTTGTGTAGCTCCTCTAACTTTTATTCAAATTTCATAAAAACAAGACTACAAAAAACTTGTTAGTGCTCTTAAATATTTATAGTGCTGCATACGTTCAATATACGTTGCAATTTGCGCGTTTATAAATGCTGTCGTATAATACAGGAAATAGATGTCGCTCAAGGAGAAAGCTCGGCCAAGAGCACGGATGCGTTCCAGCTCAACAGCAAGAAATGACCCAGTGCTGCTTGCAATGGAATCTCTCCGAATGTAGATGATCAAGGTTAAAACTGACATTAAAGAAAGTTTGAAAGAAGAGATTGCGACGCTGGAAAAGAAAAGAGATACAAAGTTCGATGCAATGCGGCTAACCATTAACGAGCACTGTGCATCTTGAACAGAATGCTACATGCTCTGCAGATGCTTTTACGAAATATAAAATAATATTAATAATAATAATAATAATTAATTAATTTACAGCACTTTTCTGGACACCAAAGTGCTTTACACATCGGGAGGAGTGTCCTCATCCACCACCAATGTGCAGCATCCACCTGGATGATGCGACGGCAGCCATATTGCGCCAGACCACACACCAGCTGATTGGTGGAGAGGAGACACAGTGATGAAGCCAATTATAGTATAGGGATGGTTAGGAAGCCATGATAGACAGAGGCCAGTGGGCAGATTTGGCAGGATTGCCAGGGTTAAACCCCTACTCTTTTTCAAAGGACATCCTGGGATTTTTAACGACCACAGAGATTCGAGACCTTTGTTTAACATCTCGTCCAAAAAACGGCGCTCACTGAGCAGTATAGAGTGCCCTTCACTATACTGGGGCATTAGGACCCACGCAGACCATAGGTTGGGCGCCCCTGCTGGTCTCACTAACACCACTTCCGGCAGCAACCTAGCTTTCCCATGTGGCCTCCCATCCAGGTACTGACCGGGCGCAGTATAGCTTCAGTAGGCGACCAAATGAGAGTTGCAGAGAGCTAGCTGCCGGCTACATTAGAATGAACAAATAACAAGCTGAAGTTAAAAGTCTGTCTAAGCAGTTGTCAGAATTAACTGAGAAATGTATCGATCTGGAAGGCCATTCTAAGAGGCAAAATACAAAAATCGCGGGAATCCGAGACGCAATGGAAAACAGCCAAGGTGCCTGTGTGGCTAAACTGCTCATGGAGGTGGTTGGATTGGATGAGCTGCCCATCCTAGATGGTGCTCACAGAGCTCTGCGCTCCCGAGCAGAGGTCAGTGACCTGCTGCAGCAATTCATTGGGATACACTTTGCCCATACAACTGAAAACATCATGCAAAAAGTGTCATCACAGAGAAAACTCCATTCAGATCTTCAGAGACTATCCCTCGGCTGTGGTCAAACACCAGGCAGCATTTGCCAAAGTAAGGCAGATCCTTCAAGATAAACCTGGTGTGAAGTTTGGCATTCTTTATCCAGCAAAGCTGTGGGTGATGTACAGTGAAGAAGAAAAGCTTTTCACGGACGCTAACGAAGTATGGAAATTTGCAATCGAACATCTTAGCACAGATAAATTGAGCTAAATGCTGAGCAATAATCCCGGGACTTTGGGCTTGTTGTTTTGTTTAAGTTTCAGATAGCTGCCGGACTCACTGTCGAACTTTTCTGAAGTCTTTGCAAGATGAAGTTTCACAAACTAATTTCGAGAGGAGCACGTGATATGATTGACTGCAGCTGGCCACTCATCTACACTCATTAGCTAGCCAATCAGATTGATCCAAACTCACTATAAGTAACCTAGCTAAGAACTACTCCCTTATCTTTGTTTCCCGAAGAAACCCCCCATCCACCCCTTCTCCTTTCCTCTTTGCCGAGGGGAGCTCTCGAGAACACCTGATCTCGTACTCCCCTCACATGCTCTATGGACCTGGCGGGAGCCCTGGGCTCAACTATCTTCGAGCTCAGGGTTCTCTCCCAGGACAGCATGCCAAACCTGCTAACTTGCTAACAAGTTGTCAAACAGTATCTAAGTGTGAACTCTTGAAAGTAAAATGCAGAGGTCGGATTTTTATTTCTGTTTGTTTCTAATTTTACCTTTCTATTGCCTTCTACATATATTTTCAAGTGAACGTCTGCTTAAATTTCTAGCAATAACAATTTTTAAACCAGAAAAAAAATTTCATGCACATTTTTAAAATATATGCACATTTAGGATTTCCATCAAAGGTTTCAAACATAGAAATAGGTGGATGCAAACGCAGCTATTGACACAGACATAGAGCTCTATTTGTACCTGTACTGATGTGTGGCCAGTTCGTCTCTCTTCCAGCTTGTTATCCACAGGGTCAAGGCTTTACTTTGGAGTCGTCTGTCCCACCACAAGCATGCCCACTTCTCCTGCTGTCTCATAGTGATACGCTTTAAACATCTCTGTCTCCACAGCAGCCAGTGCTTATATAGCACAGAGAGACTGTCAATGTGTAACACAAAATGCGTTGCTCCGGGTACGTTTAAGATGACAAATCCACTAGAGGGTGCCATCTGCATAACAACTACATACAGCTGAAGTCAGAATTATTAGCTTCCCTTTGAATTTTTTTTTCTTTTTTAAATATTTCCCAAATAATGTTTAACAGCAGGGAAATTTTCACAGTATGTCTGATAATATTTTTACTTTCCTTTAGAAAGTCTTATTTGTTTTATTTCAGCTAGAATAAAAGCAGTTTTAAATTGTTCAAAAATAATTTTATTAAATTATTTATTAAATAATTTATTAAATTATAAACCCCTTTAAGCTATAATTTTTTCAATAGTCTATAGAACAAACCATTGTTTTACAATAACTTGTCTAATGACCCTAACCTACCTAGTTAACCTAATTAACCTAGTTAATCCTTTAAATGTCACTATAAGCTGTATAGAAGTGTCTTCTAAAATCTTTAAGATAAAAATATCTAGTTAAATATTATTTACTGTCATCATGGCAAATATCAAATAAATCAGTTATTAGAAATGAGTTATTAAAACTGTTATGTTTAGAAATGTGGTGAAAAAAATCTCTCAATTAAACAGAAATTGGGGGAAAAAATAAACAGGGGGGCTAATAATTCTGGGGGTTAAATAATTCTGACTGCAACTGTATATATATATGTTTATGTATATATACACATGTTATTTTGCTGTTATTTGGAGTTTTTCAAAGAAGGACACAGAAATAATCCTATATTCATTGATCATATGCAGGGCCAGGTGGAATCTGCTGACATTATTTTATGCTGAGAATTTTGGTAAAAATCTGAGAATTTCTGTGGAATTATTTTGAGAGTATCATAACTAAAACCTTAATATAGGAAATAAAAAGTAATACCTTTTGAACTTGTATTTAATGGTAAAATTGCAAACCCAATTAGATCCACTTTATTTGGAAAACAAAGCAAGTCTCTCATATAATATATCTACTAAAAGACAGAAAATATTACTGTACAAACTGCATTGTGCATAAATCAGATGCACATTTTCATATTAGTCAATAATATTACTGTAATTAATCAAAAAAACTGAATAAATATAGATTTACACACATTTACTCAAGTATCATTCATTTATTTTCTTGTCGGCTTAGTCCCTTTATTAATCCGGGGTCGCCACAGCGGAATGAATCACCAACTAATCCAGCAAGTTTTTACACAGCGGATGCCCTTCCAGCCGCAACCCATCTCTGGGAAACATCCACACACACATTCACTCATACACTACGGACAATTTAGCCTACCCAATTCACCTGTACCGCATGTCTTCGGATTGTGGAGGAAACCGGAGCACCCGGAGGAAACCCACGCGAAGGCAGGGAGAACATGCAAACTCCACACAGAAACGCCAACTGAGCTGAGGTTCGAACCAGCGACCTTCTTGCTGTGAGGCGACAGCACTACCTACTGTGCCACTGCCTCGCCCATTTACTCAAGTACATAAACAGAATTGATGATGGGCTACAAAATCTGCGGAAATCTGAGGAATCTGCGAGCGCAGATTCCGTGTGGGCCTGTTCATATGTCACGTTAAGTATCATTAGTGTAAAAAGGAAAAATCGCCGTTCTGTCCAATGAACCTGTATTGCATTCATAATGAGGTAAATGAGTCAATGCAGATTATACAGTAGGATGGTTCTTACTGGTTATGAATCATAGCCGTTCTGAGCATGTGCCGACTCCACCAGGTGGAACAGGTGGACATCACAAGCAAAGGTCTGCTGGGCTGAATGAGTCGCTTTCTTAAGTCATCGGTTTTGCGTTCACTGTGGAAATGTCTGCAGTCATAATGATTCTTCCACTGTAACAGAAGCAAAATGATTTGAGTGGTTTATAATGCATTAGTACATACTCTTGTTTGGTAATCACCAAATAAAGACATACGACATTAGAAAATATAAATCCTTGCTGCAAAACTAACCTAACAATAAAACTGTTGTATCTGACACCAAAATTCACAAATTTAGCAGCATTGATGACGAGCTGGATGAGCTTTATCTCCCATGATGGCCTAAAGGAGGTTGCCCAACTGAACACCTGTCATTACCCAGTTACTAAATAATTAATGCAGTGGACACTAATTGTTGATTGGAGCACAGACTGCTGAGGTGAAACAAAAGCAGGTATTTTTCAAAAAATACAATACAGGGATTAAAGCAAAAAACACATTGTTACATTACATGCTAAACATATGCCATTTCATCTTTTATCTACATCAAACAATGGTCGCACGTGTATAACAGAGAACATCAACAATGGTAAACACGGACATTAATTCAAAGAGGTTTGTCATCACGACACATACAAACACATCTGTGTTTACCTTGTGGTTTAAACCAAGTAAAAGCTAAGACGTGACAGGTAAAGCCCACATTTAAGGCATACTATGTAATTTTCACCACTAGAGGGCACATGTTCACAACAAACAAAGGGATAGTTTGATGAAGGGTTGCACTGTTTACCGGTACTATGGTAGTATTGTGATACTGTTGCTCTAAAATACTGGCGGTGCCAATGTAGTTGGCAAATGGTAGTATCGTCATTAACATACAATAGATAATGATGGATGTGGAAAAGTCATTAAAATGCTCACATGTTTGTGCAACAATAGACCATTGTATTTTAATAGTTTGTGCCTTTTAAAGTTGCAAGTTTTCTAATGTTTTCTGATGTTTCAAACTCGCATCTCAATCGGTTCATTTCTGTTCCTCTCCATATGGTTTAGTAGCTACAACAACCGTGACAATCTCTTAAAAAGAACGACTCAAAAAGTGAAATTTTAAATGACTTTGTATTGCTGATAAGACTGAAAAAAGAAAACAATGGATGAAAAACCCAAATAGCAACATTGAAACAATTTTTGACCACTTCATATACCCTAACCGCCTTGTTGGAAAATGCTATTTTTGTAACAAATTTTATTTGGTATAGTTTGTTTCTTTATTTGAGGGTGCTTTCACACCTACACTTTTGTTTTGGAACCCGTCTCGTTTACCTAGTTAGCGCAGTTCGTTTAGCATATGTGAAAACACGAATCGCACTCGGATCCACACAAAATCAATCACTCCGAGATCACTTGAATGAGGTGGTCTCGGCTCGATTGAAACGAACTCTGGAGCGGATCGATTGTAGTGAGAAAGCAAATGATCCGAGCCCGGTTACATCACAGTGTTTTATGGATATGTCATATGCATACGGCTATATGAAGAGAGAACTATGAGTAGGGCGGGAGGTCATTCAACAGACATCCTAAGTCTCCCGGAAGTTTCAGTAGTCTCCCTCAAAAGCACAGAGACTCCTGGATAATCTCCTGGTTATCACGCATTTTCCTCCCGGTCCTGGTCACGCACCTTTCTCACCCCTCCCCACCGCATCTCTCCTCGCTCTTCAGACACGTCGCGCGTACCTTGTCAAACACCACCAAACCACCACCCATCCCTGACGGCTGAGCGGGACTCTGCAAAATAAACCGTGAATCTCTGACCAATGTGAGGAGAGTTAACTCACACGTGACTTGTTTTAGCTCTTTTGGTCTGTTTAGAAATTTTGCAGTGTGAAAGCGAACCGCATTAAGAACAAAGAGCAACAATGAAACAATTTGAATCCCTGTTTCGGAACAACTGAATTGATTCACAGGTGTGAAAGCACTCTTAATGTATTTTTTGTTGGTCAGTTATCTTCAAAATAAACAAAAAGAATGAATTTTAGGTGAGGTTATGTGCAAATAATACCTTTTTTCAGTAAAACGGGAATTGTGAACTAAATTTAAGAACGATTATAAGACGTAAAATATAGTATTTCTGACTATTTTCTTTATAATTTGAGAATATGAAATACAATATCTCAAAACTACTTGGTATTGTGATACTTCAGCTGGTATAGTATCGTAAGATTAAATAATGGTATCGCGACAACTCTAGTTTGATGATGGCTTGGCTGAGTGTGGAATTATGGAAGTTGTGGGCTTCATTACTTCCTATGGGACTCCAGCAGTAATCTTGTTCATGGGCTACATTCCAGTCTAATTTCTTATGCCTTTCATTCCTTAACTTCCCTCAGTCTCATTCCCTTAGTTGTACATAATTTATCAAGTTACACAAGTGTACACAACTGGCAGGAACATCTAAATGGTTTTAAATGGAATGACTTGAACTACACTGTTGTGATGTCATAATCACATTGAATTTTGGGAAATATAGGTGCTGAAGTGGACTAATGAAGTTGACTCGCTCACGCTGTCAAAATCGAGGGTTTCCTTAGTTCCCTAGAAACATTTTTGCTTCATCCCTTAAAAAAAAAACACACACACACACACACACACACACACACACAATTAAATTATCCCGGACGAGCCCCCACTTTGGGTTACAACCTCTCTTTAAGACGGCTCGTTTAAAACAGAGAGAAAGCGACATAAAAGAATCGAGTAAGCGTTATAAGCATTGAAATCGATTTATTCTTACCCAACACATAATGGCATTAACATTCTTACCCAAAGACAACAAATAAATGTTGTATTGATGTGATATAACTACTAAAAGATAGAAAATATTACTTTACAAACTGTACTTTACATAGATTATATAAACATTCACAAATTGTTCAATAATATTACTGAAGTTCAGATAAAAAAACGGAAAAAATATACATTATATACAGGGCTTGACATTAACTTTTTTGATCACCAGCCACAGTGGCTAGTAGTCTTCCAACATTACTAGCCACTCTGCATTTTCACTAGCCAGAATCTTGTTGTTGTGAAAATATTTTTACATGCATAAATTTGACTTTGACATGCTAAAATTACTTGATTTAGATTGTGTGTTCTGTCCACATGCCTCCTCATTCATTTAACTTTTTGTGTGTCGTGTATAAGCAAACAGGTCATGGTTTCATAGTGTTATACTGCAATTATTTTTTATTTCACATGACATTTCAGAACTCAATATTAAGGTTTTACTAAATTTATCTCTTTTTCTCTCTATTTACCTCTAACGATAATTATTTCTTAGCCACAAATTTTAAATGTGTCAAAACAAGCTAAATATAGCTGTATACTATATTTTTATTTAACAAAACATTTCTTAAAAAAAACTAAACAAAGAAAAACAATTGACTTTTAAAAATAATTATTGTCATGAATCAAAAATAGGCACAGTAATCTGTCCTTGCTAAAGGTCTCTCAGATAACCAGTTAACTACACATAAATGGAGAGGTAATCTCATATTAAAGCAATGTTGATGATAATTAAACCATATTAACAAAAAAAAAAAACATAAGCAAAAGAAAGCAGGTGAAAAACATCCTGTGAGATAGTGGAAGGATGATCACACGGTTAAGGCCAATTAATAGCCTATGCCAGTGGTTCTCAAACTGTGGTACATGTAACACTAGTGGTACGCAGAGGAATGAAATATGTCATGTACATGCTACACACATTTCAAAATTTATCAAAAATTATGTATATAATATGCCATATATGACATATAACCTATATTTCTGAGGTAATCTGCCATGTTTTTTTTAACTGTGAGAGTTGGAGCTGATTTACTGGGCCTACTACGCTAATGTATTTCAACACTGCTCATTTTGGTGGTACTTGGAGAGACAATTTTTTCCTGAGGTGGTACTTGATGAAAAAAGTTTGAGAACCACTGGCCTATGCTGTAAAGCGAAAGCAACCAGTGCTGCTTACAAAAAGACATGTTTGGAGCTCTTGAAAGCAGCAAGACTGTGGGTGCATTAGCATTAGAACTTTTATTGTCTTACTATTTGAAAGAGAACCGATCACAGTTGCGTTCCAGGCACGGTTGCTTCAAGCAAGAAAACAGGAGCGTGTACTGTATGCGCTTTAAACAGTCGCGTGCATCACATCAGCTGTTAGGGCGAGTGATTATCCTCTCATTCGGTATTCATCTGCTTTCTTCCGCTCGCGCGAATACAATTTTTTATTTATTTTTTGTTAATTGTGCTGTTTCTCCATTCTAAGATCACATTTGCATGCATATTGGGTCATTCTTATAGTCGAACCTTGCTTTTTAGAAAACCACAATTTAAAAATTAGTTTCAACCAGCCAAAGTGGCTAGTGGGGGTGACTGTCTAACCCGCCAAAGCTAAAATCTACCCGCATATGGCGGGTGTTAATGTAAAGCCCTGTATATATATATACACGTGTATATATATATATATATATATATATATATATATATATATATATATATATATATATGTGGGTGTGTGTGTGTATATATATATATATATGTGTGTGTGTGTGTGTGTATGTATATATATATATATATATATCCATATTCACCTTTCTTCTGTCAAGAATCAGTAAAGAAAGAGGTAAAACCACCATTTTATCCTGGAATGATGAGGAAAAGAAGACAGGCACAGACAGTCTGTCCTCAGTTGCCTCATCCATCAAGCTGTATCACTTCCAGAAAGAAGCAGCCGTTCTCTCACGTTCGCAAAGAAAGTTCTATCTTATAGATAGGATAACTTTTATTTGATCACAGTCAAATAATGTAATTAAGGTCAGTCATCATTTTATAGAATTCAATCATTCATTTTTTTCTCATTTGATGGATGAGATTTTGACATGGCACACCTAGCAAAGCCTACAAATGCATCCAGAAAATTTCAGTGTGGGCGCAGATTGCCTAAAACTGGGCTGAATGAAACAATTCTGTTCATGTAACAAGCTGGTAAAGGCTCGAGGCGAAGATGGCATCCATCAATGCTGCCCACCACTTTATTAAAGACCGTACATGCACTGTAGGTGGTCAGCAGAAGGAAAAGAGATGACCTGTCTTATGAGGCCAGGGATTTTCCTGCTGACGTTGTGGATGTTTTGGTGTACATTAGAGAAGGGGATGGCAAATTAAGGCCCTGGCAGCAACAAGATATAACATTGCACTTGCCTAACCAAAATAGTTCATTAGTTCATATTAATGCTAACACGTAAAAGTGGATGACCTGCCGATGAGCTTAGACTAGTTAAGTATAGTTTCTTTTATAAAATGGTCTTAAAATCTGCAGCAGCCACTAATATATTAAGCAGTGTTGTTACCTAGCTAGCTGGAGACTATTTTAAGGCGCTGTGTAATGCCATATCACACCATGGTAAACAAGGTTCCTTGATTATATCTTAAGAATGAGAGTTCCTGACCATATCAACCTAGAAAATAGCAAACTTTCAACGTTCTTTTGTCTTGGTACACAAAGCATCTACAAAAGGGTCAAGCTTTAAAATGATCTTTGAGCGAGATGCGAATAGTCTTATCCGATTTAATGATTAATGCTAAGCTAAGCTTAAATCCAGACCAGACCAGGGCCGGAGTGGGACTCCTTTTCAAGTTTCAAGCCTAAGCCCGGCCCACCTCGGTTCACGACTGACTATATAAAAAAAAAACATCATTTCCAATTCAATTTTTAATGACACTATCATGTCTTTTTCAAGGACACAGCTGCTTTAGAACTTCAAATGTTTTTCATAAATATGAGAACATTAAAGGGTAGCTAAATCTCCAACACTATTCTTTAAAACATCACAATGTCCTTTCCTGCAATATCTGAATATACATCCTGTGCAAAATTCTTTATAGATATCCAGTCCTTTGTAACGGTGATCACAAAAAAGATAAAAATAAAATATGTACACCTATATAAGTAACCCAAACAGTATTATATTAACTCTTAACACTAAATATAAAAAAAAATAAATAAAAATACTCAGGTGAGGTTCGATCTCGGGTCGGCAGCTTCGTAACGCAACGTGCTGGCCGCTAGACCACAATGGTGCTGTTATGCTGGATTGTTTGGTAATATTTGCGCTTTTCATTATCAATTTTTCATCTCTCGCATATCTCTTAAATGATTTTGCTGATGAGCAAGATGTGCAAGACAAGGTGCCTTGATGAGCAAGGTGTTTGGAGTCGAATGATAATTACGTCATCATTAGCAAAATAATGATTAAAAATAGTGAGGCTATGGTCAAATAAGTAAATAAATAAATAAATGAAAAAAGTACGACTACTGAAAGTGCAAGCAGCTAGGGACATCAGCCCTTGCGGCCAAAAAACGGGCAGGCCAACAGGAAATTCTCCCGGGCCTCCCGATTAGCCAATCCGGGCCTGTGGCAGACCAGGAGATTAGCTTAAAGGATTCAAAAATGATAAACCTATATGTTTATCTCTGTGTCAGGGTTCTGCCACTCTGGTCTTGTAAATTCTTGTTTTGGTGGCAGAGCTCGGACACTAGCTTTGTCTTGTCCTGTTTCTGTCATAGTGTGTCTCTGTGTGCGCGCGCGGCGTCGTTGGTGTATGCAGAGTGTGCGTGCTCCCGCTTGATGCGGCCGTGCGGGCTCTGCGTGCCTCGGGCGCACACGCGTTCTTTTACTTGTGTTTATGTTCGTCTGTCTGCATCGTGGTGTTTCATTCCCAGCGTCTCAGTCTAGTTGGTTTCGGGTTTGGTCGGCGCTGGGATGAAACATGCACGATGCGTGTGTGAGTGCACAGTGAGTGCTTTCATTCATCGTGTATTCGTGTCTTGCGTTCAGTCTTCTGTTGGTGTTGTGTCTAGCACGTGGTGTGTGTTTACATGCACCATGTGCTTGTGTTGTCATGAACACGCGGTTAATGAGTTCTCTCATTGGCTGCATGTTCTAGTCTCGTTTTATGTGAGCGCATGGCTTGTGTTGTCTCTCTGTGTCATGCGTTCTCCCGTCTATTGTCTAGTCCCACCCTCCTTGTTAACCCAGTTAATTGTGTTCACCTGTTTGTGTTAACTTTCTACAGCTTATAAACCCCTAATGTCTGCTGTCCTGTGCCAGTTCGTGATTGTATGTTACCTTGTCGTGTGTCTGTTCCAATCGCGATCCCTGCCAGCCTGTCCAGTCCAGTTTGGTTTGCTAATTTGTTTTGCTAATGTTTTCCCCCTCGGGGTAGTTTGTTTTGCTGTTTTTGCCTTTTTTTTGTTTTGTTGTAAATAAATAATACTTTACCCTGCACTTGGGTCCTCGCCCTTTTTTCCCCTCACCGTACCGTGACACTCTGGGGGCGATGTTAAATAAGCTTATGTGTATAATATTGGAGTGTTCCAATATTAGCATAGAAAACTTGTGCTGAAATAACATTAACTGTACTGAAATATAGTAAATAATGAAAAGTAACAAGAAGAGCATCAGTATCTTAAAATATTTCTTTGTAATTATATCAATAGTAAATCATGGGTACACAAAGGGCACACCAATCGTTTGCTTGGAATCTGTCAGGTGCAGTTAAATCATCAGTATTGCCCTATTGTAGAAACTTCCTACCTGGTAAAAACTCTGAGAGAGCAGGAAAGCACTTCTCCTCCTGTCCACCGCATCAGTTTGAGCCCAACGCATCTTGACGGACAATCTCAGAACATACAGAGCTTTGTTTAGAATCCTCCTTCTGTCATGACAGCAGGCTTGGGAGAGTAACCGGAGTCTTTTACACCACATTCTCAGACAGCGCAACTGAAGATGGAGTCTACACAGATCATCGCACCTGCGCATTACAGACAGACACACTTACTTGGAAAGAAAATAGCGCCAACAGCAGTCGCAGGATCTCTTTCAGGGTGTAACATAATGATGAGCTTAACAATCTCAATCAAAACACGGTACACAAGAGCATTCAATTCCACTCATTTGGCTGAGCTTAAAATTACAGGTATGTCATAGTGTTACAATGGTTAGTACACGTTCACAAGCACAGAGATTGTTCTATCAAGCTTATATTTTCCTTACCTTTCTTCTATCTTCTTTTCACCAAGGTCATCATAAGCCTCTGGGGCCACAACAAGCTTTTTAAACAAACATAAACATGTTAAGTAAATCTTTAATTCAAGCATAGTATGTCTGCAATCTACAACAGGGTATATACAGGAATCAGGGAGTAAAATTCAATACCTTTTAAGATCTTTTTTAAGAGGCCACTTTAAGTCTGAACCCGTAACCTTGGCGACATTTTAAATGTATTCATTAAATACTGATTGTAAGAAACTAATCCTAAACTAGAATATCATTCATATAGTGAATAAAAATGTCAATCCAGAAGGTGTCATCTATAGAGCAAAGGAAATAATGGTGCTGGCTTGGTTACTGCAGTAAACAAAACAGTGTGACATTAAATATAGCAGGATTTTATCAACTTCATAAATAAACAACATTAGCTATATACATTAACTATAATTATACAACTGTATAATCAAATACAATGCAAAATGTAATACCTTGTAACAGCATTTAGGCAAGGCAAGTTTATTTATATAGCACATTTCATACACAGTGGCAATTCAAAATGCTTTACGTAAACGGGAATAAAAGAAACAAGTATAAGAAAATAAAAACAAATAATAAAAATGATAAAATAAAAAATAAATAAATAAAAAAACACAAAAACAGATAAAATGTGTTATTAAAGAATGAAAAAGAAGAGAAAAACATAAAAGTGTGATCTGTCGGACGCAGCACAGTCCTCATTCAGTAAAGGCACAGCTAAACAGATGTGTTTTTAGTCTTGATTTGAATGTGCCTAATGTTGGAGCACATCTAATAATTTCTGTAAGCTGATTCCAGCATCGAGGGGCGTAGTGGCTGAAATAAACTTTGCTGAAAAAGTAGTAGCTGAAAAAGACTTTAAAAAAGACTTTAAGGGCCTTAAATTTTTCTCAATTTACTGACAAACTTTTAATACTTTTTAGGACCCCGCAGACACCCTATAAAAGCAATGTGAACAGGTTTCCTATAGACAAATTACCAACCCACGTCACACATGACGCCACACGGGTTCCTGGTTGCAAAAAGAGACCAATTGCAATAGCAAACATGTCATGTTGTGTGGTAGGATGCCAAGTCCAAAAATAGAAAACATAACTTTTACCGTACACCACACTGCTTTTAATGCCAACCGCAGACGTCTTTGGCTAAAAGGGAGCTGAATGGAGTGAGGACCCAATTAATAATGCTCGACTCTGCAGTTCTCATGTTATATCAGGTAAGTTTACGCTATGCTGGATCATACACGTCACTGTTTTTTGATTGCAGCAATGATTTCAGCAAAAACAGTTAAATATGGTTAATTAAACTGCGGACACTTAATGCTAAGAATGAAAACGCTTAGATTCACATACCCTGCAGTAATGGTGCAGATCGCTGTCAGAATGCAGTTGTTTTGCTTGTTGACGATTACCCAGACCTTGTATAGCTCCGTCTTTTTTCTTTGTCTTTGGCTAGGCAGAACCTCGGTTTTTAGCACTACATAGTTTTGAATCTGGTAATCATGGAACATTATTTCTGGCACATGACCACACAGAACAACATTGTTGGCATCTAAAGACTTGTAGGCCTTTAACTTCTCTTTTATAAAATCACATGGAGTTTCATGAGAGATGTATCTTTTGGGTTGGATGCTTGGCCATTTCATCTTATCCAATAACCATTTCGAGGGTCACAAATATTGCTTTTAATATGTACTGAAATAAAGTTTTAACACTTTTTCATGCGAGAATGTAGTTCTTCAAAACCAAAATCTGTGGATTGTTAGTAAAGATTGTGTGTAATTTTAAGTGTGTTTTGCCGGTAGCGGAGATCTATGACCTCCAGGCGGTAACGGCGCTCATTACTCATGTATCCGCCGAGAGGCGCAAATGGATCTGTCAGATGAACGCCGCTCACTTTAACGCTAATTTTGCAGAATAAATGTGCTCATCACTGGGTGACAAGCTGTTATAATACGCTGAAAGCATTATGTAAATAAGATGTATAATATGTAATCAATATAACTTATTTCTAAGACAACAACAAACTCTGTACCGCATCGGATGTCTTTCCCTCGCTGTAAATGTTATCGCTCACGTTTTTTTTCCTGCAACCTCACTGCACACTTATTCTAAATGTTTACAAACATGGTAATTCGTCTATTAGAATCACATAAGAAAAGAGCAGTTGCACAATTTGTATTGCAGAATTCCACAAAATATCTTGCACATGCACCAGACACTTTTAAAACTATTTTTCTGGGAAAACTTTGCAATTCTTAATGTGCTTTATGCCTTCAAAATATGTCACACGTTCTCTATTGGAGACAGGTCAGTACTGCAGACAGGCCAGTCAAGAACCTGTATCCTTGACCATTTCAACCCCCCCCCCAAATCCAAAAAAAAAATCCAAATGTCTTTCGCATTTTTTTTTTGAGCAACATTGTTTTAAAACATTTGAATAATTTTCTCACATATATGTTGGCAAACTGGCGATCATCTACCCATCTTCGCTCCTAAAGAACTAGACCGTTCTTGGATGCTGCTTTCATGCCAAATCCTAATTATCACATGCTGATATTACTGGTTTCAGATCACATCATTTAACCATTTCACCTGATTACTAGCCCTAAACTGCTCCCAACTTTTTTGGAATGTCCTACAGGCCTGAATGACAGGAAAGGACGTACAGTTAAAGTCAAAATTATTAGCCCCCTTCGAATTTTTTCTTCTTTTTAAAATATTTTCCAAATGATGTTTAACAGAGCAAGAACATTTTTCACAGTGTGTCTTATAATATTTTTTCTTCTGGAAAAAGTCTTATTTGATTTATTTGCGGCTAGAATAAAAGCAGTTTAAATTTTTTTAAACACCATTTTAGGGAATTTTTATAATAAAATTATTTTTATTTTAAAGATAAAATAAATCAGTTATTAAAAATTAGTTATCAAAACTATTATGTTAAGAAATGTTTTGAAAAAATCTTCTCTCCAGTAAACGGAAATTGGGGAAAAAATTAACAAGCGGTCTAATAATTCAGGGGGGCTAATAATTTTGACTTCAACTGTTTGTTTACAAATTAAATGAAGTTGACCAGACAACACAAGAAATATTGTGTTCATATTGTCTCCAATGAAATACAAGTCAAAATATATTTGGAAATCTCTATTTTCTTTTATTTTGTGTGTTTTCCATACTGTTCCAACTTTTTTTTTGATTTAGGGTTGTAGAAAGTCGACATACCTGAGCAGATTTCTGAGCTTCTGTTGCACCCACAGCTTTACACTTCACACCGGGTGAACATTGTTGCCAAAACGTAAGACCCAGGCCATCATCAGACGCTTGTCTATGTTTGCGTGCTCTTCTTTGGGAAACTTTTTGCTTTGTTTGCATACGGTTCTTTATATCCTCTTCAGGAATCACCAGTGGGAGTATTTGACTCAGTCTGTCTTTTTGTTCAAGCGTGTAAATCTTTGTAACCTTATCAAAAGCACATTTGTTGCCATCAGGTCTTGTGTCTCTGACAAAATCTACACTTCGCCCTGTTTTGTTAGGGGTAGGTTCTCTTTGCATCTGACTACAGCCAAATCTTGTATTACAGCACAGAAACAGCTCATTTTTACGTTGTCTAGTGATATCTCCAGGAATGTAGCTGCACTTTTCGCTTTTAGCAGGTATTGTGAGAGCGGAAACCGCTGAGGTAGATAAGTTGGGCGCCTGACGTTCCATAAAAGAGATTGCATGTTCAGTAGTATTAAAGTGTAGCATTGAGCAATGCAAGTTTGCAGACATCCACGAGGACTGGAGAAGCTCATGAAAGGTACAGGATGACAGCTTTTCATCTTGCCTTTGAAAGGCAAACGCTTCCATATGGGGTTTATAAGCAATGTCTGCAGAATTAAAGCCAGTCTGCTGGCTGGCTGTCTTTGAAATTGCAGATAATGAGGAATCTTTGGTAAAATCCCTCTTCGGGGTCTTCCATTGCACACACTTATGCTTGGCTGCCGCATCGCAACATCTGAGGGCAATAGCATCGCTTGGTCTTGTATCTCTCCTGGCGTATTCAGAGCAACTTGCACCGTCTGAAACCGAATACATGTTCTTGTTCAACACAGTGAGTTGAGGAAGATCAAAAGTGCAGTCTGTTTTCCTCTTGAAGAGCGTTTGCAGAATAAAGGGCTCAGAACCAGAGGGAAGTCAGCTCAGCAGGGTGTTCTTGTAGGAAGCTGTAGCGTCTTTTGGAGCATATGGAGATTCATCAGCGTTTTCCTCAGGCAACGGCATGTTTCTTGTTTTACAGATTCTTGAAATAGAGGTGTCATTTTAAAATAAGGTCTCATTCCACTAGCTCAGTAAAACATTTTGGCTTAACAATGAGGCCTGCAATCAAAAAGAAAAAGAAACATTGTTGAGAGAAATTGTTTACATCACTGCATTAGGATAATTATGATCATTATTGGCAACAGCTGCTTCGAAAAGTATCTACAAAAAAAATCACTCACCCTCAGGGGCAGCGTGTTGTTTGCCAACGCCTCCATTTTGTGTCATCTTCAGTTAATGATCTGTGTAAAATGTGGACAAAACCTCCATACTGAAGAGCACACTGTTGCTAGCTAAGAAGATTAGCAGATTACTGCACGACCAACCTGCTGGGAGGAGCCAGTAAATGAACTCAGTCTTATTCCTAGTATAACAGTCAGACGTTACATTTTTTGATGAATATATGAGCGGCAAAACAATCCACCATGATGCTAACTTAATAAGGGCTGTTATCAAGACATTGATATGCAGTCAAGTTGATGTCTTTGTTAAACAAACACTTTACTTTTCTTGGAAATAGGCTAATTTTACAAGTCCCCTATAGTTAAACTGTTGAGGTTTGCCATATTAGAATTCATTCAGCTGATCTCCGGGTCTGGCTGGAGCACTTTTAGCTTTGCTTAGCATTAATAATTCAGTCAACTTAGACCTTTAGCAAGTGGCCAAAGAATGTGACTACAGAAGAGCTGAGATTTAATTTCAATTCATTCATTCATTTTCTTGTCGCCTTAGTCACTTTATTAATCCGTGGTCGCCACAGCGGAATGAACCGCCAACTTATTCAGCAAGTTTTTACGCAGCGGATGCCCTTCCAGCCGCAACCCATGTCTGGGAAACTAATTTCATTAAATTAATTAAAATTTTCTTCAGAAACATTTCCTTTTTCGGTTCAAGATGCTAATAGTTTAATCTCATTCAATGATCTATGCTAAGCTAAGCTAAAAGTTCTCATGCCAGAGTGCAGCTGAATATATTCAAAAATGGTAAAAACTCAACTGCTTACCTTTAGGGGAGTTGTAAAATAAGTCTATTTAAAAAAAAAAAAAAGTAGAGTGTTTCTTTAATTCAAAACAATTGGTTGCTAAATGGTAAAAAAAAAAGATAAGTAAATAAAATACATTTGTAATTTCCATGAAATTCTGTTACAGGTATTAGCGGCAGTGTTGGGGAGTAACTTTAATGTAATGGCGTTTCATAATTTGATTACAAAATAAAAGTAACAGTAATTCGTCAGTTACTTAGACAAAATGTGTAATTAAGTTACAGTTACTTATGAAAATGTTAACATTACAAATGGGGTTACATCTAAATATGTTGAATAAAATTAATCTGTAGCTTTGCCTGTTTTTGATATGCATGATGCCTTCTGTTAAGGCCATTTATTAAAGTGGTGCTATTCTGATGCTTTTGATTGGTTTTCCGGTTTGAATTTGCGGCACACCACTTGAACCAATAATGTTAATCCTTTGCCGCTGAAAGCATTAGGTTACTATAACTAATCTGAGAGCTGCCACCACCATGGCGAGTGATAAAAATGCATTTCATTGCTGAAAATGCAAAAATCATTTCACCCTGAAATCTGAGAAGGGCACAAATACTGTACAACAGTTCAGTGCAAAATTTGTTTGCCAGCTATTCGACACCAAAGACTTTATTGTCAAACTTGAGAAAGCATCTTTAGATATGTAACCTAGCCTTTCTTTATTTTATAAAAGCAAATGTTTTTTGTCGTTACCGTGAGTGTTCAGAAATTAAAACAGACCCTTTAATTTCAAATGAAATATATTATGACTCACAAAGTTATCGATTTGTGAATTTCAGGGCACCAACAGACTCCTCTGGCACCATCTGAGGGTGGCACGGTGGCACCATGGGTAGCACTGTAACCTCACTGGGTTAAGGTCACTGGTTCGAGCCTCAGCTGGATCAGTTGGCATTTCTGTGTGGAGTTTGCATGTTCTATACATGCACTATAGGTGAATTGGGTAAGCTAAATTGTCACCAATGTATATGTACAAATAAGTGTATGGGTGTTGCCCAGTTCTGGGTTGTGGCTGGAAGGACATCGGCTGCGTAAACATATGCTGGATAAGTTGGCGGTTCATTCTGCTGTGGCAACCCCTAATTAATAAAGGGACTAATCCGATGAATGTTGCTGTGGGACAATGTGAGAGTCACCTATCAAATATGCAGTTATAGAAATGAGATTGTAAATTATGTATCAAAATATACTGACATGATTGACTTGTTGGCTACTATTGATTATTCTCATACATCTGAACAATGCTAAACTAGTTTCAGTTGCTTTAATGGCTCTGTTTTTTCCTTTAAAAGGGTCACCTGCATTTTAGTAAATCATTATCAGTTATGTGGTTGTCCCACCCCTACACAAAACACATCCCAATGGATATTATTGGTTATGTGCCCCTCCCGCCACAACACACACATCAGAACAGGCAGAGCCAACTCAGATGAACACTTCAGTGAGCTCAACTGCAAATTATATATCAATTATAACACCACATATTAGTGTCAGAAACATTAACAGGGAAAAACAGTCATTTATTGGATTACTCGTAAAAATCATTTCTATTAGTAATGCCATTTATTTATAACACCATTTTCCCCCATCACTGACTGTACATTAAGACACAAGATGTGAAAAAAAAATGTAAATATTCTTCACCTAATTTAATGAATTCTACTGGATTTCCAGGAGATAGTGTGCTGCTTTATTTACTGGTTTATCTGGACAGAAAATCCCCCTGTGAAAGAAAAAAAAGCTGTTTCTTTGTTTACAATAGTGACAATGAGTGCTTATCAAGAACTGCTAAACCCTTTGGTGCAGGATATGACAGCACAGAAAGAGTCTTTAAGTAGACATCCCAGACTATTGCTTCAGACACTGTAGTGTAAACAAAAATAATCACACCACTCTTGTATTTTAGAAAGATTAGTTTTACATTTTTAGGTCTATAAACAGAACCCAATGAACAAAACTTGACGGAAAATGCAGAGTGTCCAATAAAAGCATAAATGAAGTCCAGAATTTCAATCATGAACAAACTTGCTGTTTTATTTGTTGCCATGTAAGATGTGCTAGGTAGATTTGATCAACGGATGTTCTGTAAGAATAAACAATTTTATTTAAGGAATGCTACAATTACCACACTCTAGACATATTTTTGCTGCTTGTTCAAACTACCCATTTAACCCTTGTGTATTGTTCAAATCGACTACTCTTTCGTTATGCTCTGGGCTGTTTTTACCCCATTGACTTCCATTATAAAAGACATTATTTAAGCCTTGGCACCGAATAATCATACATTCTTGATTGTTGGTGGTTTTCTCTGTTAGGACACTGGCTTTAATATGGAGTTCAATGGAGTAAAACAGCAGATTATAGTGTGTGTGTGCATAAATACATTTACTATGTTTACTATGTTCTGAGAGCTCAGTTGCCTATTTGGATTTTTTCTGACATATCAAGGTAAGTGTGCAAATGTGTCTCTCTCTTACACACTAAACTCTATATAACTTCATATAAAAGCCAAAAACTAAGATTTTTTTTTTCACCACAACTGATGATCAGCAACAAAAATACAAATTTTATGTTGCACCAATAGCCTAGTGGTTAAGTGCGCCGACATATAGCACCATGGTGCTCTCGGCGACCTGCGTTGGCTTCCCGGCTCAATGTTCTATGTTGATCCTAACCCTTTCTCTGCTCTGAATGCTTTCCTATCTGTCTCCCACTATCCTATCCCAATAAAAGGTGAAAACCTCCAAATAACAATCATAAAAAAAATAAAAAAAAAAAAAAATATATATATATATATATATATATATATATATATATATATATATATATAATTTACCACATCCCAAAAAAAAACCCAACAACAACGATCAAGAATGCATGATTATTTGGTTTCATGCCTTTGCGATCAAAGCATTTAATTATAATGGAAGTCAATGAGGGCATAAACTGTCCCGAACATAATGAAAGGGTAGTCAATTCGCCCAGAGTGTATTGTTGAGTCTTTGAAAATTCTCAAATTATTTTTCTAAAATCTGCATTAAAATTAGATTTGTCACCTAAAATAATTCCATTATTTAACCCTTGTGTATTGTTCAAATTGACTACCCTTTCATTATGTTCGAGGCTGTTTTTACCCCATTGACTTTCATTATAAAAGACATTATTTAAGCCTAGACACCCAATAATCATACATTCTTGATTGTTGGTGGTTTTCTCCGTTGGGACACAGGTAAAATGTGCAATTTTAACTGTTGTCCATTGGTTGGCACTATTAACCCTGCCACTATCCTGTCCCAATAAAAAGTGAAAACCTCCGAAAAACTAATTATAAAAAAGTATATAATTTACCACTTCCCAAAAGATAAAAACGGCAACAACCAAGAATGCATGATTATTTGGTTTCATGGCTTTGCAAAAATAATTCCATTTGCTAAAACGGAGAGAAAGTTGTGGCCAAATTAAGACACAAAATCACCCCAGAGGGAATGAAAACATCCCCAACAGAACACAGCACACAGTTTTTTTTTAGTTTGAAACAATACAGTTCACAGTGCGTTTTTAGGGACAACTTAAATGTTTTTATATTCAATCAACTTAAAATTGTAAGAAGGATTAAGATGGTGTTATTGATTTGCATTGAGACAACATGAAACAATTGTGTTGAAGAAAATGTGTGCATTTTTTTTTTACAGTAAACATCTGCATAATTACAAAATTAAACATAATTAAAAGAAAATGTATCAGATTGAAATGTGTAAAAGTGTCTTGTTTTGCACAAAACAATACACTTAATAATTCCCAAATCATGAAATCCTTAAATTACTGTCTGTTTTGCAATCCCTGAGAGAATGTGAAAAAGCAACAGAGTCAAATTTCCATCACGATCACCTCAAGGTCTACTTGTAGCTTCTCAAATAAACCAATCTGTGAGGCTGGAATTTCTCTCGACACAGCGGGCATTCATTCTACGATGAAAGAAACCAAGAAAAAAAAAACTGATCAGACATCGGTAATGTTAAACTTCACAGCATCACTTCACAGCTATATGAAGGTCTTGCCTTGGTATTGCACCACTCGGTAATGCACTCCCAGCAGAAAAGATGGCCGCAGGGAGTGCTGGTGGTGTTTCTGCGCTCCTCCAAACACAAGATACAGCGTGAAGTGCGAGACGACGACTGACTGACCTGATGACTGAAGAGAAAAACGGCGAATGAGTAACGAGAGAAAGCATTAAATAACAAACGATTCATTTAAGGACTTCAGAAAAGATGATAAAAAAATACAATGGTCAGTAATTAAAAAAGAAGATGAAAAAAATATAGATTCTGATTGGCTGGAAAATAAAAACACACAATAACAGAAGGAAGAAAAAAATTTGATCATATATACAGTGCATCCGGAAATTATTCATAGCACTTCAGGGAAATTATTTATAGCACTTCACTTTTTCCACATTTGTTTATATTACAGCTTTATTCCAAAATTGATTAAATTCATTTGTTACCTTAAAATTCTACACACAATACCCCATAATGAAAATGAGAAAAAAGAAAAAAGATTTTTTGAAATTGTTGCAAATTTATAAATAAATAAATAAATAAATATATATATATATATATATATATATATATATATATATATATATATATATATATATATATATACAAATCACATGTACATCAGTGTTCACAGCCTTTGCTCAATACTTTGTTGATGCACCTTTGGCAGCAATAACAGCCTCAAGTCTTTTTGGATAAGACGCCACAAGCTTGGCACACCTGTCTTTGGGAATTTTTGCCCATTCCTGTACCTCTCAAGCTCTATCAGGTTGGATAGGAAGCGACAGTGTACAGATATTTGCAGGTCTCTCCAGAGATGCTCAATAGGATTTAGATCTGGGCTCTGGCTGGGCCACTCAAGGACATTCACCAAGTTGTTGTGAAGCCACTCCATTGATATTTTGGCGGTGTGCTTTGGGTCATTGCCCTGCTGGAAGTTGAACCGTCGACCCAGTCTGAAGTCAAGAGCAGGTTTTCATTCAGGATGTACATTGCTGCATTCATCTTTCCCTCTATCCTGACTAGTCTTCCAGTTCCTGCTGCTGTAAAACATCCCCATAGCATGATGCTGCCACCACCATGCTTCACTGTAAGGATGATGTTAGCCTGGTGATGAGCGGTGTCTGGTTTTCTCCGGACGTAACGCCTGGCATTCACTCCATCAAAGACAATATATTAATGTAATTTAAATATATAAAATTTGAATTGATGTTTACTTAAAACTTTAATTAGTTTAGTTTAGTTTGTTTATATAGCACATTTTTTACAACACAACGTTGGCCAAAGTGCTGAACACAATCAATACTAAACATGAAATCTACATCACATAAATAACAATTAAAACATAAGGCAAATCCCTCAACATTAAAAAGGCTCAAATACTAAAGAACAAAGATGGTGTTTCAAACGCTTTTTAAAAACAGGTAGAGTTGGAGCATGTCTAAATTATATTGTTCTGATAAAAGATTTTTTTTTAAAGATTTTGTTAAATAAAAGATTTTTCTAGAGTCATCCACCCTAATTTTGTGGCTCAAAAGTATCGGTTCAGGCACCGGTATCATTTTAAAAGTATCGATTTAGCACCGGTATCGAAAAAAAAAAACGTAAAAAAAAAACGATACCCAACCCTTTCATTGGGTTATCGATCACCTCCCTGATTAAGGCTATTCTCCCCGATCACTCAGCTTAGATGGCCGGCCAGCTCTACGAAGAGTCCTGGTGGTTCCAAACATTTTCCACTTACAGATGATAGAGGCCACTGTGCTCATTGGAACTTTCAGAGAAGCAGAAATTTTTCTGTAACCTTCCCCTGCCTTGTGCCTCGAGACAATCCTTTTTCGGAGGTCTACAGACAATTCCTTTGTCTTCATGCTTGGTTTGTGCTTTGACATGCACTGTCAACCCAGGGACCTGATATAGACAGGTGTATGCCTTTTCAAATCATGTCCAATCAACTGAATTTACCACAGGTGAACTCCAATTAAGCTGCTGCAACATCTCAAGAATGATCAGTGCAAAAAGAATGTACCTGAGCTCAATTTAGAGCTTCACGGCAAAGGCTGTTAATACTTCTGTACATGTGATTTTTTTTTCAGGTTTTTTATTTTAAAATAAATTTGCAACAATTAAAAAAATATTTTTTCACATTGTCATTATGGGGTATTGCGTGTAGAATTTTGAGGAAATAAATTAATTTAATCCATTTTGGAATAAGGCTGTAACTTCAAAAAAATGTGGAAATGCGCTATGAATACTTTCCGTATGCACTGTATATTTGCTTAAGTCCATAACTGAAAAGTATTATCACATTTATCAGTTTTAGTTTGATGTTTTTTTTGTTAACTTAATCGATTTGTTTTGGGACAACATAAATAAATTGTGTGGAACCAAGCATTTTTTACAGTTAATAAAAAAACTGTAGGAATATGAAAGGTTGAATCATCAGACAACATGCAGTGCTTTATGTGCAGAGCTGTACACCTGGGGAGAAGGTTTCTGTGCTGTTTCCATTCATGCCGAGCTCTTTGTCGTTGCCTGAGGTTGTTGAACTGCAGTGTGAGAGTGATGGCCAGCTGGAGAACAGACAGGCCACCCAGCAGACGGTAACTGTGACTGATCCTGGGGTCATCGCCGGACGCATTTCCCACTCTTAGCTAAACAAAACATACTCACAGTTACGCAGAGTAGACAATTTAAATCTCTAAACCAGTGGTTCTCAAACTTTTTTCACCAAGTACCACCTCAGAAAAAATTGTCTCTCCAACTACCACCATAATAAACAGTTGGCCAAATTAAGCATCTACAGCACAGCACGGTTCGAAGACGAGGCAGAGTCATATTCATTCAACAAAATCATATTCCGTACAAAATTTGAAGCTGATCAGTCGGTTCTTGTCACGTGACTCGAGGTGCAGCATCCTGAAAAAGTTAAGATGTTTTCAACTGGGGACCCCTGGAATATGTAAGCGCGTCGTGCTGCAGTTCTTACTAATTTTGCTAGCCTGTGGGTTAAATTTTGGCACTCAAGTGACCGAGATGTAACAAGAGAATATGGTCATTTTTCAAAATAAATAATCGTTCAGACTAAGACTATAAATAAAAGGAAAATAATTAATGATTTTTATGTGCGACCGCTTACCAACTGATCTATAGACCGGTGCCGGTCTGTGGCTCAAGGGTTTGAGACCACTGCACTCTGCAAGCACCACGCACCTCTTTCTCTAGTTCTGCACCAAATTGAATAGATTTTTTAGCAGCTGATGACGCGATGCACTAAAGTAAACATTTTGTGCAAATTTTCTTTTATAATTGTACTGACATGCTGCTGTCAAAAAAAGTAAAGACACTAAAATCGTAAAAAGACTATGAAGACGGTAAAATCGTAAAAAGACGATAAAGTAAATATGGTAAAATCATAAAAAGACAAAACAGACGGTAAAATCATAAAAAGACGATAAAGTAAAGACGATAAAATCGTAAAAAAAAGATAAAGACGGTAAAATCGTAAAAAGACAAAGTAAAGACCATAAAATCATAAAAAGATGATAAAGACGGTAAAATCGTAAAAAGATGATAAAGTAAAGACGATAAAATAGTAAAAAGACGATAAAGATGGTAAAATCGTAAAAAGACAATAAAGTAAAGACGATAAAATCATAAAAAGATGATGAAGACGGTAAAATTGTAAAAAGACGATAAAGTAAAGACAATAAAATTGTAAAAAAAAAGATAAAGACGGTAAAATCGTAAAAAGATGATAAAGTAAAGACGATAAAATCGTAAAAAGACGATAAAGACAGTAAAATCATAAAAAGACGATAAAGTAAAGACGGTAAAATCCTAAAAAGACAATAAAGACGATAAAATTGTAAAAAGACGATAAAAACAGTAAAATCCTAAAAATACGATAAAGTAAAGACAATAAAATTCTAAAAACACAGTAAAATCGTTAAAAGACTATACAGTAAAAACGGTAAAATCTTAAAAAGAAAGTAAAAACAGTAAAAAAATTATATATATATATATATATATATATATAAATATATTCAATGACATATATATTCAAAATATCTTTTTTGCACTAAATAACTAACACAAATCTCACAGATCGCAACCAATCAGATAATAAAAATTTAAAACTTGGATATTTTTTTTTTCGTGTGAATAAATCATACCTTCAACCAGAGGTTGATTGTCATGTCTGATGCTAAGGCTAGTTATTTACCTTAAAAGATATTAACTATTCAAATATCTTGCTTCCACATTACAATAATTAAGGTAAAATAACACACTTTAAAGTGATAGTTTACCCAGATTTGCTCACTATTTTCTCACCCTGAAGTGGTTTCTTTCTACTTTTGAACACAAATGAAGACATTTTAAAGAAAGCTGCAAAGCTGTAAGCACTGACTTTCGTAGCATTTGTTTTTCTTCTATTGAAGTCAATGGTTGCAGGTTTCCAACATTCTTCAAAATATTGCAGAATGGACTTTAACCAATTTTTTTTATTTACCCGTGGTTGATGGTGATGTCTGAGGCTAAAGCTAGTTATTTATCTTAATGGACATTAACTATTCAAATATCTTACACATTGGAAATCTGTAACTCTTTACTTGCATAGCATTTTTTTCCTATTATGGAAGTCAATAGTTACAGGTTTCCAACATTTTTTCAAAATATCTCTCTTGTGTTCAACAGAGAAAACTCAAATAGTCTTGGAACAAGTAAATAAAGAAAAAATGTAAATTTTTGGGTGAACTGTCCCTTTAATACAGCATGTGAGATAATAAATTATTATCTTACTCCCCGGTTGAAAAATTTGAATAATAAAAGAACAGACACTTACATAACGAACACCTGCAGCTCTTTTAGCAATGTGGTAAAAGGCTCCAGTGGTGTAAAAGAGCGCCACATGTAGCCTGTACAGCAGTGTGATTCCCTGCTGCAGGGCAAACACAAGCGGAATCAAAGACTTCCTCTGAGACTCCGTAAGCAGCCCCACAGCTCTCTGGATCCAGAACCGCATGTGTGATAACGGGTTCCAGGTTCTGCGTGTGTTCTGAGGTGCTTCAGCTTCCAGCTCATTCTCAACACAGATTAAGACCTTGTCTAAAAGATAAGGCACAAACGTGTGAAAGCAGATAAGTGCCGTCCGGCGGATTCGTGAAGGGATTCGCCTTTTGCTTGGGTCCACCTGGATGATGCTGACGTACTCCTCACCCAGAGTCTGATATCCTGAATGAAACGGACAACAATATAGATGCTATTAGGAGAGCACGATATTGTAAAAACTGTTGTTATTCTGCAATATCCAGTGCTCAACATAAATGAGTACACCCCATATTGAAAATGCATATTTTTATCAATTTCTCAGTTAATCTAGAGTACATCCGGAAAGTATCATAGCGCTTCACTTTTTCCACATTTTTTGTTACAGCCTTATTCCAAAATGGATTAAATTTATTTATTTTCTCAAAGTTCTACACACAATATCCCATAATGACAATGTGAAAAAAAGGAAATTGAAATTGTTGCACATTTATTAAAAATAAAAAACTTGAAAAATCTCATGTACATCAGTATTCACAGCCTTTGCTCAATACTTTGCTGATGCACCTTTGCCAGAAATTACAGCCTCAAGTATTTTTGAATATGATGCCACAAGCTTGGCACACCTGTCTTTGGGAATTTTTGCCCATTCCTCTTTGCAGTACCTCTTAAGCTCTATCAGGTTGGATGGGAAGCAACGGTGTACAGCCCTTTTCAGATCTCTCCATAAACGTACAATAGGATTTGGGTCTGGACTCTGGCTGGGCCACCCAAAAACAATCACTGAGTTGTTGTGAAGTGACTCCATTGATACTTTGGCGGTGTGCTTTGGGTCATTGTCCTGCTGGAAGATAAACTATCACCCCAGTCAAGAGCACTCTGAAGCAGGTTTTCATTCAGGATGTCTCTGTACATTGCTGCATTCATCTTTCCCTCTAACCTGACTGGTCTTCCAGTTCCTGCTGCTGAAAAACATCCCCACAGCATGATGCTGCCACCACCATGCTTCACTGTAGGGATGGTGTTAGCCTGGTGATGAGCGGTGCCTGGTTTTCTCCAAACGTAACACCTGGCATTCACTCCAAAGAGTTCAATTTTAGTCTCATCAGACCAGAGAATATTGTTTCTTATAGTTTGAGAGTCCTTCAGATGCCTTTTGGCAAATTCCAGGCAGGGAGTGGTTTCCATCTGGCCACTCTATCATACAGGTCTGATTGGTGGATTGCTGCACAGATAGTTGTCCTTCTGTAAGGTTCTCCTCTCTCCACAGAAGAACGCTGGAGCTCAGACAGAGTGACCATCGGGTTATTGATCACCTCCCTGACTAAGGCTCTTCTCCCCTGATCACTTAGCTTAGATGGCCGGCCAGCTCTAAGAAGAGTCCTGGTGGTTCCAAACTTCTTCCACTTACGGATGATGGGAGGCCACTGTGCTCATTGGAACTTTCAGAGAAGCAGAAATTTTTCTGTAACCTTCCCCTGCCTTCTGCCTTGAGACAATTCTTTTTCGGAGGTCTACAGATAATTCCTTTATCTTCAGCTTGGTTTGTGCTTTGACATGCACTGTCAACCCTGGGACCTTATATAGACAGGTGTATGCCTTTTCAAATCAAGTCCAATCAACTGAATTTATCACAGGTGAACTCCAATTAAGCTGCTGAAACATCTCAAGAATGATCAGTGCAAAAAGAATGTACCTGAGCTTATTTTGGCGCTTCACAGCTGTGAATACTTCTGTACATGTGATTTTTCAGGGTTTTTATCTGTGATAAATTTGCAACAATTTAAAAAACTATTTTTTCACATTTCCATTATGGGGTATTGTGTGTAGAATCGAGGAAATACATGAATTTAATCCATTTTGGAATAAGGCTGTAACATACAAAACAATACAATGCAAAACAACAATTAAAAAATCACAACTTACAGTACCTGATAAAGTTGTTAGGATATAGTAGGTCAGATCAGATAATAATTCAATTTCCTTTCTCCACTGAAGCCAACGTCTGGAACCTTGAGGAAACAAAAAAGGAAAGGTTTGAAGAAATAGCTCTTTAAAAAAAAAATGGTGACTGAAGGGATAGTTGCCCCAAAATAAAAATGTACTCACTATATAGACTACCTGACAAAAGTCTTGTTGCCTATCCAAGTTTTGAGAACTACAAGTGATAACTAGACTTCTAGTTGATCATTTGGTATCAGAAGTGGCTAATATGAAAGGCAAAGGCCTCTAGATTACACTTATTTTACCAAAATAAAATATGATCATGCCTTGATTTTTAATGATTTAATTAGGACAGTAAGGTCTGACTTTGCTTAGACAAAAGTCCTGTCACTTAACAGATAGTGTAAGTAGTGTACAGTATAAAATTTAAAGTCATGGTGCAGTGGAAAATGAATTAATATTGTGTTTGCGCCTACACAAATCATCTTCATGCCATGGATGAGCTGAAGTATTCAAAACTTATGATGGTAGTATAAAGCTGACGATTTCTAGTTCTGGGTAGCAGCTGGAAGGACATCCGCTGCGATCATTACGCTGTGGTGCCCTCTGGCAAATAAGAAACTAAGCCAAAAGAAAATAAATGAATGAATGAAGTAAGCATTTTAGTGTAGTTTTAGTACTATTTTTATTATTATTTTTATTATTATTATTAATGTTTTGGCATGGGTTTTCTCCAGGAGCGCCGGTTTCCCCCAGTCCAAAAATATGCGCTATAGGTGAATTGAATAAGCTAAATACCCCACTTTGTGAGAAAGAGTGTGTATGGGTGTTTCCCAGTGTTGGATTGCAGCTTGAAGGCAATCCGCTGCATAAAATCATATGCTGGATAAGTTGGTGATTCATTCTGCTGTAGCAACCCCTGATTAATAAAGGGACTAAGCCAAAAAGAAAATGAATGAATGAATGAATTACTACACTTTAAAATAAAAAAATACATTAATAAGGTACAAAAACTCTTTACTCCCAATATGACCTCTAAATGGCAAACTAATTAATCATGCATTTATTGAGGTCAAAACAGATGTAATTGAGGTAAAATTGGTTTTATATTCACATATTCATTCACTGACAACTTGTAACATGCTCCCTATATTGTTTATCATGGTACTTTAAATATTCGGTCCAAAATTACATACAAGTATGACTTCAAAACAACATTAGCACTATTTATTTGCCTGTCAACAATGTTGTACTTTATTACTCATTGACTGCAAATATGATTTCTAAACATAGAAATAGCAAATAATAATTTTCTGAAATTATATTATTAAGAAAAAAGTCTGAATGTGCCACTAAAAAAAAAGCAACTTTGCCTCAATAGTGTCCAGATACTAAAAAGACCCTAAAGACTTACTCTGTGGTCCAGGGTCACATTTACTGTTTATTGAAACTTTACTGTCAAAGTCGGTCACCTAATATCATGGTTATAATATCAAATTAACAAATAAACATCCAATTTTATGCTACTCTTTCCAAGTGCACACATACCAGCGATTCAAAACAGAAGTAATTGACATACATTTGGTTTAATATTCACACATTTGTTCATTTTTGAACAGTTGGAAGGTCTCTATATTATACTTTAAATATATTAAGGTAAAGTTGGTTTAATAGTCACATATTCATTCATTGACAACTTGTCGCATGCTTCCTATATTGTTTACCATGGTACTTTGAATATTCAGTCCACAAATCACATGCAAGTATGACTTCAAAACAACATTAGCACTATATATTTGATTGTCAACAATGTTGTACTTACTATATAGAATACAATGTTGACCCTAAAGACACATTCTGTGGTCGATTGGGTCACATTTACTGTTTATTGAAACTTTACTGTCAAAGTTGGTCACCTAATACCATAGTTATAATATCAAATTAAGAAATAAACATCCAAATTTGTGATACTCTTTCCAAGTGCACATGGTCCAGCGAGTCAAAACAGATGTAACTTTAATTGCTAGCTAAACAATAAGCCAGAGACCATAAATACAAAATTTTGCCCTATAACCAACTTGAAAACATAATATTAGTGTGCCTGGGAGTGTTTTACCAGCAAAGGTGTGGAAGAGCTCATTGGCGTTGTTTGTCAGGTTGTTCTGGTAGTATTCATCCTTCTGACAGGAGCGGATCAGCTGCGGCTGGTTCGCAGGAACAAGAGGCATCGCTCCGTTCGTAAAACTTTCAACAGCTCCTTAGAGGGCACGTGTATGTGCTAGCAGTTTATGTTTTTCATTTTGCAAAATATGGAAGACGGTTGTTGTTAAAATGAACGTTATTAGACTAGCTCACTCTCATAACTGTGCACGCTTCTATCTCTTCCGTGTTTAGTCACGTGACGCTCTCAAGAGCCCTCGATTGGCCGGTTGGTGACAGGCGCTTAGTGACCAGAGATCGAGTTTTCCTGTCACGAACTGGCAAAATCACGGTGTAATTGTTAAAAGTGACTCTAAGAAAAATACAAAAGAGTGCTTGCTTCAAAGGATGATTTTTCTATGGGCTGAAACTTGACGTGAGTCTATAATGATCTGTTCAATTGTCCGATCCATTCCATTTATTTTAGGTTTATTTAAAAAAAAAAAACTATTTCTTTATGTGAATTTCAAACTAAAACATTTTCCTTCATTTGTAAAGTACACATTTTTAACCGTATTGATGTTCTTAGCTCACATTGCTAGTTGGGGAACAATTCGTCTGTGCAAAAATAGTTTATCCTTGTAATCTTAAAATTGACAATCTGAAAATGCACTTCCTGTTTGTTAATATTCATGAATAAATGTTTATTAATATGTTTATAGGAAATGAGTGCTAATGTAACAACTTACCTCAAATCTCCTCTGGCAAAAAATGGATTCACTTTTTTCTTAATATTCACCTTTTTTATTTGACCAATACCTGTCGTGTGTACGCTGCAGCTCATTAAAAATTATTGAGTATTTAAAACAAAACAATTGAGTATTTTTTTTTTTACTTACAGTTTTTTTTTTTTTTTATTTACTCATTCAAAATTGCTTGTTCGTTCCAGAGCGCAACGGTTGGCATAGCAATGTGATACTTCATGTTTCCTTTTCTCTGCCAGTCCTATGAATATATTTAGCGTTTCTCATAGGCTGCGTCCGAAACAAAGATTATAGAATACACAAGACATGTCACTAGTATACTTTTAAATGGGGAAAATTGTAACTATTAATATGGCTAATAAAGCCATGCCTTCTAGTACAGCAGCCAATCAGCGATCACGATATGGCTAATAAAGCTGCCTTCTAATACAGGAGCCAATCAGCGATCGCTATTCACCTTATTCTCAGCTGTCGAGCGGGCGCTGCCATTTGAATTCTTTTTGTCTCGCGACTTCCGGTCACATTCACTTCCATTCATTTTTTGACGTTAACAACTGCTCGTTACGCTGCTTGATGTTGCAATTTAATATTTTCTTATTATATTATGCTACTTGGTCTGTGTAGTCATGCAAACATTTGTTTGTTGAGCAAGTAGTTCGGCCATTTTCTGCCGTTTATTATTCCTAGTCATTTCTCCCATAGGCGACTGAATCGGAAGTTCTAAGACAATCGCGAAAACAGGCGCACTTCCGCATTTTAGAATAAGGTCAATAGAATGACAATTCTCCAGAGGAAGGGCTCAGACCAGACCTGAGTTTCTGCAGATTCTATGTTATACGAACATTTAGAAATTAAACTAAATATACAGTTGTTTATTAGTTTTATTGGTTATTCGTTGTTCCGCAAGCAGTTTTGGTGAATTTGATGTTTTCCCATTCAAACAGAATGCGCAATTATACTACCCCAGAGGCGTTTTAAAGATGGCCGCCAAGTGAAATGACTTGCCTTAAAGGGACTTTAGTCCGAAACCGCATACTTCCATACTATATAGTACGCTAAAATCAGTATGCGAGCTGAGTAGTATGTCCGAATTCATAGAATTCGAAAATCAGTATGTGAGAAGTACCCGGATGACTTACTACTTCCGGTGAGATTCTAACGTGCGCATCCTATGCACTATGCGCTATCTCATGATGCCCCGCGAGAGAGTTCATTAATGGGATGACGCAACTGACGCAGGTAGGTCACGTGACCATGCCAAAATGGCTGTTGTAGTACTTCCAAGTTCCATTCATACTGCTCATATTCATACTGTATAGAACGCACTTTTCTAACGGTCGGCTAGAACATTCAAATTCAAATGCAATACCTACAGAGTAGTAGGTGATTTCGGGTTGTCTAATAGGCAGGGCAGGATTAACATAAGGGCTAGGTGGGGCTGAAGCTAATGAATTAATTTGCGCTATGATGCGGGAAACGCCTCTTTGCGTTATGCTTTCTCTCGTTGATAATGTGAAGTATTTCTTATGGTTCGCTGCTGTTAAAAAATAATGACGCCTGTGCTAAACTGAGACTTGTTAGCCCTGTTTTAGGGCCTACTCACACTATGCCATCCGTACCGTGCCCAGGCCCGTTTCCCGGATCGTTTGAGAAGTGTGAGTGCGCTGAATCCGGCTCAAGCACGGTTCACTTGGCCGGCCCTGGCCCGGTTGGAAGAGGTGTGCCTGAGTGCGGTTCACTTGGGCTTTGGCGCAGTACGCTTGTGTGTGAGTGCAAAACGCGCCAAAGCCCGAAACTGAAAGCGAGACGTGACTTTTATAATCTGGTTCATATGGATTTATTAATCATTCTTACTTATCAGTGAACACAAACTACCATAGTTTATTAAAGACGAGAACTCCTCACAGCACGACAGCTGCGCGGCTTCAGCAGACCTCCTCATTCCTGCAGCACGAGAGCTTTATGACTGTTTATGAGTGCCAAAAGGGGCGGATCTGTTCTGTGAAATATCTGCCTGCGTGTCACCGCATCTCTAAGGACTGTTTGGCGAAATATTTGACTGCATGTCACTGCATATCAAACGACTGAAACGATATAACTAGAGAAATCTCCACTGTGCTGCTGAGTGAGAGTGCTTCTCACTGAACAGCACAGCAGCGATGACGTAAGCGTGCAGAGTTTGATGGTGGTGTGAGTGGGAGACGGGAGGGGGGACAAGCGTGCTTTGGCCCGGTTTGAGGCAACTGTACCTAGTGTGAGTACGGCCTTAGTCACCTATAAGGGTGATCAGATTTGCTAATTTTCCCAGGACAGTTCCTTATTTTAGTATTACCGCGAGAACTGTCCAGTCAAAGGTAGGCTAACCAAGCTCGTCATAGAACAAAAAATAAAATTCAAACAGTCTTCATCATTGATTAACTTGTACATGTAGTAACAGAAGCTGGGATAGGTAGAAGCATGCTGAATGGACTCATAATTGAAGCGCTGTCTCTGCCACACGGTGGTTACAGGTGGTTAAAGCTGTTGTCAAAATTTCCATTGTTGCGGAGTATCTATCTCAAGTAAATACACTCGGTTATGCTTTAAGTCTAACTGAACTAGCAAGAAAAAGAACTTTTTTGTACGAACGTTTTCTTTGCCCCTTTTATGAAAACAGCAGTAATAATATTGAGCATGGAAATATTGGCACTGGCTTTTATTAGAGAATATATCTGATGCAAATAAATCAAATAAAAAAAGATGCTAGCCTTCTGTAACTCAAGACCACAATATTTTGGATATTAGAAGCATGGATTTTAAAGATATCCTATCATTAGGGATTTGCCAATGTGTAAAACTAATAGACTGAAGCTCTCGTTTGTTCCTACCTCGATAAAACTGTTGAACTCTACCAATAACACTGTTCCAGTAGTATGTTAGCACTTGACTGCGTTCTGTGTTTTATATATTTATACTTATATACGGTCTGATTCTGTAAACAATGTATGTTCTTAACTGTTTGTTCTTAATTGTTTTGTTTTATTTATTTTTACTGTCTATTTAGAGCAATGTTTTAGCACCTTTTTGCCCAAGACAAATTTCCTCTGGGACAAATAAAGTCTATCCTATCCTATCCCATCCTATCCTATCCTATCCTATCCTATCCTATTTATGGTCCGCTAAAGTTCTAAAGAACCTTTTTTTAAAGGTCAACCCCTATTCAAAATATTAATTATAAAGCACTACATATGCAAGTACATATGCAAGTATTGCAAATGTTTTTTTCTTTTGCTGACTTTTGCAGCCTGTTTGATCTTAAATGATCATATTATGTCATTGCTTAATTTTGTATAGCCTACCTGCAGACCAGGAATTATAATGCTTTGACTTATTGTTTAATATCATTTACAAGCACAGTAGCTGCTGTATGGGCTATTTCTGTCCGCTCGCATCCCGTCCCTTTGCGCCCCCTAGCGGCTCATTCACAAACTGCGGTTATACACTAAAAACAGAGCGGCACCTATTTCAAACGGCGGCGGTACATGCTGCGGCGTTAATAGCCACTTTGAACTCTCACCTACTGTACAGTATTATAATAAAATTAAAAAATAATAGTCAACCACTAAAAACACTTTAGCAACCGCCTAGCGACTACTTAGCAACAGCTCAGAACACTATATCCACCGCCTAGCAAGAGACATGCCAATCCATACTAGAAACATGCTAACATATATGTAGTTATTTATCTATACCAACTGTTTCAAACGTCTTAAAAGCTACTTCAATTAGTTAAACTTTAAAAATACTTCACACTTTCAGATTAGGCTTTCTCAAGCCACCATAAAGCTTGTCTACGAACTTTACTCTTAGTTAACATTGTCATTGTCCACCATTGTCATAGTCAAGCAATTAGTATATTTGTCTCAGTTTTCAAATGCTCCATCCTTTTTTAACCACTTTCCTCTCATTAGAGCTCTCTGTTTAGCAACACAGCTCCTTTTACAAGGTTGTAAAACCTGTTTCTTTGTTACTCTAATGTGCTTAGATCAATCCCGACCATTAAAATTCAAAACACACACAGTCAGCATCTTTATTCAGCTCTTTCCCAAGGCGGATCACGAAAGCCATATTAAGGTCAGATTGTAGTTTTCTGTGGATTCTTGCGGGGCTGTTTACTCGCAGTGGCAGTCAAGGAAACACCCATGCTGTTTACGTTTGAGCGAGGGATGGTTTTCTTCCTCATTGAGACTCGCATGTGATTTCTTGCAGGCAGAGACGAGGTTGTGCTGAGGGCAGATGAGGAGAGCTGAACGCAGACGGAGCAGCTGGCCGTCTGAGGTAAGATAATATGAATAATTGAGAGTGGTTGGTAAATACAAGAGCACAAAGATGTTCTTTTTGCAAATGCAAAGACTTGCAGAGACTTGGATACGCTTTAGCTTTTAGCCAGTGGATGGCAACTGGAAC